GGAGCCTCTCTTTTTCCTCCCTCTCTTCGGACAGCGCCAGTGTCTGTTTCATGCAGCAGCTGATTCAGTAATGAGTGACCCGGCCGACAGTAAAAATAAACATATTTATAACTAGTTTAGGTAGTTTGAGAGGTGTCTCCGTCCTGTCAGATTAGACTTCACTCGCGTTTATGTCCATATCGAGAGAAAGATAAATAATCTGAATTCAGTGTGCAGTTTACTTTGACGCGGGGGTGAGCAGCAGAGGTGGGGAGAGGCGGGGCTATTGCCTCATCATTATCAGAAAATGATCGTATAGGGCGTACACACGGAGCCGTTTGACCCCCCAGAGCGTTGCGTATGCCGTTCTATCCACCTTGGGACCAGTTATAGTTCCCGCAGTCGTTTAGTGCCGTATTCGGTCGTCCTCGTGTGGCCGAACGGTCTATATGACACTAAACAGTAATGCAAACGACCGTTTTCGTCCTTGTGTGGCCGGGGCCTGAAGCTGTTGGGAGGTGTCATGGGGGATGGTGTCAGGATTGAACTCTTTGTCTTCAAATCTACAGTAGAACTGATTCAGATCGTTTGCAAAGCGTTGGTCATGGAGTGTGAGGCTTTTGGCTTGTAGTTTGTGATCTAGACCACGCCAGACAGAAGCAGAGTCGCTTGCCGAGAGCTGGTGTTTCTCAGAGTATTGCCGTTTAGCATCTCTCACCGCCTTGCTAAAGATGTACTTCGACTCTCTAAAACGTGCCTTATTGCCACTCCTAAACGCCTCCTCGTTGAGGTCTACTAGAATAGATTTACATTGTTCAATGTTCCAAAATCACATTGATTTCTCATACAGCATCTCTTTATAGTATGTGTATTCACTCTGTTCTAAACGGCTTGTTGGAGCTCCTGACCCCTCTCCCACTGTGCTCTGATTGGTCAGCTCGCCCACTCTGTTCTGATGAGTCCACCACTGTTACAGCGGAACATCAGTGTGTATGTGTTACAATGGCGTTTGTTAGCAACCAGAAAATGACACCAGTAATGACAAAGATATGAGAATGCTGCGAATGGAGCGAAGTGAGTGTGTGTGCCGGCGAAGCTCCGGTGTACCGCGGCTGAGAAAAGATAAGGCTGAGTGAGTGTGTGTTACGTCACTTTGACCTGACCGTTACGCCACTATGACCAGGAAGAAAAAAAATGTAAAAGAAAAATCTTCAACGAGGCGTTCTGGGGCAGCATAGACAGGTTATTTCTGTGTTAGAGTTTTACTCGCTACAGGGTGTACTTTGAGGGTTTGTGGGGGATGCGTAAAAACCGGAAAAGCATGTCATGGGACCTTTAAAACTACAAGCTTGTGTATAAAGTAAAACAAATACCATATTAAATTAGGGTGGGCTGAGCCAGCTTACCTCAGGGAGGAGACACTCTTCCTTCTTTGCAGCGAGGAAAACGCAAACCATGCCGAGGAGCTGCAGGTTGACTGTGGTCACTTTGATCACACGCAAGGAGCGGTTGAGGAGGTTTATGGCCAGATAGAGGGTCTCCTCTTGAAAATGCATCATCTCCTGTAAACCATAAGATACAGACCAAACAAATGTGATATTGTATATTAAGTTTTCCCCTCAACCTAGACATTGAGGTAAAATACAAATAAAATAAATAAGTGTTGTTTCAATTTGTTACATTTCTTAATACACATGTTTTGTAAATATGGGAAATTAGAGAGGTCCAAGACAGCTGCCCTGGGGAATTCCACATTGTAGTGATTTCATTTGTGACAGGATACCATTATACAAATACACTGGTTTCTGTTGGATTAGTCCATCAGTACCGTACTTACCATTCACTTTATGTTAATATGTTATACAACCATTTGTTAAATCGTTTTACGCTGTCCATACAAGTACCCCACATGATATTTTACCATGACACCTAAGACAATACAGTCATCTCTTTGGGAGCATTTGACCAGTTTTTAACAAGCACATAATAAAAAACTGAAGACTTGCTTTGTTTCGAGGAAAAAGATACCCTTCATCTACAGTACAGCGAGACTTACATGCACTTGAATGAGCCAGTCTACCAGGACAGAGCGAGTGGCGTCAGTAAAATGCCGGGGCAGATCGGCGCTGGGAAGAGTGTTTATTGCTTGAGTTCTCTGCAGGGTGAAAACAGAAAACAGGAGGCACACACTGAATATTTAACCAGATATTGTGTGGTACGATTTTCTGCCAATCTTGTAAACATTTAGTGGCGAGGTCTGCATAGAAAACCTTTCCTAGAACATTTTAAAACATAAAAGAAAGCCAGTGGATGATTTATGTCTCACCATCATGTCCATGAACATATCCCAGGCAAATGTCCTGTCCCATATGAGATCAAGCTTCTCCAGTGCCGTCTCCACTTCATGGCGCAGCAAGCTGGGCACCAGTGCCTTTAGGCTGTGAAAACCCTGCAGCTGAGGGTAAAGAAGCATACTCTCCTCCACACACCCATCTGCTACACAGGATGGAAACAAGGACAAGTAGGAGTAACATTAGGCAAGTAAATACTTTTTCACTCATTTTCTACAATGTGATAAAGTAACCATCTGTGCACCAAAATCCCTCATTTAACAACTACTGTCATTCTGATGCAGAAACCAAGTTAATCCTCAAATTAAGAGCATCCATTTGAGACTTTAGAGTGGAAATAATCGTTATATTGATGACATTACCAGCTGTGTCTGTTAAACTGTCTTCATTGAACCCCATGATGGTGCTTTCGTTTGTTTGTGCCGATAACCTCCTCTCCTGCAAACAGACAACCCCTTTACACACATGCACTTGGAAGTGAGATTGTTAGGATCATAGCAGAGAAAAAAAAAAACTTGACAATCTTAGCTGAGTTGCTGAAATAAGTTTACAGTGAATGAAACATTTCATATTTGGAGATCAAAACTACAAACCTTTCCATTACAACAAAGGGCAGGTCCTTCACATCTGGACTTCCCTCTAACAAATCATCTATAGGCCTACTTATTTGCTGGGAAATGAGTTTATACTAGCTCAAGCTAAGATAAGACACTCTGGTATGTGTTGGGTGAAGATTACGAGCAGGAAAGAAGGCGTACCCATCTGCGATCTGGCTCCATTTTGACTGGAACCATCCTGGACTCCTCTACTTCTACAGGCTGCCAGCGATCTATTGTCCCACAGGCATACCATGATCTGAGGGGGGCTCGCCTCTCATCCGCCTGCAGGGACAACAGAAAGTCTCACTGCTGCAGATGTAATCAGGATTTACCCATTTTATTACCACAACTGAGGCCAAAAACTACTTGATGGAGACTGTAGGTGGCTGCAGTTCATTCTTTTTATTAAAATCATTTTTTTTAGCAGACAACAATGTCACAAAATGTATGTGTGCAAATAGTGTTTAACTTCAAGCCATCCCAAGGTCACACTCCATCCATCTAATCAGCAGCTCATTGACACCTGGGATCATGGCAGGTGAATTCAATTACTATCCTGACAACACAAACATGGAGCTGACCTGTGTGTTAGAGTTTGAGAAACTGAAGGCAAAGAACATCAAATAAATAAAAGTCTGATAGTTTACAAAACTTGAACTAATAAAGTGTCAGTTACTTTTGGAAATAAAAAATGAATTAATAAGGAGCTAGGTTTATTAAATGAGCTTTCTTCTGAACCCACCCCTAACTGATTGCTCAATTTAACACATCTACAATCAATTATTTCGAAAGAAAAGTTAAAAACCCCATCATATTTAGATGGTTTTATGGTTGAAAACATAGAAACACAAGGAACTTTTTACACATCTAAGACCACCTGAAAACTGAACAAAAATTGTTTAGGTTTGGACTTTTTTTTTTTTGCTAACAAAGTATGATTGAGACTGCTGACTTGAGTCCAGTAAGCAGACCCTCACCTTCTTGTGTAAGTCCAGCAGGGGCTTAGAGTCGCAGAAACCAGTCCGGGCCATGGTGACAGCCGGAGACCGAGTTTCGTCCCGCTGCAGCTACTTATCCACGGTGTCGGTCGGCGGATGCCTGGAGCAGAGAGCAGTCATGCTGCCCGGAGGCGCACAGCCGCTGATAAAGACAGGTGAGCCCCGCTGATTGGCGAGGGGCCACCGGGGTCAGGTACACGGGAGAGGAGCACCACTTCCGGTTGACGTTTCAAAAAATAAACCACGTTTTGTGTCCAAAAAAAACATTATTTATCTTGACATAACCAAACTTCAGGCATAGGCCTATATGTTGTTTATGGTTCATTGTGGAAAACTTGCTATGCTCCATAATAAAGGAATATTTTGACATTCAAGATTTATACAGGAAACACCTTGTCACATCTCACACTAAATTAATGTGCTTCCTTATTATGAATATGCCTGAAATATCAACTAACAATCAGTGTTTTTGGTGTGCTACAATTATTGTGTCTAGATTCATTTGTACATTTTAGGGAGAAATTATAATGTAAATATGTGTGTGTGTTATGCAATCCAATTAAACACTACTTACTGGGCCAAACAGCCAAAGCAAATCTACCTCCTAAATAAATCACGAGCTGATAACGTCTCAGTCTGGGCTGTTCTCAAATTGTTTTGTTTTTTTAAAGAATTATACTGATGTCAAATGTCCCTAAATGCAACCCCACAAATGCATAAACAAACTTGACTACCCACTAAAAAATATCTGTAACTCCTCCACCACATTTTATACAATGATTTGTCTGCTAAAATTAACTTATTGTTTTTGAAATGTGTTTCTGGGCCTAAACTGTCCACATGTAAGGATTTTGATACTTAAAAAAAAGTATAGGACCAGGCTTTACAAAAGTGGATAATGTAAATCTATTTATTTATTGTGTTAAACCCTCTAATTTCCTAACACAACATCCAGGCCATGGCCTGCTTCTTCAATAGCTATGGCATGAAGACGGCATCTGTTACAGTGGATTACACTAGAGTGTGCAGGTGTACAGTGTAAAAATAGCAAAAGAAAGACACAGACACAGATGTATTCAGTAAAAATGTTTACTGGCACATTATAGTTGCAAATGTTATAACCATATTGTAGCAGGTATCACCCATTACATTGTGAAGTCTTGCACAGGGGGGCTGAATCTGTCTACCAGGACAATGTCCTCCCCTTATAGATTGCTTTTTTCATTGCCATCTGAGCCTCAACTAACAGCAACCAGCTAAAAAAGAAAAGAAACTTGTTACACCAGCATCAGGTGTGACATTCGTGACAGTTGCACACATTCAAATATACAAGAAGAAGAGAAGCAAGGTAAACATAGTAAAGCTGCAAATCAAATACTACAAGCTGCAGGCCTCCGACTCTACCAATGCTGCATTCGCCTTCAAGCTTCTTCTTTTTTTGGTATTTACACAATAGTGAGGAGGCACTTGTTGTGCCCGTGTATGCCTACAGGAGAGGTCAGGGGTATTAACTTGCATGTTCAGCTGTGAAGCATTGCTTAAAGCGTGGCCAGCAGCGAGGTTCAGAGTATGGCTTCACAACCAATATTAAAAAAGTTCAGCAGCACCCCCTTATGGCCATGATAGCAATGAAGGCAAATCCACAGTGGAGTCCCATCAGTGCAGTGGTTCTGAAATCCCATCCTGCCGTTTCCAAAGAAGGACACTAGGCTAGAGTATGATGGCTGTGCCTCAGCCAGTGAGAAGAGGTGCTGGAGTTGTGAACTGTAAATCAAAGCCATTCGATCACAATATCATCTGCAGGAACTGGGGCCACCTGCTGCCCGACGATCAGTCAAATACCTGCTGCTTTTCTGTGTCCTGATCCCCACTTTCACTCATACATCTCAGTCACGCACACAAACTTAATGAAAACAAATTCATAAGTGACATGACAGGTATCACAGAGAATGCTGATAGAGGTTTTTCAAACCCTTCAAACTGAGTGCTCTGCAGAGAATGGTATCAAACTACTGATTTCATTATTACATTGTTTAAGCATTGCCTGGAAAAATATATTTTTTGTATGTGTTCTGCAGGATTAGACATGTTTTAACAATCTTATCTTTAGTTTAAAAAACTATTATGTGACCAATTTAAATTTCCCTTGATAATACTTTCTTATAAATGTATGCAACATGTATGTTCAGAACTAATGGACATTATAATGCTAACCATAAATTACCAGCCCATTCAAATCACTGATTGTTACCATCTTAGCAAAATAAGCATCCCCCCATTGGAAACCCATTGAAATGAAGAACGTAATAAAAAAAAAAAAGAAAGCCATTTAAAAACGTTTAATATATAACTTTTATATAATGTATACTTAAACAAGACAATGTGTCTTCAGAAATTTGAGAAATAGATGGACAAAAAAGGAGAATATACAAAACAATGACAAACAAAAAAAGATCATGATGTTCCTTTAGTGAAGCTCTACGAGCAACCAACAACTCTTCCAGCACAATGGAATATAAAATGCTTGTGTTTAAAATGAACATGTTATCGTGTGTTGTAATGACTCAAAAGTATGCATATTTTCATTTCAACGTAACAAAACATCAGCTGGAGTTTTGATTAGTTCCCCTTCTGCGGGTTGAAGGTTGGTCATGCAGTGTTTAGTTGGATTGTAAATCTGCAGACTTTTTTTCCAAGACATACAACCCCAGCGATTGAAGTGCCTTTAACACAACAAGAAAAACACACATGAAAAAAGGATCTAAACATAAGATGTGGAATCATTTGAAGTGTTAAACGCCCTCCAAGTCAGTCGATTTTTGGCCTCATTATAAAGACTTAACGATTTAACTCTCATTCTTTAAATACGAGAACATTCAAACAAATATCTTTAAAACTTACACTGATATTACAAATAGATAATGAACAAAAGATTGGTTCCTAACTCTTCAGCAAGGGAGTGAGAATTACTGGATTGAGGACAGCGAATGGCTGCGTGCGTCTATATTGGTCTTTCTTTACACGTCGGGGAACTGCTGTGAAGTCTCTTTCTTTTTAAATCTTACTATCTTAAACACATATTGAAGCGACTGGCCTTAATGAAAACATACAGCTAGTTTGTCGTGAAGTCAGTCTGGACACTGTACTCTAAGGAAATGACTGCTTGAGTTACATTAATGCAGCTTTTAAAGCAACGGTTAGCAATGCATTGGATCCTAGTTTCTTTTCCTAAGCTCCAAGATGGTTACAGCAATCCTAAATCACATGCTTGTTCCCTTTAGAAAAGGCCATTGAGTGTGTCGCGTAGTGTCCTCTCTAGTTGATGTTCCAGCAATAGTTTGAAAACATGCACGAAAACAGACAAAAATTGATGGTTGAGAATCCAAAAAAATGGTTGTTCATACATCCTCCTGCACTCACATGCACATTCACCTGCTCATACATACGTGCAGTGCAAACACAGAAATGGCAACCCTCCTCCCCTTCCCCATCTCCCCTCTACTGTAGGAACGGTCCCACCCATGATTTGTAACAGCAAGTTCCAGAAAGAGCACTTGTTAAAAAAAGAAAAGAAATATGGCCTTACATTTAAAACCGTAACAATCGATGAAATAAAAATTTGCCTTTTAGCACAAATCTTTTTCCGTAATTTGATTATGCTTTTGTTAAAATGCTATCAAGTACGTCTGCGTATATATAGATGCAGTCTATGCATGGGTTGGTGTGTGTGTGTGTGTGTGTGTGTGTGTGTGTGTGTGTGTGTGTGTGTGTGTGTGTGTGTGTGTGTGTGTGTGTGTGTGTGTGAGCGTGGGTACAGCTGGTAGAGAGGTGGTACTTGCTGGCATAACCTGGTTTTCAAAGTGTCACAGCTTTGACGTGGTGCCCCAGTGCAGCGGACGTCCTGCAGGAGGGCCTAAAGCCCCCCCCCCCCTCCCCCCCAGAGACAACGCTGCCAGTCTCTCCACACAAACCTTCTGAGGTCAGTCATTCACGGCCCGTGTGTTCGTCTCATACTCCATGATCCCCGTCTTGTCTGAATAGCCAGGATATGTGTATGTGTGTGTGTGTGTGTGTGTACGTGCATTAAACACCCAATGAAAATGTGTCTTGTGCAAGTTTCTGTGTGTGTCGTTCCCCAGCAGTGCAAGTGTGTGTGTGTGTGTGGGATTGTGATCGTGTGTTAGCCTGCCTGCTTGTTTCAAGAGTCTGAGTGATCATTCCCGTATGCTGGCGGAGTAGGAGAACTGAGGGAAGTGCGTGCGCTGATCCGTGTCCTCTGCGTCTAAACTGTCAACTGGAGTATACAAAAGGAGAGAAGACGGAGATAAACGTGTTAACCCTCAAATAAATCCAAACTTGGAGCACAACAAAAAGCACACGATGTACTCACACTTGTCAGGCGGCGTTATTGTTATGGTTTGTGCTGTGAACTCATCATCAAAGTAACGCGTGTCCGTCTCCGATGTCACCTGGGGTTTGAACGGGGGAATGAGCTGAGGAGAAAAATACAATCGGTCATTTTACATCAAATGACATTCTATTTAGCTAAATGATAGAGGGCTTGATAGATCAAAAGTGACTTCAAATAAGTTAAAGCGGACCTATCATGCTATATTGTAGGGCCATACCTATACAAAACATGTCTGTGAAGTTCTTTGCTTAAAATACCAAACAGATCACCCATTGATTGTAGCCGTGATAGGTCCCCTTTAAATCAACCAAGATACAAAATAAAAACTGAAAGAATCATGCATGTATCAATAAGTGCTTCTGCATTGGATTCAAATAAGCCAAACATTTTTTACTGTTTTTATTACATGTTATGTTATATTGGCCAAGGTGACGTCATAACGGGTAGGTTACATCCTACAGGGCAAGATGTGTCCTGATATCAATGTGGAGCTTGTTCCAACACTAGCCAGGATAGCTTGTTATTGTTGTGTTTGTTCACACCCTGAACATCCTAAGAACTGCCACGTCATTTGTTTATTTCCCCGGAATCTCACCTTTTTCTCAAGAACATCCTGCCAGTTGATGGAGGAGAAGAACTTGTGGCTCATCACTTCTTTGGCATCATCTGGGCCGCCCCCGAGCCTGTAAACAAAACAAAAACACCATCATCATCTCCACCCACTCACCAGCTACCTTTATTTATACAGATAATTGTGCAAACACCGACGTTACAAATGTACACCGAGCACTTCTGCCGTGTTGTTCTGATAAATGTGTCTCATTTCCTCACAGGTGCTGGTGTTGGTAAGGCAGGCAGTGCTCAATGTACTAATTTTAGCAAGCTCTTCGATTGTTCCAAGAAACACTGGGGCTCGACAAAAACAACAATCAATTATGTCTGTGTTCATGGCCGTTGAAAACTAATCAAGAAGGAACAAAGGTTTAATAATGTGGTTACTTATTTGATAGCTGGATTTGTGGGGCCCCTGAGCACAGAAGAAGATTCAGGAAACTAATCGAGTGTTACAGACATGGTGCAACATCGCAGGAAGGAACGGTCTTTTTCTTGAGCTACACTGCTGCATCACTCTGTTTTTTACTATTATACAAATTGTAACACTGACAATGTTTGATTTCTCTCCATGTTTGCATGCTATAACGTTACACATACATTTGAAAAAACATTGTCATCTTTGAAATAAGATGAAAAATAATGTAATGATTTTTAAAAGAATACATACATGTCCACTGTATGGCCGGCTTTTCTTTTACACTAGCATACCAATATATCTACTTTGATGATATGTTGTGCTCAAGCTAGGGCTGCTCAATTAATCGTATTTGAATCGCAATTACGATATTGGCTTGCAACGATTATGAAAACAACATAATCGAAATTAAACGATTTTTATTTGTCTATTTTTCTTATTGGTTTTTTAGTTGAATTATACTTAAAGTTCAGGGTAATCAACAGTTAAAAACATACTGTTCACATTTCTTTTTCAATAAATGGATGTTTTCAAAGTAAATGGATAATCGTTTTTAATAATCGTGATATGGTTTTTGCCATAATCGAGCAGCTCAAGCTATTTTTAAACGCTGCCTAATACAGTGACATGTCTTTGTCTCTGTTAAATGGCTTTGGTAAAACGTGATGTTTACAGAAAACTGACCTCAAGAAATGTGTAGGAGATTAAATGACTAGCTTTAATATAACGCAAGTTTTCATTTTGGATAAATATCTTTGTGCAGAGTTGTGAGCCTTTCGCACTACAGATAATCGTGAGACTCATTTTGATCCTGATTATCCAGACACATTGTTATATTTACTAAATGAGGGTTTGATTCCCACGGTGTATGGCCTAGCTGCTAACCACACACACCTTTGTTTGGGATCCTTTTTGAGCAGGCCGGCCAGCAGGGCCTTGGCCTCAGGAGCCAGGTTCTTGGGGAAGCGGATCTCCTCCATGAGGATGAGCTCAAAGAGACGCTCGTGGTCCTGGTTGTAGAAGGGCAACCGCCCACACATCATCTCGTACATCACCACGCCCAGCCCCCACCAGTCCACCGCCCGGCCGTAGTCATTGTCCTCCAGCACCTGGCAAGGTAGAACATTGAAAGAGTTGAGAGAAGAGAGGAATATCATCAAGAAACTATTTTTACTTATTTTCTTTTAAAAAACTTTAAAAGTCCTTGTTTTTTTTATTATCTGATGGGCTAGTAGGCAAAAAGCCCCCCAAAACAACAACTAAGGTCCGATTTACAATAAAAAAGGTTTATATTTAGCCGAATCATGTAATTGTGTTTCTGTTTCTTTAACTGCAGTTCACTTCAAAAAAGATAATGGCCTTTCAATAGAGATGTATTTTTGGAAAAGATTGAGAGAGCAGACTTTCTTCTCCCAGGAACCTGTTGATTAGAAATGCTCTGTAGGTCAATTCACATTTCCTAAGTGTTAGTATGCTCATTATAGAGCCACCAGCTCTCCCAGCTGAACTACTGTTCATACAGCTTGTTCCCTTAGTGCCCCACGAGGCATCAACAAAGTAGCTCCAAAATGTTCAGACATGAAACTACCGTCCTATCAAAACTTAGATTCCATAGAATAGATTGCATCACCTGCATGGCTTCAGCGTATATTTACATAGACATGGTGACAGAAACATAATAATGTGTGATTCCTCAGCCGTGGTGAAGTTACCTCTGGTGCCAGGTACTCGGGGGTTCCACAGAAGGTTTTCATGGTGGCACCGTCCGTGATGCCCTCTTTACACAGACCGAAGTCTGTAATCTTTATGTGGCCGTCCTTGTCCAACATGAGGTTCTCCAGCTGTGCAGCGAGAGATTTAGTTTACAGTCAAATTATTACAAATATTCCTTCAGCTTGTTTACTAATTGAATACAATACTGTCATACACTTTTTCACCAATGATTTTCAATGACTTCTCCATGACCTTTACCTAATTTTCCATGACCAAAGAAATGACTCATTCTCAGCGGTACCACTGAAACATTTTGATTTTAACATGGTAAGCTGGAAAATAAGGTCTGCATATGAAACTTGTTGTGCCTATCTAAAACAAATCAAACAGTAGGCTTACTAGCTCCTACAGACTAAAGCCACTGGAGACTAGAGGGCGTGATTGTAAAAATCTCTCACCAGCAAAATACCTCGTCAGTTAAATGCCATTTTACGTTTCATTACCATACGATACAGTATTTATTATCGTTATAGTATTACGACGATTAGATCAAATATAAATTATATTTGATGCAACTTTGGTTACATTTCCATGACTTTGGGAAAAATATTGTTTTCCATAACTTTTCCAGGGCCTGGAATTTGCATTTCCATGACTTTTCCAGGTTTTTAATGACCGTAGGAACCCTGGTCATAACAAGATCTTACCTTTAAATCCCTGTAAACTACATTGCGTGAGTGTAGGTACTCCAGTGCTGACACTATTTCTGCACCATAAAATCTTGCTCTGTCCTCTGAGAACACTCTGTCTCGTGATAAGTGAAAGAAGAGCTGAAAAAGAATTAAAAAAGAAGGAACAGGAGTAAGGTCATATGTAGGTGTATTAACACATCGGACACAATAGTGGGCCAGGAGAAAAATAGAAAAAACTTACTTCTCCACCATTTGCATACTCCATCACAAAGCATAGCCGGTCATGAGTTTGAAATGCATATTTTAGTGTCTGTAGAGAGGGAAACATATTTTAACATCCTGTCAGTTCCTTCATTTAGTAAAGTGCAAAATAAGGCAACAGTACCAGCACTAGAAACTCACCGTTAGAAAGGGATGCCGCGTATTTTGGAGAACTCTGCTTTCTGTAACAGTGTGTGCCACTTCATCCTAGAGGAGTACACACAAAGTTACATTGAGTACATGCAAAGATAATCAAATGTAACATTACTGTTCAAGAACTCTGTGAAGTCTAGATATTACTGTGATAGGCACTTACTTTAGCAATGATGACTTCTTTGCGGAGGATTTTCATGGCGTAGTACATCCCCGTGGCCTTCTCCTTCACCAGGATAACTTTACCAAATGTCCCTTTTCCCAGAAGCTTCAGATAGTCAAAATCACACATGTTCTGCAGAAAACACAATTAAAGAAAAACATGTATTAGTGCACTACATATGCTGTGTCCTAAAACAAACACACACACTTATTTTGTGCAGATGAGATACGACATGCTGAAAATGTATTCATATTTCCCCGGAAATCACATAATGAATCCGTTAAGTCACATAAAAAAAGACACCATGCAGAGATCAGAATCGGATTTTTCTGACATTTGCCCTATTGTAGAATAAAATACAAATTATTAAACAAATATATATATTTATATAAAACACAAGTATAAGTAGTAAACTAAAAAAAACAGTTAGATATCACTGTAAACCTAAGAAGTGAAAGTAATATGTACAATAACATTTTGTAATTGTTTAAAGTCAAGGAATGAATATAGAAATGCTTAATGTTTAGTTTGTTATAAGTCTCCTACATATAAATAATCACAAAAAACATAATTACACAAATGTTGCTCTGCATCATATAAAGGTTGCTTCACCCAAAAATGTTGAGAAAGATTTAAAGGCTTAGCGTTTAAACGAGTTGCAAACCCTCGGCTGCCAGGCTCAGCTAGTGCAAATACTGACCACTTTTGTGCGTAGTTTGGACACAGCAATCTCCATCTCCTCCGTGCCGCTGATGTCACTTGGTGAGCCAAATTTAATCTCCATGGGCTCCTCGTCGTGCTGCTGACTCTTCAGGCCGTTTGCCACCGCCTGGATCGATCGCATCCACTCCTCCCTGACCCCGAAGGAAACACACATTACTGTTATCAAATCAAGCCATGTCTACATTGCTCTGAATATAAACATCTGAATTGGCTACTACTACTACTACACTGTGTACCTGAAGGTACACAGTGTAGTAGTAGTAGTAGTAGCAGCACTGATGTTTGTTTTGTAAACTCTTTGTACTCCGACAGATGGTTCAGACGTTGTGCCAAAATATATATCTTAAAAGGAAAAACAGGAGTCTAGCGGCCTACATTTGGGAAGTAGAGGATAATCTGGGGGGCTGCTGGGATTTGGGCAGAGCCGATTTCAACAAAATGTGATAACGATTGCTTAGGTTGGGGGGGGAATAATCATGTTTAATCTGGAACTGAATTCTATTTCGAGCAGGAGGGTATTTTCTACTCTTGCAAAGTAAAATGATTTCTTAGTATTGAGGCCTTTACGAGTTCTATTCTCAGCAAATGAGGATGTGGTAGGGTTTAGTAAAACATAGGGGAAATGGTGTTTCAACCATGAAAACAGTTATAGAAAATAAGTAAATGAGACTGTCTAAAATATATCTGGACTATTTACATTACACACCGGGGAGAGGACACCAGACCTTTAACGGCAGACTACCTTCAAGCTACAAGTAAAGTTACATCTAATTATATAAATAATGATATGCAAATAAAGCACAATGTCTGGCAGAAGAGTGCCTTAGACTGAGTAGAGTGAGTGAGGCAGAGAAGACGTGCCATATACGTATTGAGGATAATAGTGGTATTTTACATGTTCATTTGATTAGCTAATCTCAAAAAGCCGCTAGCCTGATTGCAGACTCTTCTAAAACTTTTTTAATTTAGATTTTAATTAATTGTATTTATTCAGTCCTGTGTTTATTGACTCTTTTGGCATTTAGTGTTTTTATCAATCGGTTTAAGGACTGGGAGGGGGGTTAGTAATATTTGTTTTGGAGCACCCTTTGTGCATGACAATTGCTATATAAATAAAGTTTGAATGATTGAAAACAAATGTTCATCATTGCTGTTTTATTGTATGTTTATATTAATCCGGTTTTTCAGTGAAGACTGTTTCACATGTAAATGAATGTGAAATATACTGGTGGCCAACTACAGGTGACTCACATTTTAATAGGGTTTTATCTTCAAAACAGACAGAAAAGAAAACAATAAAACTGAAATGAATGTGTTTTACCTCTCCTCGTTGCTGTCTACATGGAAGGTGCGCTCGATAACAGAGGTCCATTGCAGGCATCGAATGACAAATGTGTTGGGCCTTGGGCGCTCTGTCTTCATCAGCTGGCATTCTGTAAGCAGAGACACATCAGCCAACACTGAACAACTCAAGGCAGCGACAACTAAACATCAAACCACTTCTCGGAGTTTAATCCGCCACTTATTTGCCAGCAAGATGGGAAAACCGACCTGCGACAGAGAAGTTGTTGAGCGGTGGGAGGCTGTGGTCACTGGACACCTCGGGCTTCTCTTTGTAGCCGATGAAGGATCCATCGCTCTTTAAGATGAAGTAACGAGGCCGCCATGTTTTAATGTATTCACCTGGAAGACAGACAGATTTTGATCCAAATCGGTTTTAATGTTTGACACCTTGCTCCTGTGTTTGTCAAAATATTATCACAGTGAGGAGACTCCAACTTACAAGCCAAAGAGGGAAGTATTTAATAATAAAAAGGTATAGATTTTTTATCATACACTATTACATTTATGTCAACCCAGATTATGGATGGTGAACACAAGGGGCCCCCTTACCTCTCTTGTGGAGCCATCCCTCTCTCACAACACTGACTTCATTCATGCTGGGGCAGAAGACTGTCTGCGTTGGGAGGGGCTGCAGACAAGCTGGTGGAAATTGTGCAAACGGTTCCTATTGGTCAAGTCCCTGAGAGTGGCTCAGATAAAAAATATATATCATGTAACACCTGCAGGAAAAGGAACAGAAAGAAATACTGTAAATGCAGAATACACGGGTGTCAAACTACCTATAAAAGACAAAAACAATGCTAATCGTAGCACGGCGTAACTTTGACATGTGACTACAACTCACAAATACAAACAATGTTATTATTCTTGGTGACTCAGTTTGGACTATTTACAATTTATGGCTGTACAGAATAGTTTGAAGCTTCAATAATAACATTCAAATATGATTTTCTATATTTAACATTTAAATGCTGAGCAGCTTTTGTGAGATAAAGATTAGGCTACGATAATATTATTAGTATTATACTATTTATAGAATTATATGTTGAGGCTGCGAAGGATTATATCAGACGAGCATTGATCCAAACATTTTCAATAACTCCAGATCATTGTAGGTGAGACAAACATATCCCTTATAGCCATTCACTTTTGACATATAAACAGTTTTTTTTAAATGAGGCCTGAAGAAGGTTTGAATACAGCCAGGAAGGGGGAGAAGAAGACAAAGTGAAAGCATAGGAAACTTTCTGTGTATTGCGCTTGATGCCTATCTAAGTGTTGTCACCACAGCACTGCGCTTGAATAAATTCCTCACCTTCACGCACTCCGTTTCCTTGAAACACAACAACGAAAAGTGCTGACATCTGCAAGTCTGCTCACAGCCTTATATCTGATCATCTGACACTTAGGACAGTGATATCCAAAACAGGACTAGCATAATGACTATAATAAGATCTCATGCAAATCAGAGATGCAGTGTCAAAATACATCTAAATGATATATACAGTACATTATGGGAACTATACAACTGATATAACCATAAGCTAAATCTCTGCAAAGCGCTGTATTTCTAATGTAATAGCCTCCCACAGCTCTTGCTGAATGTGTGTGGAGAGGCCTTGGTGATCCAGGGTCAGCCCTGAACCAACAGCTTATGTTAGATAATAGGTTTAACAGAATTTCACAATATTTCAGTGAAAGTGACGGGGTTGAATATTACAGTGCATACAGTTACCAGAACACAAAGCCTGTTTGAACTGCTTTGTTTACAAAGATAAAAACAGATAAGGGTTCCCACGACTTCAGACTCTGTTATGACCATCAGAGGTGCATCCACGGTTGTTCATAAATGTACTCATTATACAAATCCCCAAATCTGAATGGCTAAAATAATACATAGTACGTACTGCTATTTGAGAAATATGAAGCACAACTGCACGTTGTACACCAATAAGCAGTGTTGGAAGAAGTACTCAGATCCTTTACTTAAGTAAAATTACAATTACTATTGTCTTAAGATACTCCACTACAAGTAAAAGCCCTGATTGCACAATGTTACTTCGGTAAAAGTATGAGCATTTAAATGTACTTAAAGTACAGAAAGTACTCATTCTGCACAATGGCCTCATAATAATATAACATAGTATTATGAGCTTAATGTACTTCAAGTATCAAAGCAAAAGTAGTACGTACACGTTATGCATCATATTATCTTTAGACAGTAATATTCTTTTTAATACATGTCAGAGTATTTTAGAATTGTATGTGGACCAAATACTGTGTAGATTAGTAGTACAGTACTGCATTATAGCATATCGTGTGTTTATATGCGTAGTGCGTACAAAGTAACTTTTAGAGTAAGTAGAATAAGTACAAGTATAAAGTAGCAATACATGGAAATACTCAAGTGAAGTACAAATATATCATAAAATAAAGTAAGTACAGTAATAGTAAATAGTTACTTTCCATCACTGCCAATAAGTGACAAAGAGGGCATCTAATATCTAGTCAAGCGTAAAGGTAATTGTCTTCATGTAACGCTACTTGAGAAAACGTTTTTTTATTAAGCCAGTAAAAAGCAATACTTGACATTGCTACCCAGTTAGAATATTAACACAGTTAATCAATATCTGAAAAATTACATACCTAACCCTACCACAAGCTTCTCCGCGTAAACATTAACGTAGCGTCAACACATCCTCATCCTCTCAGCGTCACATTTGTAGCTACTAGCTAACTGAACAAGAGTCAACACACGTTACAAGTCCAAAGACGGGTCAGATGACTTTTGTATGTTAGCTTAACAGTAAACAAGTTGCCAAAACACTTAAAATAAAGCTGATGAGCTGTTTGGCCAAGTGGTGCGACAGACAAGCAGTGAGGACACTGACCATGACCGCATTACGACCAAACAAGGCAGCTAGCCAAAATAGCTTTCAAGCTAACAGCTAGTTAGCATATCAGTTAGCAACTTGCGCTACTTCTCCTCATTACCTTACTATGTCTTTCCTTACCTCGACTTCAGCGACAGAAATACTCCCAGCTGGTCTGCTCTTGAAGAGGCTCGGAGGTAGGCTGTGTAGAGCTCTCACCAGTTAGCACTTGAAGCGTGTGTGTATTGAACTCTGTCAATGATCACACAGCTAAGCTGCTCGCTGAGCTTGTTTTCTTCCCTCACAACAACAGCGTCGGCGACGGCGTGCTTTGGGTCTGTTGCTGCTGCAGTGGCTCACTGAAGCGTATTGAAGCCAGCGAGAGAATAAAGTCCACCGAGCGCCTGAACTTGATGGATATTTATGTCGAACACGAGTACATATAATGTCCAACTCCTGGGCGGATAAAAACCCCTCTTTATGGGTTTAATGTGGTTAGTCGTCTGCTAAGCGTGGAAGGAAGCACTCCGTCCCAGGCAGACAGTACAGCAGCCCTGCAGACGCACGCAGCAGGAAGTGACGTAGAGGCCGGAGAGGGTCCACTGGTCCACTGCACCTGAACAGTCTGTGTGAAAGTACATAAAGTACCGCAACTGTAACCTTAACGTCCACACAAAGCTGCTGGACAGATTCTCTGACAGATAGGCACTGCGAATAAGGTTTAGAAAGTCGTGTAAAGTGTCCTGAAGAGGATGTTGTTAGCCACCTTCTCTTTTAACCCTGATCCTAGCAGCAATATTTGACATACATGACTTATGTAAAATACTTTTTTTCATTTTAATGGGGTGATACAAATGGATATTCAGAATTCCCCTTTGTAAAAAAAACATTCTGTTCCAGTAAAATATGAACATTATTAATAAAGTAATGCCTGCTTTGCATACGTAAACATTTCCTTATTGTTGGTGCAACTATTAACATTTTGAACCCATTTCCTGTAGTGTTATTCCCCTTAAAGCAACAACATCGTCAAATCCAAACAACACAGGAAATACAAACTGGGGACAGCATTATAAAATACTGTACACAACAACCATTATAGAAAACAAACTTGCAAACAATATTACTTGTGTAATAAATGACATCTGAAAACGTATTATTATTATTATCCTATTTTTGGAGGCAATAGCTTGCAATACTTTAAATGAGGTATCATGGTAAACATTTACTCAATTCGTATTTCTATCCATTAAGTTTAAAATGGCAGACTTGAGAATATTTGAATCAGGGGTTTTAAGGACCCCAATACATGGTGTTTTATTTAAAATAACTTAAAAGGGTAGTATTAAGGTAAATCCACTCACTGTTTCATAATAAAACTGAAAGTTACTTTGGATTTGAACCTTGTTGAAAGAACTGTCATACATGTGTATATATATACATACTTATAAAGCATTGTTTGTGAAGTGGAGAGATTAAAGAAGTGCAAGGCAATTTTATAAATGTAACAAATGTTTATTATACAGGAATCATTTACAAAAATGCTTCTTTGGTACATCATATGAATCTTGTGCCTAAAAAGAAAGAACTTTCCGTCAAAGAGCTTTATTTTTGTTGTCTTTGTTGCTTTCTCTGCAGGTAGCGTGCACGAGCATCGCCGACAGCAGTTTCGTTGTTTCGCTTTTCCAGCTTCTTCATTATGTCCTCAGTAGAAACCTCTGAAAAAAGAAGAATACATGTATTATGTTATATATGACTTAATTCTTCAGACACGGAATTGTAAAACAACCAAATGGCCTTTCAATCCACCCTGTACAATAGGTGGACCTTTAACTTGATTATTTAATCAAATGGGACCATAAACAGGAACCATTAAGCTGTAGAAATCACACATTCAAAACTTATATTAAATGAATTCTGGAAACCTGCTGGTCTTTTGGCTGCTTCCCTGCTCTCCCATTTCTTCATCTCCTCCTCAGTCACTTCTTCTCTCGCCACACTGCTCAGCTCATAAACGTCCACTTCATGAAGTTTAGGTAATAAGTCCTTCACCCACTCGTATCGAATAGGACACGCCGTCCTGACGTACATCCGCGAGGTCACCAGCACATCGTGGAAGATAATCCAGTTCAGCTCACCCTCCTGGTCAAACAGCTGAGAGCAAAGAGGGATAATGATCAAAGTAGGAATTCAGAGAAAAGGCATGAAAGTGGTGGTTCCAAAAGTATCCTCAATGAAACTGTGTTTTATTTATAAAGATATTCTTAGAAGTAGTTACCGATGAGGCTGGATGAATGTGAACCATGGATCCGTGACCGTCCATTGTACAGAACACCTTTCCAATAGACCTATGTTGGGGAAAGAAACATTTAACTGAAGATTTTTTCAAACACAGCTAATGTTACATTACTAAGAGATAATAAAGGAATCCCAAAGTAGAGTTAAATATAGATAATGTTAAATAAACATTGGTGATACCTTCTGGCGACGTTGGTGAAGTATCCTGAGCACAGGCATCGTCTGAAGAGTTCACTCTTGTTGCCGTCAAATGTTTCTTCAGGGAAATCTCTCTTCTGAAAGAGAACAAAAGTCACACTTAAATGAATGTGTGATGGCAAACAAACTAAACCATTCATAAACTACAGAGTTAAATATTGGACCATCACAGCTATCTTCAAAGAGCTCCATACAAATAATGATGCAACACTGATGTGTGGAGCAAGCATGATATATCACAGCTAAGAATAAAATAGGCAGGATTGCACATTTGTACATTACAGCAATATGAAGGATCTAATAAAGCATGGGCACCATTCAGTTAATGATACTGTATGAAAATGAGTTGTGTAAACCTGTTGGAGCCGGAGGAGAATATCTCTCAACTGAGTCTCCACACTGAAGGCTGACTTCAGCGCCCTCCAGTGGACCCAATGATCTTTACACCACTCTGATGGTCTGTCACTGCAAGAAGCAAGAGAAGGCTCACACTTACAGAAGATATATCATCATGCAGTATAACGTCATGAATACATTGCAAGTAGGAAACTAACACTGACATTTCTGACATATAAATAATGTATATTGTGGCATTAATGAGTTATCTACCTGGATTGACACGACTGAAACACACTGAGGAGAGTGGCGAAGTCGTTCATACTGCCGCTCTTGGCAGCCAGTGCTTTGTGCTGTTGATCTGCCTCCTTCTGCTTCTCCGGGTGGCCTGCAGGCAGGAAGAGAGTCGTCACACCACACCTCCTGACACATTATATACATCTATAATATCTGACACTTCCTTTAATATCACCTAAATATTATGGATTACAATTATTTATTTTATATTTCGTTAGCTCTTTGTATTTTCCCGCTTGTAATTTTTCAATAGAACACTTATTTTTGCACTGGGACTTCACCATCAGAAGCTAAACACTGTGCAATTCACCTTTAATATTGTTGTTGCTAATACCCCGCTGTATATATTGTAGTATACATGTTTTATCTTTTAGTAGCAAGTGCATATTTTTACTTTATATAAATATTTTTATTCAATCGTTATAGTTTAACACATGTTTATACAAATATATATATATATTTTTTTATTTAGTTCCAGTGGACATTTTTACTTTAACTTCTTATGTGTATATGAATATATTTATATTGCACATCTTTACATATAGGTTTATATACATATTTGTATTCTATTATTTTATTTATTTTATTCTATCTCAAACCCCATTACTCCCAGGATAAATCTATATTGTTATTCAGAATTGTTTTTCATTTAAAAGCTACATGTACTGACCTGGCCTGATGAAAATGTTCTCCACAGACAGCATGGCGGCCACAGGCAGCAGCAGGTCCTGGCAGCCCAGCGAAGCGGCTTTGAGCAGGGCTCTGGTGAGGCCGGGATGCAGGGGGAACTCCACCATCAGCTCCCCCAGCCGGGTCACTCTGCCTCTCCTACAGCCAGCACACCACACAGATAAGGCATGACATTTCATAGAGAATTACTCAATCCCAGTAATGCGGAGCGTAGAGAGTCCACAGGTTTTCCCACTCACCTATCGATGGCATCAAATTGGTAGAGCTGTTTTAATGCCTCCAGAATAAACCTCTCCTCTGGACAATCCGGATAAGGAAACCTTAAAATAAATCAAATCATTACAAAATAATAATAAGTATTTAATTGGACATTTGATACACCTGATTCTATTGTAAATGTATATCGTTTATTTATTACTGCATTTTACTGGCATCATTGTGTCACTTGCAATATTTTATATCTATTTCTTTTGAGGTCTTATGTATATGGTATGTTTCACTGTTAGAGCCTGGGACTTAAGCTTTTAATTTGTAACAACTACACTGTAGCTATCATGAAAGGACAATAGAATCTTTGAATATTTGAAAAGGTAAAACAAAACGAGCATAAAGAAATGATAAGTATAGGAAATAAGACAGAATAACCATACCTAATGACATCATGAACACCCAGGCACTTGAGGGTGAGAATCACTGCGGTCAGACTCGTCCTCTGGATTTCTGGCACTGTGTATTCAGGCATGCACTTCTCCCAGAATTCCTTGTTGTAGATTCGAAAGCATTTCCCGGCTGATGTTCTTCCAGCTCGGCCTGCTCTCTGCTGAGCCTCGCTCCTAATAACAACAACAACAACTTTTAAAAAATGAGTCTGCAAGCTTTCATAATGGCATGGGTGTCAGCAGGAAAATTGCTTTTAGCAGGTTTGAAATGACATGTTAATTATTCCAAAACTCACTTTGAAATCGGCACCACCTCCAAGATATCCATGCCCACCCGTGAGTTGTGGTTGAGCTGCTTCACAAACCCGCTGTCAATGATGTACCTTTATGGGTAAAGATTTGGATGATTATATATTTTGCGCAAAATATTTTAATGATGTTATTAGACACACAAGTATTGTTATATATCTGATAAATGCTGCCATGTTTTCAGCCAATAAACACACTCACTTTATGCCATCGATGGTGAGAGATGTCGCTGCGATGTTAGTTGCCACTACACACTTCCTGATTCCTGGAGGTGGGGGCTGAAAGATCTGCCTCTGCTGATCTATGATGAGATCAAAAATAATAGTTAATTTGGGGAAACAAAATATATTGAATTGACTTGACAATAAATCAGATGTATGTATTTACCAGTGGGCATGGATCCGTAAAGGGGCAAAATAAGAAGGCCCTCCACGGTTTGGTCCTGCACATCGTAGCGGTAGTCTATAGACTCAGCTTTTTCATACAACATGTCACAGGCGCGCTCAATCTCTGACTGCCCTGTGATGTGACACATGGAGAATTTAAATAACTCAATGCCTCAGGGTTAAGTTGTACTGCGATCTTAGAGCTTGATAGTTATGACTGACCTGTCAAAAACACAAGAATATCCCCTGCCATTTCACTGGTGTGCACATCAAGGGCCACTTTTACCACCTGAGGAGCAAAAAAGAATTAAGCTATAACAACACATTTAATCTTGAATGTTGAGGTATTGTTGTAAAGTTTCAACTTTGAACCATGAATGAAAAACACCTAATGTATGCTGAGACTCAGTACCTCTTTCATATAACCAGTGCTCTCAAAGTCTTTAGGTCCTACAGCAAAACCAAATGTGCTGGTGACAGGGAACATCCGCCCAGGAATAGCAAAGACGGGGCAGTCGCCAAGAAAGGCGGAGAGTTTGTCAGTTTCTAAGGTGGCTGACATCACCACCACCTTCATAGGAGAAGCCCGGCCCTTGGGGGCTTTGGCGGGGTTAGAAAACCTTTTCTTCAACAGACCCAGGAGAATATCCTGCAACGAATACAAACTCTTACTACAAGTGCAGATTGAAACATAGACAGAAATAACTACATTTTGTAAGCTAACAAATGTCCCTTTGGAACTCACTAAAAAACACATCAGATGTTGTGTCTCCCTAGCATGTTTGAGCAATTGATAAATACAATGGTTTTTTTATTATACATTATTTGTTTTAAATTGCTCAACATAATGGTATAATAAGTAAATAAAGGATAACTAAAGGAAATGGAATTAGGATAAACAACAACATCTTGTTCTTCTTTAAGAGTTTATAAGGTAAAGTGTCTTAATATATTCATTAAATTCAGATAAAATAATTAAAATAGGATTGGTGTAACCTTTGTTATTTTATATTTATGTATGTTCAAATCTACCATATCAAATGATTATGTTAAAATTAATTATTATATGTCATGTCATTTTTTTAAATTACATTTTTGATATTTTGATTAGTTTTACACATTATATAATCTTAAAGTCATACATTAATGTTAAACATCTTGGATCAACGTCATATGGACTCACTGTGTTGAGGCTGCGCTCGTGGACTTCATCCAAGATGACCACGCTGTACTGAGGAAGGATCGGATCAGCCAGGATCTCTCGGAGCAGGCAGCCGTCTGTCATGTACTTCACCTCCGTGCTCTGGATCAAACACAGTCACAGTTTCATGTCAACAAATATTTAAAAGAACTACATTGTAGTTTATTCAGGGTATTTTTGCCTATCTCACCTCTGATGTGCAGTCATCAAAGCGCACTTGGTAGCCAACCTCTCTACCCAGAGTGCATTGCATCTCATGGGCGACCCTCTGGGCCACAGTGATGGCAGCCACTCTGCGGGGCTGGGTGATGCCAATTTTGCCATCTTTACAAAAACCTGCAAAACAAGTAAGAGGAAGGGGTTCACCTTAGTGCAGTGGTCTCATGTGTGACCGCTGTGTTAATAAATGCCAGACACTTTTTACACAATTTTGAGAGTATGGGCTATTTTTCTGCCAAAATATGTTTTTTTTTTAGACAACTGTAAATAAAGTACACATTTCGTTTTGTATTGTACAACAATTTGTTTCTTTGAATCTGTAGATGTATCCTACAATCAGCATTAGTGAAAGCCTCTCTAATACACATTTGAAAAAATCATCAGGGGAAGTTTGACAATGTATGTAATTTTTCAATCCATAACTTTAAAGGACAATTTGTCAAACATATGTGTCTTTTTTCTCATAGCCTACTCTGAGCCAGACATCTTCGCTTTAGCAGTAAGGTACTAACATAAAACAACATTCCTTCGCATTTGTATTGCAATTATACATTTTTACTTTGCATTGCATGTTGATGTTTTTTTATTTAACATTTAAACCCTTTTTAGAAGTAGTGTATCTCCCCTTAAACCACAAATCACATGTAAATGCTGTCATCTAACTTTAGAACTTTAAAGATTGTTACATAGTAGTTCTGATCTATGTAGTGTCTAGTGTGTGCATTAGCAATAGTAAACCTCATATAACCACAGAGGAAGCAGCTAAAAGACAGCTTACCAGCTTGATGAAGGTACTTTGGAAGTTGTGTGGTTTTCCCGCTGCCAGTCTCACCGGTGATGACCAGAAAAGGGCTGTCTTTGACGGCCTGAACCAGCTTGGCTTTGTGCAGATAGATCGGCAGGTTCTTCGGGTTATTTTCTTTCGGGTCCAATCTCGTTGATTTGGACATAATAACAGACAACTCTTGAGTACCTTTACCCGCAGAGAACAGTGTGAGGAGCTGAACAGTCAAAGCTAATACCGATGTTTATCACCCGGTACACGGTTTAGTTGGAGTTATTTGCCCACTGACGGTTTAAAACTTTACAAAATTAAAGTTTCTTTCACATTTCTGTGTGTCGTTTCAAAGACGACACGCTCGCTGAACAACTTCCGCAAACTATCTCATTCTGTGTTTCTATTGGTCGAGGTGGGAGCACATGACCGAAGAGCCACTGCCATAGAATGTAATACAATATGTTCACAATTCTATTTACTTTCTTAAATAACAGTTTTCTCTGTATGAAAACAAAGTTAAGAACCAGTCATTTAGTATTTGTGAATGTAAACATATTCCAGGGATCATTATGTTCCTTATGTCACATTTGTTAGGTATTCATTAAAAGTCCTATGGGTGGGTTGATTTGTTTTTTTAAATGTCACCAAATTAGTTGAATCTAGAAAATGAATCAAGCCATTATAGTTTGTAACAGGTTTATTTTGAACAACAAATCATGTTTTGCTTGAACATTTCTAAAGTGTGCTTGAAATAGCAGGGTTTTCTTTCTGGTTATTTACAGATAAATAAGAGGTCCACCAGAGACTACGCTGTAAAGAATGCTCTGTTCTGGACCTGTTGCGATTTGTCTTAATTTACGGCTTTCTGAAAGACATGGAAAAACAAACAAATATTTTACAGTGTTAGATGCAATGTAACAAAGTGTGTGATTCACTAAACCAACATAGACTGAATCATAACAGGTTAAAAAGTCTGCAAATCCACTTACTGTTACTGCAGGATTGTAAGTAATCTGGTCCCTTACTTATCTCTATGTCACAGTGGAAATATACCTGCAAGGAAACATCCTATTTTAAATACATCCCCAAGCCTAAAAATGTTATTGTTGATCTGTTTTTTTAATTTGTCTTACATACCAGGTTTTCAAATGCTGGTGGCTTCACAAATGAGAACATCTTGACCACAAACCATTTATGAAGAGAGGGATATTTGAGCACCTTTGGATCAACTGGCAACACACCAGTTTGGTGGCTATCACCACTGAAAGGACATCTGGATTGGATAAGGGAATTCAGTTGATCAGTACAGGCAAATATGTTAACATACGGAGCCTTCTTGGATATTAAACTATATGTCTTAATGTGAAGTCACCCTTTAACCAGCAGGTTCCATCTTTGTGGGTCATATGGGTTTTTAGTTGGTGTCGCCCAGCAATCTTCAAGCAAGAGTACCAAGTCCTTGTCTTCATGTTTGAGAACAAAAACGTCCACATACACAGGCTTGCCAAGCTCAGTCACTGTAGGAGGGTCTCGAGAGGAATGGAAATACTTGTAGTTGGAATCTGTAGATTAATGATGATTGAAAACAAATAAATAAGGCTTTAGCAAATCTGAAACTGTCCATTCAAAGTAAAAGCAGTTCATTTATTTTCATGTCGTGCATTATCACTTTTTTGATGGGACATGTTGTTTGAAGACTTTGTGTTGGATAAAAATGTACAAACAGACAAATACATTTGAGATAGACAACAAAAGTAAAAACAACAGGAATGTATAGCAACAATTTGACCAACCTTTGGCAAACCTAATTTCCATCCTCATTATTCCCTCATTCCTCAGTGTGGACGGGTACACCGATTTTCCTCCCTTAACCTCGACACCCAGCTGACTGATTTGTGCCAGTGCAAAGCTGCAATGCACAGTATGACTACGAAACAATTGAAAAAGTAAATGAATAGCCATTACCCTCATACAGCAGGAAAAGTGGGTTATTTTTTTATTTCTTACAGGGAAGGAGTATCACGGAGAATAGGGCCTTCATGCAGATGTTGCTTCATCTCAATGTTGACCCAGTAGGTCATAATCCCTTCTGATATCTGCAAGACACAGCAAATACAATACTTTTTGTTCTGTAGAATATCACTGATTTCTCTGATGATGGGAGGTTATTTAATTGAATTAACCTTGGACTGAGTGCCACAATCAGTGAATGGAAAGCTGAATGTGACAGCTTCCTTGGATTTTAATTTAGGTTTACAGTTGTCACTTTGACCAGAAGGGATCCAGACAGCATCCAGGTTCAGAGGTGGGACTGTGGCATTTTGATGAATGGTAATGTTGAACCCATCCTTGTTGCAGAATTTATTTTTTGACGCCAGTGGTTTATCATTTCTCCTCACCTCTGTAGAAAACAGTGAGAATTAATAATAATCTAACTCCCTCAACATGTTGGCATTATATTTAAATTAAAGCTAGGATTACTACCTTTGACTTTCCGTTCACAGATCAGAGGTATTGACTTGACAATGTCAACTCTTCCTCTGTCTAGTGCTGTGATGACAACAGTCAGACTTGTGACATACTTCTATTGAACAAAATGGTCAGATTAGAATGTGAAAAATACAAATCAGCATTCAAAGTAAACACACACTTGTAAGCTTACTTGTCTTCTCACAAAGCATCCATTTGGAGCGACTGTTAGGACAATGAAGGTGTCAGCCTCTCCAAGGAAGTAGTGGCACTGTTTTGCTATAGAGATGGCTTGGTAATACCCGCTGTGCTCATCTGTGTGTACATTTAGACAAAATCAAAAGCATAGTAAATTCTTAACAAGCTATGTATCATGATCAATACATATTTTGCAAATGTCTGACTCACCTTGAACATAAATATTGAAACGGAGATCAGGAAATTGCATCTTTGACAGGTAAACAGACATGAACCCATCGTGGCAAATGGATGTATGATTACTGTTAGTGTTAGAAACTGCTGCTTGGGGTGGCTTTGGAGCAGCATGAGTTTTACATTTCAAAATTAGCAGTGATAATGAGACTAAAATGAAGTTTGTGCTGTGGAGCCACATCTTTGGAAAGTGTGACAGGTGCAGCAGCTGCTTCTCATTTGGCCTGATTGGCACGGCTCTCAGGAGAGTGAAAGCAACTCACAGAAACTCCACCTTAAAAAAACAACCCGTTTCAGGGACATTTCTGCAGTTTCTCACTGTATTCTCCTGCAGTTGGAAGCTTTGCAAATTGATGCGACTATTTAGCACAATTCTGCACCATAATTCATCCCTTTTATTTTGTGTACAAATGTTTTCATTTCATAATAGTTTTTATTGTATATTGTTTGTAATATTTCTTTGTTTGCTCTCTTCGTACTGTGTTTTCAATTCCTTGTATGTGGCAACCTATTTTGCAATAAAACTGATTCTGATTCCGTTTACATTTATGCAGGAAAACCCCTCTAAACTGGCCGAAGGTGTCAGTGTGGTTTGGCTAAAAATAGGCTACATTCTTTCTGCAAGTCAACCTGAGTGCATAAAAGCAATTTATATGGTACAAAAGTACTGTTTCAAATGCATTTAAAACCTTTTGCATACACAGGGTTGTCTTATTAAACAAACATACTGAATACTACTGGATTTTATGTTAGGACTTTATTTGATAAACATCACCCAACAACAATGTGTCATTGTCTTATAGAGGTACATACAAAAATTGTACTATTATGCAGCAAACAAGACATGTATCAAGTTATAGTATGTTAAAATAGTTAACACAACCGTGATTGGAAAGGATGTTGATACTGCTAATATCTCAGCAGCTGTTTAAACTCTCTTTAATTCTCTATAGGTGGTTGAGCTGGTCTACGCTCCTGTTGTATATCGGGTTTTTGAATTCAGCATCTGACAGGGAAACAATGGAGAAGTTGGAGAGAAGTTGAGCAGATATTATTTCATCCTGAACATGCCAACAGATCAGCACTCACTTTCTTTGGCTTTCTTCTTCCCCAAACCTGCAGCCAAACACAATAACAAACAATCAAACTGATTACATTGTGTGCATTAAACTTTTATTTCTCACACTCACACTCAAATCAATATGAAATGTAATCTAAATACCTCTGCGACGCTTCTCCTCCAGAATTGAACTGGCTTGTTGTTGCCTCATTTCATCTTGGTTAACTGTGTAATGAAATGAACAGGTGAAGTTCCTGAAAACATTGAAATGATGTGATTTAATAAAACATACTTATATTACCGTAATAAGGGCGCTTGACACTTGCTTGCCGTAATCTGTTGAAGAGTTCTGGAGAGGTGACAGGAGACTGAGTTACTTTAGTTTGTCAATATACAATTGACCATTAGCATATGGTTGAATGCATGTAAGTACATTTGTTCAAGAACTGTTCTGAAAAATGTGAGGTACTTGTACTTTACTTGAGTATTAACATTTTCTACTTTTATCTACTACTACCTCTAAAATGGGAAACAAATACTTTTTACCGCGCTACATTTGTTTGACACTTGTAGATACTGGTACATTTTTACATAAATAAAATATGTTAACTAACAATCTACTCAGCAGTGTACAAAATATGCAGACTTTGCTCCAGATTCACATGTATCTGTTGCAGATCAAAACAAAAATACTTTAATGATCTATATTAATATAAAACGTTTCAAAAGAACCATTCTGCATAACAAATAATTGTATTTTTGATACCTAAAGTGACTTGTACTTTTTTTTCAGACTGCAGTATCATTATTTTGACTTAATAATAGAATCTGGGTACTTCTTCTATCACTTATCACCAGTTATACAAACAGTAGTAATTGTGCTGGATGTTAAGCACCTCTATGAAATCTCAGTTTAGTCCTCTGACTCTGGTTGAGGTTTGGATAAATCCCACTGCTGCTGTCAGGGTGCAGAGTCAGGTCGGGATGAGGCATCGCTCCTGAAACTGTGTTGCAATAATCTCCGGGTTCCTCCTGCTGGTTGAATGGGCCTTGGTCCTCATTTTCTGGCATTTGAAAATATAATACAATGAAGATTTTTTTACGTGTGATAACAAAGACATTATCTTTTAAAAATCCATGAAAAAAAGTGAAGAAACAGAGCAGTGTGTACTCACCATAAACAAGATTAGGATTGTATGCACCTGTAGGGAAATGACACACACAGTGTACAGGACAGTTACTTGTCAAGAAAAAAACCACATATATATTACTTTCTTTATTTTCTTATTGCACATCACATGTGTTAACATAAATGACTTTGTTTGATTACCTCCCTGCTGTTGGCCGTCTGGCACTCTGCCTGTTTCCTCTTGTGAAGGACTGACACCTGCAGGGGGAACTTATAAGGTCAAAGGTCAAAAACCTAGAAAAGTCTGTCCAGTCTCCTCTATCCAAAACATTAATCCAATAACTGTTCATCCATTTGTAGTAACCTAAAATCTCCATGTATATGAGACAATGATCTTTTCTCAACCTATGAGATTATGCTCCCGCAAACACGTTTGAGGGATTTTTCTTTCAGACGGGGGATTTTTTGACTTTCTTAGAACCTCTCAACAACATTTCATGACATGGTATCAATCTTCTTGACCTGAAAGAATAAAATGTTTTCCCCGAACTAACTAATCTTTTGAAGGAGGTGGTAACTATAGGTTACTTACGTAACCCCAGTTCTCAGAGTAACATGAAGTGAGATGTCTCACTATGGGATGCGCCTCATCGCGGAGAAAACAGAAGCATCAATCTCATTACGCCAATCCTGATTGGCTGGTGATCTCTACGTCAGCGTCAGGGAATTCACCCCCTATAAGTAGTTTGCGCCACGACGCATGCGTCATTCAAAATAAGCACCTCTTCTCGCTTCACCATAGCAAGGAGGGCCGTCTGGTGAGACATCTCACTTCATGTTACTCTGAGAACTGGGGTTACGTAAGTAACCTATAGTTCTCATTCATAACACTCCGTTTGATGTCTCACTATGGGAAATTGTAGCTCCCGTATTGTCAGACGAGCTTATCTCGAAAATCACCAAACCAACCAGAACTTAACAGGTAGAGCTCTGACTCAACCAGGTGCCCAGCACTGCTTGAGTCACACTGGGAGCAGAACGTCCAGCCTGTTAAGAGGCGGACAAAAGTGAGCGGCGAGGACCAGCTCGCCGCTGCACCAATGTCTTTGATGGGAGACATCCTGGACAGAGTCCAGAATGCAGCCAGACTCTGAGTCGAAAGAGCTCGCGGACCCGAGGGTGCCTGCGAACTCTGACTCGTATGGGCCCCAAAGCAATTGCTTCCACAAACCAGTGGGAGAGCCGTTGCTTAGTAACAGGCTTGCCCTTATAAGGGTTAGCCCAGGACACAAGGGGTTGGTCATTATGACAAAGCACCCTTGATCTGTCCCTGTACGTGCGTACAGCACGGGCTAGACACGGCAAATCCGGCCGCTGTTCCCCGGAGGAATACAGTGGCGGGGAGGATGCCTCAATGTCAAATGTGGTACCTGAACCAACCGCCTTAAGATAAAGGCAGGGTTGGGCTTCAACCACACTCTGTTTGCCCTGGGGCGAACTGAGTGCATGAAGACTGTACAGATAGTGCATGAGTGCCACTGGCTCGCTTGGCAGCCGCCAGGGTCAGCTTCATGTCACACTGTATTCAGATTGTACCACTCACGGGCCAGGCCCATAGAGCCAAGCGCTCTGGGTGTGGGTGAAAGATCGCCCCCCCCGCTTGGGACAGTATGTCCCTGCGTAGTGGGAGCTGCCATGGCTGCCCGCACAGCAGCTGATATATCTCCGCTAGCCAGTACATAGCTGGCCAGTGCGGAGCTATCAGGATAAGTGTGTGGCGTTGCTCTCTCACTCTGGCCAGAGTTGGGGGTATCAGAGCCAAGGGTGGGAACGCGTACAGAAGGCCCGGGGGCCAATCGTGCGCGAGTGCATCCACGCCTAACGGTGCATTTAGATCGCGCATCGAAAAGAACAGCTGACACTGAGCGTTGTCTTTCGATGTGAACAGATCCACCGCAACGCACCCACAGCTGGCTCACAATCCTTGGATGTAGAGTCCAGTCTGCATAAAGTGGTGCACCTCTGGACAGTAGATCTGCCCCGAGGTTCATCACTCCCGGTACGTGCGTCGCTCTCAGAGAGAGGAGACGCCTACCGCTCCATAGGATCAGTTTGCGCGCCAGTGTGTGTAACTGGAGAGAACGCAAACCCCCTTGGCGGTTAATATACGATATTGTGGTCGTATTGTCTGTCCTCACGAGGACGTGATGTCCCCTGAGGAAAGGCAGAAAGCGTTTTAGGGTGAGAAACACCGCTAAAAGCTCCAGGTAATTTATGTGCGCCCGCTGGAGGTCTCTGCTCCAGAGACCCCTCACCGGGCGACCTTCATAAATACCTCCCCAACCTGTCAGACATGCGTCCGTGGTGACCACTTTCCGTGAAAGGACAGCACCCATAGGCACACCTCGTACTAGAAAAGTCGGGTGCAGCCAGTGGCGCAGTGCCATTACGCATTTCACAGTAACCATCACTCTTAGTTTTAGGGCGGCCACCCAGCGCTGAAACTCCCTCATGTGTAAGCGTCCCAGTCGTACGACCAGGATGGCTGACGCCATGAGCCCCAGCAATCGCAGGCATGATCTGAAGAGAACATGTTTGCGCAGCTGGAAAAGAGCGAGACAAGCTCTGAAAGCTTTCACTCTATCCGCTGACAAGCGAGCTGAAAAGGGCACCGAGTTCAGGCGTAAACCCAGGAAGAGTATAGTCTGTGCGGGGCACAACATGCTCTTCTCTGTGTTTATTATGAAACCCAGGTTGAGCAGGTGCTTTACGAGGACATTTGTCTGCGTAACAGCCTCCTGCTCCGACTGTGCGAGAAGCAGCCAGTCTTCCAGGTAAGTCGCCAGGCGAATACCCTGTTGTCTTAACGGGGCTATCGCGGCTTCCGTACATCGTACATACACCCTTGGACTGAGAGACAGACCGAAGGGGAGTACTCTGTATTCATAACAGATCCCCTGAAATGCGAATCTCAGATATTTCCTGTGTGGGTAATATACTGGGATGTGAAAATACGCATCTTTCAGGTCGACTGATGTAAACCAGTCGTCTTGTCGCACGAGCCGCAGCAGAGATGTGTGAGTGAGCATTCTGAACTTATACCTTTTTAGATATTTGTTCAGAGCCCTCAAATCAAGTATTGGCCGAATTCCGTTCCCTCCCCGTTTGGGAACGAGGAAGTACTTGGAATAGAAGCCGCCCTGACTCTGCTCGGCGGGTACAATAGATATAGCCCTCTTTTCTAGGAGTGAGAGAATCTCTCTCTCCAGAATATGGGCTGACTCTCCTCGGGCCTGCGAATGCCCGAGAAGCGAGGGGGGGGGGTGACAGCGAATTGGAGTCTGTAGCCCCGTGTTACTGTCTTGAAAACCCAAGCAGATGATGTGAGCATCTTCCACTGCATGCTCCTTAGAGCCAGTGGAGATGTCACGTCTCTTCCCCTCTGAGTCTCTATTTGTTGTGTTATGGGGCCCTCTAGTGTCTGAACACAGTGGTGCCCCTTTTCGACAATCCCCACCAACACTGCGCATGCGCGTGACGGTGGTGCCTTTACAGCCCCAGCCGGCACTGCGCATGTCCGCCCTTTGAGAGAGGCCGTAGCTGCTCTCAGAAGGGGAACAGTTGACGGACTGTTTATTGTTTTTATTGTTTTTCTTTTCATTTTTTCGAGCTGCGCCCTTGGCTCGAAGCCTGGATGCGTCAGCGGAAAATGTTTTATGACAGAAAAATCAATAAGTGTGTGACATGTGTTTATGCGGACTTGAGGATGGTGTTGAGGCATCTCTCGAGGCGGCGGGAACACATTTAGAGCTGGGGAACCGTAGACTTCCAGCTCTGTCACAGAGGGGAGAAGGAGGGGCTGTCACGCCGCTCGCTTCTTCTTCCTCGACTGCTGGCCGAAATTCTGGGTTGGCTGCGCCTGGGCTGCAGCCGGAACCGGAGATTTTCTAGGCCAGCTCGCCCTCGTCCCCTGCCTGGGCTGGGGACTCGGGGCGGACTGCGACCTCTGCGTTTTCGGTATTTTGAACCGAGCAGGGTTCGGGGCAGCTTGGACGAAGGGCTGCCGCTGCGAAGGGCCCTTCGAGGGAGGCAGAGGTGAAGGGCCTCGTCCTCCTTCTTTTTCGACTCGCATCTCCTCTGCATGGAGGCAAGAGCGGAGCCGAAAATCCCCTCGGGAACGATGGGCATGTCAAGCACATCCTCCTTTTCCCGGTCTGGGAGGTTGGTGAGGTTGAGCCATCTAGCTCTTTCCTGCACCACCATGATACCTGGTGTGAGTCTGTGCCTGCTATCTTCAACCCGCAGCCGCATGACCGAGCCTCCGAGTCCCTGACTCCTCTGGTGTGAGGGGGAGAGGCGTCCATCTTGTTCGCCTCGTGGCGTGGAGAGGACCCGCTCGTAACAGGTACGTCGTTGAGAGAAAAGTGTTACCAACCCGTCCTTAATCCGGAGAAAAAGAGACGGTGTGGGTCCTTTGTTCTCAAAGAATATTGACTGGTGTGTCAATATACTTCTAATCCTTTTCTCCTCCGTGAGAGAGAAAAAGAAAAGCGTCCTCGCTACCGTGGTGTCGGTAGTAAGGGGAAGCTAGCTAGCAACAGGTGTGTAGCTAGCTTGAGAAAAATCAAAACCTTACCTTACTTTCCGGGGAAAGAAACGGCGAGGTCGATTTTAATACTAACTGGCGTTAGTATTACCGTCTTCTTGCGAAGCAGAAGGAGTAGCCGGCGAGTGCCCGTCGACCGAAATGTTTTGGATTTGGGTTCAGTCTGTGGACCGTTAAGCTTGTCCGGCTACTGTAGAGATGTGCTCTGAAGCGAGAAGAGGTGTTTGAATGACGCATGCGTCGTGGCGCAAGCTACTTATAGGGGGTGAATTCCCTGACGCTGACGTCAAGATCTCCAGCCAATCAGGATTGGCGTAATGAGATTGATGCTTCTGTTTGCTCCGCGATGAGGCGCATCCCATAGTGAGACATCGAACGGAGTGTTATGAATGAGAACTGTTTATTTTTCTACAATGCTATTTAACCCTGTCTTTTGCCAGGGTGCTCTGCTGTGGACATTTTGTCTTAAATAACAGATGCAAGTTTTCACAACACATGTATTTTAATTTAAGATGCCTTGCCTGGCTGTACTATATTCATGTATATTATTTTAAAGTATCTGCCTTTATTTTTGTCTGCAACCGTGTACTGGGCAACATTTTACAATAGGCCTTTCTAACTTAAACGGTAAATTGATAAAAATGGTTGCTTACCCTCCATATCTGCACCTTCAGGGTTGTACGAAGCTGTGTTTTTACAGCAGACTGAAATTAAAAAAGTTTGTATTTGAATCAACCATCATTCATCCATAAATTGAACAAGCAAACCCATTGTACAAGCAAAGCACTTCTTATTCAATGAACTGTTTGGACTAAAAGTGTCAGACTGGGGCAGTACTCACACTTCATGCAGCAGTAGCCACCGACGCTTAGCAGGATGAAAGCAGCCACACCAGCAGTGATGAAAATCAGTAGCATCATGTTCACGCTTTGAGCACCTGCACGACAACATGAGGTTTCACAATGCTGTACTTCACAGGAAACTGTCGCTCACACACTTGCCCTCTCTGGCCCACAACGTTTGTGACCATGGAAAGGAAAAAAAGGCAGCATGTCTCTAAACATGCTGCTACTAACATGATCTTAAAATAGGAATTACCTTACCATGTTCAGCAACCAACTCCACTTGAAGACAGTCATCTCCTCGTGTACAGACATAACACCCCAGGTCTGAGTTGTTTAGCTCATTGATGCTGATGGAGAAGTTCCCCTCTTGGCCCTGGTTTGGAAAGGCCTTCACACGACCAGACCTGGGGTTCAGGAACACGATGCGACCTGCAGACGTGAGCTGCAGCAGGTGCAGATCGGGAGTTTGGCTCCATGACACCCTGATGACGTTACTTGGTTTAAAGTTGCATGGGAGAAGCACAGAGGAGCCAAGCTGAGTGCTGAGTGTGTGCATCTCACACACATCTGGATCCTTCACACAAGAGCTCTTATTGTACGGCTCGTCTGAGCGGGACGAAAGAAATACAAGAAAAGGTTTATATTTTTTTTATCTCATGCATAAATACCCAACAGCAGTTACTTTTCCTCCTTATGACTGTATTCAATACTTAGGTGTAAACATGTTAAAATTAACCATCAAGGTTGAGAAACGTGTGATAACTACCATTTTTAAAGGCTCATGAAGCAGAAAAAGCTGCGACATATGAAAAATGCACTAATAGGCAAACACGAATTGCCTTATTATAGACAATGATACAAAAAAGAAACGTATAACATTGAAACTAAAAAAAGGAGAAGCTTATTTAGACAAAAAATACCAACTTAATAATTATAATTTTACCTAGGGGGAAAATGAAGATTAATCAGACAAATATATTAATAAAACATTTAACATTGAAGAAGAACAAATATGTATGTAGTAATTTATCATTATTGAATTATTATGACATATATTTAAATATATTAATAACATCATAGTTCATTGTAGTCATGTCTTATCTTGATGTCAACAGATTTGGTATTACAATTTAAATAACCAAGCCCAAGTTTCAAAGAATAAATAAATTGATTAAATAATGTCAAAAACGCGGTATTTTAATTCTTTAATTTCACAAGAGGACTCACCATTTGAAGTCACACAAATAAAGTGAAGCGCTAAAAGGAACATCCACCCGTCAGTATCCATCGTCAGAATCTCTCACAGTGTGAGCAGCGCTGTGGTTGTGCTCAATGCAAACCCCTCTAAGCATCATGGGACAAAACCACAAGACCATTACAGTTCATCTGCAGAGGCACTTTGATGTCTTTCCGTTTCACATGAACGACAGACTAAATGTTTGTCACAATGTTTCTCTTTTCTTAAGATCTAAGTGCATCATGTCTAACAATATATTCAAATCAAGAAGTATTGTTCTCTTGGCACAATGATAGATGAATATGAGTTGAAAAAAAACTTGACATAAATGCCTCCACCAGACCACTTCCTGTAGTGTAGATGCTTGGCCTTGGTGTGAAGGCCAATGGAAAGGTTTATCACAAAGCCCAGTGAAAGTAGAAGAAGCATATTTATACCTACAGTTAATGTTCAATACATATAATTGCAATAACTGCTCACGTTTGCTGCTCCACACTAAATTGGTCGTTATTATTTTAGTTTTTTTAATGTATTTAATTGTTTTACATTTTTTATTGTATTTATTCATTTTATACTTTTTTATTATCTTATCTTTTTTACCTTTTTGTGATGCTTGAATTGTCATATAATGTTTTTATGCTGCATGTGTGCAAAAAAGTTTTGACGTTTGACCTGAAGTGACTTTCTTGTTCTTTGTTATCATTTGTGCCGTGTTGTTAAAACACTTTGAGCTACACCTAGTGTATGATAAGTGCTACACTAATAAAGCTTTATTGTAATTATGATTACGATTATTAGTATTATTACTGTGTGTGTCCGTCTATTTGTGATAACGACTCAATACATTTCAAAAGAAAAATATATAGGTTACAGGTTACCTACCATGGCGGCTTTATTCCTTTTTAAAAGATCATACTGCTATTTATCTGAAATTAGATCGGACTTGACCACCTGAAGTATCAAAAAGCCAACTCAGATGTAAATGAGTAGCCTCCTCTCTTTCGTCAGTGCGCCTGCATGATGAGTTGTGGTTTTACTCAGGAAACTACTGTATAACACCTCTTGTTCACGTGTTCGGCCTACACACTTTGTGACCATGGAAAGGAAGGAGGCCACAGATGACTGCCGCTCAGAAAACATCTCCTCTATACGAACAGAAACCATCTTACCTCTTTATCATATTCTATAGAGGTTTCTCAATACTCTTTATAGTAATGTAAATTTGCTGTTATTATGTCCTTCAACATGGCGCGCTGAAATCCATTTCCGGGTCACTACCGGAGGACCGAGGAGTCGAGGAGGGGGAATTAGAGTATTGAGAAACCTCTATTGTCTCTGCTTAACAAAGCGCACCACCAACAGAGGTGACTTCCTTAGACTGAAACATAGTCCAGCAAAAATATCTACAGATCTCGAGCGATAGAACTATTAACAAAGCACTTATATACTAATAAAGGGCTGGCTTATCTAAAGCCAGTTGAGTAGCACTTGAAATGTTTTTGCTCTATGAAACCTGATGTACTTATATCATTCTGTTTTCTTCAAGTTTGTATTTTGTTGGTCGAACGCACTTATTGTAAGTCGCTTTGGATAAAAGCGTCAGCTAAATGTAATGTAATGTAATCTCATATTTAATTTTGAGCCACATTTTGCTTGAACTAGCACCCATGCATGCTACTTTTGCGGCCTATCAAAGGCAGTCACTCTCTTTGTTACAATGACGCATCATTTGCACATGTTGGTAATATCTAAGAAAGCTTATTTTTGTGCAATAAAGCTTACTCGTTTCTGGATTGCATATTCCTTTTTAAGAAATCCAGAAATCTACTCTCATATCAAGCATTACATTTTTTACATTACATTTCATTTAGCTGTCGCTTTTATCCAAAGTGACTTACAATGACCGATTACCGGGACATTCTCCCTGGAGTAACTAAGGGCTAAGTGCCTTACTCAAGGGCACACTAGTGGTGGTGTTCCTGGCGGGATTTGAACTCACAGCCTTCCGATGTTCAGCCCACCTCACTATCCATTAGACCACCACTACTAGTTTTGCTTTATGGTTATGGAACCACAGCTGAGTTGTGTAAACTGAAATAGCCTGAAGTCATTTGAGGAACTCTAGTACTTCTTAAACTCATTGTGTGTCCTTCATTGTTGCTGAGAGCTGATTGTTCATGTCTTCACTGCACAGAGATCAGCTGTCAATCAAACATTATGGGATGAGCTTTAACCCTGTAAAGCCCATATATAGAAAAACCCTTCAGATGTTGTTGTAGGGAGCCTATGGAGCAGAAATGAAAAGGTTTTCACATTTTTTAGGTTTTGGTAAGTTTTTAGGTAAATGTTGTAATATTGCAACGTTGGCCTTTGGTGGGAGCAGAATTCCTGTATTTCTACTCACATTGTCTGAATAAATATATTGAACAACTAAGGGTTGATTTGCAGGATTGATTGCTTACTTAGCCCTATATCAGTATAGCATGAATAATAATTACACATCAGTCATGTTTTTTATGAATAGTCATTTATTAAATATGAATACAATGGTAATCCCAAAAACAGTTCCTATCCTCAGAAAAGCAGAGACGGACCTCACACTTGGTGCATTGGGTGTTTGTGCACCCTTTACTGCAGTGTCTGCAGCATCCTCTCTTTGTCTTCACTGGAAAATGTGCCACTAGGTCCTTGCGTACATCCAGTGGAGGTTGTGATCTCTTGGATGGGGCCCCGTTTGGTGGACTCGCATCACCTGAGGATGGTCTCTTCTGAGCATTCAACAGGCTCCTTGATGTCATCGTCCGTGCTGGGCTCCCATTGCCTGAAGATGGTAGTCCTCTCTTGGGTGTTTTCAGAGGAGTTGTGTTCACCAGGATGAGAGAGGAGCATCAAATTAAGAGACACTATAGCTTCTAATTTGGGTATATGTCTATATAAACTGAAAACAGATGTGCCAAACAGTTGTTGCTCACTGCTTACTAAAGCAAAAAGGATGAGGACCTCACATTGCTCTTTAAATGGTGCCCCTAAAATCAAACCACTAAAACGGCCCCTTCTACCATTCAAAAGTCAAGCCTAATGGCAGTATGCTTACAGACTTTTGGTTTTAATTAAAAAACAATCTTATAGTTTTCCTTTCCATCAACTCAAATTAGAATCTTCAAACCACCATGATGTCTTCAAGATAATACCGGGTGTCTCTTTTTGACCTCATTGGTAAGAAATCCAGTTTTATTTAGAAAGTCCCAGCCGGGTAAGTTGCCTGTTGATGCTGACTTGACGCTGTGTGATGTTCGGTGTAAACGTGCCACTGCATTTTTATCCTCTGACATCCGAGTCTCCGCAGAGTTACAGCAGCAGGATGGCCGGGAGCTTCTTCAAAGGACGCTTCCTCTCCTTATTCGATTATAAAACGGAAAAATACATTATTGCCAAAAATAAAAAGGTTGGAGTTTTGTACCGACTTATTCAGTTATCTATCATTGGCTACATTATAGGGTAAGTCAGTTAAACTTTTACAGTTTTATAACCTCATTGCACAAGTTAAATTACTATAAGAATAAAACTGCCTTGTTAACCATGAGAAGGTAAATCATAGTATTAATACAGGGGTTTATGTTGACTATTATCAAACTGTAGGATAAATATTTAGCATAAATAATAATAATAATAGATTTATTTTGTTAGCGCTTTTACAGGTGCTCAAAGACGCTTTACAGATATAGTGAAACGAAAAGAAAGGAACAACAAATAAATATATAGTTAAAGTTAAAGTCAAATAATACAAAAACAATCACACATTAAATGACCAATATACCAAAACTTTGTTAAGTTTACAGAAGTATTTTATAGAGATGATGTGCTTCAGTCAGTGCTGTGAGGCCAAGTGACAGAACAGGGTATTTTTTACATTTTAAAAATGTTCAGTGTACCTTTGTGGCTTGTTCCGCGCCCTGTAGCAAAACCCATACATTTAAAAGCTGTAAGTATAGATAACACTTTTTCAGTCACAAGTGCTTTATTATAAAAAGGTGTCAGTCATTCATTCATAAAATAGTCCATAAGAGTACAACCTAAACCTATAGTTACCCAAAGGTATTATAGCAGAGCTTACTCAAAGCGCATATACCTGTTTTTCTGAGTATGTATCTTTATTGCACTTATTGTAAGTCTCTTTGCATTAAAGTGTTTGCTAAATGAAATGTAATGAAATGTAAAAGCTTGTAGTCTTAAATTAAAATAATATTCCATGATTAGATATCCCACGTAAATGTTCCACTAAATTCAAATGGAAATTCATCACAAAAGGAACGATACATCTGTGTTAAACGTAATGTTAAGATGAACAATGTGAAAATCAAAATGTCAAAAGGATGCTTTAAACACACATTTCAGCTTTTACATCTTTCCTCTCACTCACAGCTGGGTTTTTGTAAGCAAGAAAGGCTACCAGGAAACAGACACTGCCATCCAGAGCTCTGTGGTTACTAAACTGAAAGGAGTTTCGGTGACTAACACCTCGGAGTCTGGTCGGCTGGTGTGGGGGCCGGAGGACTACGTCATCCCACCCCAGGTGAAGCTTTTAAGGTCACCTATTATGCAAAATCCACTTGTTCATGTCTTTTATACATAAGCATGTGTCCCCTCTGTGGAAAGAGATTCTGAACGTTTCAGGAAAAAAGATTCTCTCTCTTTTTGTCCTGATCCATTTATATAAAAACCTGTCTGAAAATGAGCTGATCAGATTTTGGCCACTTTATGATGTCATAACGTTTTTTGGCTTGTGTAACCATTAGCCAATCAGCAACCAAGGTAACCCCCCCCCCCACACACACACACCTTATCACCTGAATCTCCTCCTAGAGCTCCATTGTGTTATTTCTAACCAAATCTCTCTCAGAGGGGCGTGGGGAGGGGCTCCTTATTTTTCATCTAAAGTAACAGACAGAGAATCAGCACTTTGGAAACAGAGCTGAAACAGAGGGGATTATGGGATGCTACAATTATCTGTTTGGTATTTGGAGCCAAACACTTCAGAGACATGTTTTGTATATATCTGAGACCTATAATATATTGATGAAAAATATTATAATGGGGGACCTTTAACCCAGAGCACCACACATCAACACTGGGTGAAAGACACACACATGCTAACTAGGGAAGTTAATACAGAATGTTTTTAATTTTTGATACATGCTTAGTTATGTCTGCTTGAATTTATGGATGAAGCATGCAGGTGCAGCTCCATAAGCATAATGGGCCAACAATGTAAAGTGTATCACTAATGGAGACCGTTATTTTTGATTAGTCTGTCGATTTCTTTAAAAGTGGGGACATATATTGATAGGTGTTTGCCAAAGCAAAGGATGACATCAACAATGATCTTGTTTTGTGTACAATATAAAGACATTGAGTTTAGTGTCGAAGAGGATTAAAGAACACAAAATATTCACATTTAAGAAGCTAAATAAGAGATTTTTAACCAATTTTACATAAAAAATAGCCAATTACCATTTTAAAATAATTTGTTGGTATACTATTGACCCAAATGCACATATTTGTGATGTAAACATAAAGACAAATTCACAGTGTTTTCTCTACAGGGTGAAGCGGTTCTGTTTGTTGTCACCAATTTCTTAGAGACGCCAAACCAGAAGCTGGGTTACTGCGCTGAGGTAAGGAAACAGAACACAGGTACTTTCAGTGATTACAATAGGAGCTGTCAAAAATAAGAAATACATATATTTTTTGTTATCCTCACATTTGACAACAATGCCAGTCGTAACAGCAACGTATCATGTAATGTGGAACTGGATTTAACATCCATTTTGACTCACCAATTCAAAGCTGTTTTCTGTCAAAAATGATCTATCTCATTTAAAAAAGTAAAAGATATCAAATTGCAGATAACGTAAAGATATATATCAGCCAATATTAGTGTTTATAACCAGGTGAATGTTCACTCTAGACTGTAGTGAGAGTGGAATTTGAGATTCTTTATTTGATTTTTGCGTGAAATATAATTTTTCAATTATTAATTTAAGGTTACTGCAAGAGTATCAGACCCTCGATCCTTATACCCTGTTAAGGTGTGACAGTCCGTTCTCCAATGTGCCACCTGAAATGTAAAACAAACAAGATGATAACCTTGAATCTCCATCCATTATTAATGAAATTCTCTTGTTTTGTGATATGGTGAGCAAATAGTTCCTACCGGGCTTCAAATACTCTATGTGTTTGGTTCATAATAGACAACATTTTCACACACGTTTTCATGTATTTTATCTATTGTGATTGCAGTTGTCTTTATTGCACCGGGATACATGGCATTGCATTTTGAGACATTTCAACATTAGGAATTGAAGTTGTTTTAGTATTAGCCACAGAGCATAATGTGCTGTTTAGACTGTGGAGAAGACACGGTCAGCCTGTAGTTTCAAACTGTCTGACACTAACTGTGTTTATTTTAAAGTAAGGTTTATTTACTTTGCACTGTTTGAGTGCTGATAATCTGGAAACTATTCCAAACAGCCATGATTCAAAGTTACAGAGGGCCACCATGAGTGACCGAGTTTAGGGAAGAAATTACACAAACTGAATCTTCTCTCTGCCCTATCATTTTGTTTCAATGAACCATAGAAATATGCTTGTTTTCTCTCACGATTAATGGCTTCTTGAGCAAATTAGCTTTACCGAAAGCTTCACAAATCAGGATGAAGAACACAGTTACACAATGTCAATTAATCAATAGTGCACACAATGGGAAGAGAGAAAATCAGAGGCACTGGTCTGCATTTTCTTCACAGCTCTTAGTCATGACAAAATACCTTTAACCCTTCTTGTGTGTGTGCCAATTATACTGTTCATCCTCTCTCTCAGCACTATCTTTGGCTGCACATTTACAGAACGTGTCCGGTATGTAAACTCAGTCTTTTTTGGTCTCTTGTGTCACTGCAACATCCAGGAAGAAAGTGGCACACAGCCATAAAACACTGCTCTTGTAAACATTTCGGCTCTCACCAATCGCAGTGCCCGTCTGAAAGGCTGCCACACTCAAGCAGGGACCATCATTCATTATGTTCTGCCAGGCAGTCAAAACTCACAGGTTCACATCTGTTATGAGAAGTGTCCATATGTGTCCATAAACAAACCCAAGGTACATTTTTTACTTTCATCTTAATGGTGTTGCGATGAAACTGATTACCCTTACTCCACGGGACTCTACTGTTTCAAAGTAAGCTGACCTTGTTGTGTCACCAGTGTATGGTCACGTCATCTTTGAATGTTGGGATTTTTCATAAAATGTATAATTTCACAATGTTTCCCAATATATTTTCTAAAAGGAACAGCCAAAATATGATATGTAAGGTAGCCCTTACAGGAAAGGCACAATGTTCGCTAACTCACCATATGTCAAAGGTGTGAGGGAACCTCATTTAAATGATTAAAAGGGAAAAGTATAAAATGGTAAATAAAAAGTATAGTTTCATATATATAACAATTAGTAAGTCATATTCAAGTCGATGAAGAAGGCATAATACTTTACTATTTTTTATTTATTTCATTCACCTATATTTACATTTTCTTGGCCGAAATGGGCTTCCGTAGTTTCATTGTTTGTGTAGCCCTTTTTGTAACACCTGAGAAAGAACAGGCAATAACTATGGCAAGCCGATTTAGCTTGTATTCATTTCTGGAGGATATCAAAAAATATCTCTTACTAGTTAGAATGCAAATTCTTGATATCACAAATTAAATTGTAACTAGTTGTAATGTGCATTTCTGCTATCACAAATGCGATTTTAACTAGTGAGATTTACATCGTTTTTCTCATTCTCACTAGTTAAAATCACATTTCTGATATCAAGAATTCGCATTCTAACTAATTATAATTATATTTTTGATATCAGAAATAAACATTATTACTAGTAAGAATGTAGTTTTTGATATCCTCCAGAAATGATTAAAAGCTAAATCAGCTTGCCATAAATAACACACAAGCATGATTATTAAACAATCAGGGTGAGTATCTAAGTGCAAAGGGTTTAAACAGAAAGGGTCAAAACCAAAATGTAAAACAGACAAAGGTAAACGTTACCGACAAGGTTCGGCAGGGAATCCAAAAAATAAGCAAAGGGTCAGAGAGGAAGGATCAGGAATACATGCTATTGCACATTTTATAATGCAGAAGACCATTTAGCTGCGAGGTTAAGGAGGCAATGGGAAGCAGGTGGGTGTGTGAGGCATTCAAAGAGGTAAGGCCTCCTGACAGGGCCGTCCCTCCCTACAGGCCGATCAAGCAGACTGCGTGGGGCCTGACTTTGCGGAGGGGGCCTCAACTGAGCCGAAAATGCGGCGCACCTACTGGATGCGCTTATGCGGCGCAATTAGTGTGGCGCGGCACGGTTTCGCCGCTGCGAGGCCCGCTGCGAGGCCCGCTGCGAGGCCCGCTGCGAGGCCCGCTGCGAGGCCCGCTGCGAGGCCCGCTGCGAGGCCCGCTGCGAGGCCCGCTGCGAGGCCTGCTGCGACGCTCGCGAAACAGAGGGCCTCATCATATAACTTTGCGTGGGGCCTCATGTTGGCCATGGACGGCCCTGCTTCCTGGGGGCAGGGTCTTAATGAGACTAGGTCAAAGGAAAACCAGGCAATATTACTGCATAAACACTGGAGGATCGGGATAATTCCTAAAAATGTATTACTGTGTCTTTTGTTCTCAGAGCCCAAAAGTGCTGGATGGTCACTGCAGAGACGACGAGGACTGTGAAGAGGAGAAGATGGTAATAGCTGGTAACGGTAAGAAAGTAACATTGTCGGCTTAGCTCCATTTTGAATTATGGGTTAAATATAAATTCTCTTGTCACTATGTTTTGACTCAAATGAAAATGAGTTCAACATTTATGATGGTAAACCCAATTAGGTTAGGATAAGTGTCTTTCAAGCCTTTGTGATTGTTTTTTTATCTCTTTTGAACTGATTATGTAAGTTCAATATTACAGTGTCTTTTCATATGTGATAAGCTTTGGGAATTTCTGTTTTTCTCAAGGAATTAAGAGTGGACGATGCTTAAGAAAAGATGAAAACTCCACTGGTACCTGTGAAATATACGGCTGGTGTCCCATTGAAAGAAAATTCAAACCGCGGTAAGCAATCACAGAGAAACTCTTGCAATTGTATATACATATTTGATGTACTGTAAATTAGTTCAACAAAATCCTCAAGGCATTAGCTTGTTTTGTTTTTTTTACAGTAAACCTCTGCTGTTAAATGCTGAAAACTTCACCATCTACATCAAGAATTTCATCTTATTTCCCAAATTCCAATTTTCAAAGTAGGCCAATATCTATACCTCTGTGTGTAACACTCCTTGTACTGCTAGTGTCCCAGAAGCAGTTCACATTTATATTCTCACTGTACAACTGTGTGTGTTTTTCAACTATAAGGTCCAACGTGCTCGAAACGAGTGACGACTCCTTTTTGAAAAAATGCAGATTTGATGAGCAGCTCTACCCTTACTGCCCCATCTTTCGCCTGGGGGACATCACCAGGAGAGCTGGATACAACTTCCAGGAGATGGCCACATTTGTTAGTATTGAACTTTTATTTATTTTTGATTGTCTGAAACCTTCATTTTAATGAAATATCTGCAGGACTTCTGTTTAAGCTGATACACTTTAAGGGTCAACAATTCCCCAACATGTAAAACCTTACCTCTCCCTAATTCAAAAAAACATTACAGAATGAGTGTACTGTAAGTGTAAAAAACAAAGTGTAAATCTCAACATCACAACATGTCAGGCAATGTCCTCCCCTCTGTCGCCCCCTTCAAACTCCACACATCTCCAATAAAGGCACTCACACAGACACACAAATACCTTTAATAAAAAAAGTTGTACATAATTAGGGAGAGGGGTCAAGGCTTAATATTAAAAGGGGAACTGCTCCCCCCTTTACCCCCTTTTCCCCCTTAAGACCCACCATTTTCCATTTGTTTACTATGATTAGTTAACACAGTTGTTTGGTATTGTGTTTCCCAGGGTGGCTCCATTGGCATTTTGATAGAGTGGGACTGTGACCTTGACAAAGGCTACTCTAACTGTAATCCACATTACCATTTCACACGTCTGGACGTCTCCAACAACTCAATCTCAACTGGATTTAACTTCAGGTCAGAGTCACTGCAGACTGTATGTTTCTATAGTATGTTGCAAAGACAAATATTTACAATTGTATTCAACAATGTAATGTATTTACAATTCAAAAACACATTTGTAAGGAAATTATTCAAATGTTCATCTCTTTCGACTCCACTTCGAGCAATAAAAAAACTAAAAACGTACTTAGATACTAACTAAGCACTTATATACTAACAAAGCACTTATATACTAACAAAGCACTTATATACTACCAAAGCACTTATATACTAACTAAGCACTCGTATACTAACAAAGGCCTGGCTTATCTAAAGCCAGTTGAGTAGCACTTGAAATGTTTTAGCTCTATTACATTACATTACATTGCATTTAGCTGACGCTTTTATCCAAAGCGACTTACAATAAGTGCATTCGACCAGGAAGATACAACCTTGAAGAAAACAGAATCATATAAGTACATCAGGTTTCATAGAGCCAAACATTTCAAGTGCTACTCAACTGGCTTTAGATAAGCCAGTCCTTTATTAGTATATAAGTGCTTTGTTAATAGTTCTATTGCTCGAAGTGGAGTCGAAAGAGATGAGTTTTCAGTCTGCGCCGGAAGGTGTGTAAGCTATCTGCTGTCCTGATGTCAATGGGGAGCTCATTCCACCATCTTGGAGCCAGGACAGCAAACCCACGTGTTTTTGCTGATGGGAACTTGGGTCCCCCTCGCAGCGAGGGCGCAGCGAGTCGTTTGGCTGATGCAAAGCGTAGTGCACGCGCTGGGGTGTACGGTTTAACCATGTCCTGGATGTACGAGGGGCCAGATCCATTCGCAGCATGGTAAGCAAGTACCAGTGTCTTGAAGTGGATTCTAGCAGTTACCGGAAGCCAGTGAAGGGAGCGGAGGAGCGGAGTGGTGTGGGAACATTTAGGAAGGTTGAAGACCAGACGAGCCGCTGCATTCTGGATGAGCTGCAGAGGTCGGATGGCATATGCAGGTAGACCAGCCAGGAGGGAGTTGCAGTAGTCTAGGCGTGAGATGACGAGAGCCTGGACCAGAACCTGCGTCGCTTTCTGTGTGGAACCTGATGTACTTATATGATTCTGTTTTCTTCAAGTTTGTATCTTCTTGGTCGAATGCACTTATTGTAAGTCGCTTTGGATAAAAGCGTCAGCTAAATGAAATGTAATGTAATTCAATGAATGTCTTAATTGCGTCTTGTTTTTTTGTCATTCTCATGCCTCTATAATTTCCCATTTGTTCCTCAACAGACACACTCGTTATTTCAAAAATGCTGCCGGTGAGAGCTATCGATCTCTATTCAAAGTCTACGGTGTCAGATTTAACATTATGGTCCACGGAAAGGTAAATGCATTTCTTTTTAGGATGAATACATGAAATACTGCTCTGCTCTGCCAAAGCATGATGATGCAGGTTCTCTTGATAAATAAACAACAGTTATAACCTTTTATATTGGTAATTTTCCACTTTCTCATTCTACATAACTTGTATTTCCTCTGCTTTTCATAGGCGGGGATGTTCAGCATTATCCCAACAGCCATCAACGTGGGTTCGGGACTGGCTTTAATGGGAGCTGTAAGTACCATCAATAATCATTTGCTTTGAAAATAACTGCACAGGATTTTAGATTTTGCCAGTTGTGACGGTAACTCAGTAAAACTTAATTTCACAGGGAGCTTTCTTCTGTGACATGATCCTCCTCTACCTGATGAAGAAGAGCGACTCTTATCGAGAAAGGAAATTTGAAGGACCAAAGTAGGAAAAGCAACACATGGGTTGAGATCTATGAGGCATCACAGTGCATATTATACTGTAAAGATAAGAACCTTCTCTAGTGCAAAGACACAGAAGCATTTGATTGATAATATCTGGTTTAACATGCATTTATTTTTTAAATACACATCATGAAACATGGCTTATCTCAAAAAGCGAATTGTAATTGGTTTTGTTAATAGTGTGCATACTATGTAGTTTAACAGGTATGTGTTCCACAGAATAAAGACATCAACAGCTAAAGACAGAAATGCTGCCACAGTACAGGAGAAACTGACATGTTTTACTTTTTAACACGAGATGAGTTTGTAATTGTTGTGTAAAACAATACATAGAAAACATGTCATGTAAAAAATGACATTTAGAGCAGTTTAATATTATGTGAAGCTCTAATAAGAAAAGGAAACAAAATATGAGTCTGAAGTTGTTAGTTATCAGTTGCTACTTTATTTTTCAATTTTTAAAAACATATTTTTACATATTTGAAATTGCAAAAACAAAACAAAATCACAACTTTATAACAGGTTAAGTCAAAACGACTAGAATGAAGTTACAGTATTCAAGCTATGCATGCAAGTGAGAGAAAAACAAAAACAAAAGAGAACATCTGAACTTCTCTTGGAAAAGTATTTCACTGAGAAAAAGCTGACAGTGATGTCGGTTACTGCTTGATTTGCAAAGATCAATAATTAATGTGAAGGAAAATGACCTCATAAATGAATTGCCAGTTTTCCTCTTCCATCTTGTTTTTGAGTTGTAGATCAGTGACATCAGTAACAAACTAAACGTGTTATTGACACAGAGCACTGCTTGTATATAAGTTGATGTAAATAGAGGTTTTAATAAAACACTTGACGTGGTTGAATATATGCAATTATCACATTATTGTTTATTATAATAACAAACACAAGAAGAGACACAGACAGACAGACAGACAGACAGACAGACAGACAGACAGACAGACAGACAGACAGACAGACAGACAGACAGACAGACAGACAGACAGACAGACAGACAGACAGACAGACAGACAGACAGACAGACAGACAGACAGACAGACAGACAGACAGACAGACAGACAGACAGACAGACAGACAGACACACACACACACACACACACACACACACACACACACACACACACACACACACACACACACACACACACACACACACACACACACACACACACACACACACACACACACACACACACACACTTGCACTACACCATTGTTGCCTACAGATGTTACTAAAGGACAGCTTCAGTAGCAGCCTCAGAACCACGTCAACACTATACAGTGTGTGAATGTAGTTTTTTTCCATTTTAATTATACATCCCACATTCGAGCTTTGAATAAAGAAAATAGTACAAAAACTTTAAAGCAAAAATATACTCATGTGAAGATATTGTTGAACTACAGCATCAGAGCTTTGAACAAGTAGGGATTAATACAACTCTCATGTTTCCAACTCAGTATGAACTCCTTTACCTGGAATGTTTAAAGTTAATTAAATCTTGTGCCTGCCATTTATCACCATGTTCTCTTTTAATTTGGTGTCAGTTGACATGTTGCCATTAGCATTTAGCTCCTAGCACAGCTGGACTGGAAGTAGGCTACTTAGGAGGGGAGTTTCCACAAAGTTATTTTAGTTTTTCTGTTTTCGCAGCCAAACCCCGCAGGCTGTTTGGTTTGAATAGATTGATAGATTAAAATTGTCCACTTCCAATCCTTTAGAAATAATACAAATCACTGTAATTGAACTGTTGTTCAATAAAATGCAGGACAAAATAAGGTCTGATGCTTTTACAGAATGGACAGAAAAGGCTGCTTTGCTGAAATATATGACATCGTCTAGTTTAATTTGATACAATAAAAAAACTCACATTCTGTTCACAAGTAAGACATAAAGCTCATTTCAGAGATTCAAAGTTTACAAACAACATTTTCAATAAAATAAGTGGGGGGCTGATCTTCCTGCTACACCTTGTCACCAGAAATAAAATACCTATTTGTTTTTTTTGGTTTCACCTTTCCCTGGAGACAATAGAGCTTAAATGAAAACCCATTTACAGGAAAGGAACACAATTTACAAGGAAGTGCCCAACTAAATAAAAGACTGGTATGTGGAATGGCAGTATAAAGGTGCGAGTGCAAGGGGTTTGTCCGCATACCATCTGACAACATGAAGGTCCTGCTGTTAACGCTGGTGCTCCTGCTGTCTAGCGCTCAAGGTGAGCCATATTCCAATTATAATTATATTAAAGCAACGTATTTATAAAGAAAATATGAAATATGAAGTAAAAACATTTAATCTATAATGGAAGCATTTTATTTGATCACTGTTGCATTACCTAATGCCATTATATTAGTGCCATAAGAGTCTATATACAAGTGATACATCATTTGTAACATTCACCTGTTTGTAACTTACAAATTATGTATCACTTGACTCTTATGGCACTACTTCTATTTTATTGTACTTGCACTATTTTATCAGTTTTATTGTGTTGCACTGTTGGAGGAGCCTGGGACCTAAGACTTTCATCGACATAACTAAACTGTAGCTATGTACGAATGACAATAAAAGCCTTGAATCTTGAATTACCTGAGTGTCGACGTACATTATACCGTGTGTTATCGTGTGAAAGGCTATGCAGTACTACCACTAACTTAACATTGATGTTGTCTTTAAAACGTCACACTATTGTAGCAAGTCATTCTAATTGCTTTTGTCTTTTCCCGTCAGTGCTCTCACTCACATGCTTCACCTGCGAAGGAGACGTGAACTGTAAGGCGGAGACAGTTTGCCCAGCATCCTCTCAGTACTGCAAGACCATGGAGCACGGTACTTAAGCTCTTTCTGTACTTTATATCTAATGTGTATGTTTTATTATGTTTGTTTGGCAGTTTTAGAGAAGCCATTTTTATCTGGTACAATGACACATAGATTGTAAACTCATTGTACATTGGTTTTTTTTGTCGACAGGAGAAGAACTTCGTCGAACTTGTGAGGACCTTTGCGGAGATGATGATGACTTCATAACCTGCTGCTCTGAAGACCTTTGCGGACCCTGAGGCCTCCCTACAAGTGCTCACTTCCACTTCCAGATGAATTAAAATAATACGAGAACAAATAATTACCTGAGTCTGAATCTGATAGAAAATGATTTGTTAATCTGACACTCCTATCCTGCTTTTACTTTCAATTCAATCTTGAAATTATGATTAATGATTTAGTCTCACTCTTCATTTCACAGCCAAAACTGCACTGGTTCACAGCCATGTTTTATCTTCAAAGATCTAGTGATGGCGAAAGGGCACACACACGCACACACACACACAGACACACAGCCATGCACACACTTAATCCTTCCTGATGTCAGTTAGTGGGTCAGTGCTACGTGGGTCGCTGTCTGTGTCGGCTGTAATGTGAAGTTGGCTGTTTCAAAACATGTAATGGAAAGAAATGAAGCTTTTAATTGATCTGCTAGATTTGTTTCAGCTGTCTTTTGTTACAGGTTAGACAGAGGCCTATTGTTCTGATGTACAAGGTTAAACCAATTATACCCAGCAAATGTGTCCACGTGAGGTTGACATGGGTTTAAAAACACAGTGTAGCTCACATGTGCTGACTTCCTCACGATTTAATTTTGGGACGTAATGTGAAATGTAGCAACAATAGAAGACTGCTGATGTAAACATGGAGCCTTTGAGAATAATGCAATTTTAAATATTTTAAAGAATCTGGTGTGCAAATGTTTTATAGGGAAGACAATGCAACCAACATTTTGTATTAAGACTTATTTTCAAACACTTTGTCTTTACTCTTGCTTACTGTCGGCCAATTGTCTAATTTTTTCATGAAGTTAAACTGGGTAATAAATTATAGTAAGCCAATTAATTCTGTCCAACATCTCCACATAGGAGAGGTGTTCTGGTCTAGTTTGTGTGCATTTATGTGAGCTAATGAGAATAACCCAAAACCAATAACAACTCAACTAAAAAAACAAAGAGACAGATTGGCATTTAACCAAACAGACATTGATCAAATAAAGGCACTTATATGGTAACAGAAATGTGATGAGTATACGTACATTATCATCTGATGATCCTCACCCTTTTCACCACTGAGCCAGGCACATTAATTATCTTTAAAGAAACAAATAAAAGTTCTTCACAAAAGTTGTTCTCTCACTTCCTGTTCAGTGAGTGAATCTCGCCTGGCAGCATTCATTCACCCTGTTACTGTCAGGCATGCACGGTGCTGGACTCATGCCCATCAAAACACTGCGGAGCGTGTTTCATCTACAAAGTTATGGTTCAACATGAGGCCAGGAATAGTAATAATAACTACAAAGAAAGCATCTTAAAGCTTGGTTTACTAATTAAAGAGGAACGTTACCCTTTGATAATGCTAGTTTGTTTATTTATTAGCCGATACTCCACTTAATCTCCTTCTTAAATGCATTTCCTGTTCCCCCAAAAACACAAAGACGTTCAACGATTTAATGGCATGGATTCAAAATACCTCCCAACCGCATGGGCCTCTCGATATCAGGCAAATAATTCTGTAAAATATAGGTCATAAGTGTTAATCTCTCCGGCTGTTCCTCCTTTACATTAGAGCAGCTCAGATGGTGGATGATTGGTGGATTAGTAGATCACAACCTTTTACACTTAATGTGTCATAAATACACACATGTGGTACATGTCCCAAATAAACACAGATGCACACAGTGGACGTTAATGCAATCATCTTTATGTTTTTGAACCAAATTTGGGGGAATCACCCCAAAACAAAACTGTTACAACTTTCCATGATTTAGAGGAATTATTGAAACTTCTGAAGAAGTCAGTGTGCAGAAAGCCACATTGAGAGCATGAGGGAAATACTACATCTCATCTGCTGCCCACACAGGAAGAGCTTTGCTGCTGAGCGTGTGAGAATTAGCATCATGCCTCAATGCCTCATGCTAAGTGTCTTTGTTTTTCTTAAAGGACATCTAATCATGTTCGTTGAGATTTTTTTAGATTTAATCAAGGATCTTGCAACATTTTTGGCACTGCTCCAGTTGGACAGTTTGAAGCTTTGTTGTTACTACGGAGTTTCTAAATCACGTGCTTCTTCTTTATACTGAGATAATAGATAATGCCTTTAAGAATCTCCTCGTCAAAATAACCCTGCTAATATTTCAATCATTAGTAGAACACAACTGTTTTGAACAATGCATGTAATAAAATAGGAAACAAATCCAATAAAATCATAAAGAAGGTGTGTTTTTGTATCCGAACGTATTATATGTGTTTATTTTGTCTTTTTTCACCCCATTAGTCATCTCTGAAGGCCAACCCCTCCTGCCACCATTATCTTGTAACCTTTTGAACTGGACCAACTGGATTAAAACTACCATAGAACAGTGCAACAGTGAAACACATTGATGCAGCAGTATTAATAACTACATTTATACATTCATTTTTGCTGTATATGTATATTTTTGATGGATTTTGGCTGATAATACTATCATATATTAAGATTTTGATTGCAGGACTGTTATTTGTGATTTTATATTTTGTTTTTTCTACATTAGTTTTGATAATTGGGTAAATGATATAACGATTCTTCCATTGCTATAGGTTTAGGATCCAAAAAAAGAGCATGTCGGCTGCACAAAGCTTCCCCGCTTAAAAAATAAAGATTCAAAACAAAGACTCACTCTGTTGCTCCACCAATGGAGGGCCTGTTGTCAAGAGTGAGCTCTGCTTTAGCTGGTCGGGTAATGGTGGTCCATCTATTGGATTAGTGGAGGGATTTCACTGTGGTATTAATCTGAGAACACAGCAGGAGAGCGGGCTCACGCTGAGCTGTTGTGTCTCTCAGTCTCTGGCCGTCACTCAGCTCGCTGTTCCAACTCCATCAGACGCTCCGACACACACAGGACACCTCGCAGCCAACATGAACCTTTTCTGCTTCTCGCTGGTAAGAGACACACTTTTCCTTTCTGTGTCTACTTGACAAGCTGTGTGTGAGAGGCTGAGGGAAAGAGAAGTGTTGCCATGTGATTGAAATGCAACCAGTACATTATAAATCTGTTGATCATGGCATGCTGGGTAAGTCGTTTGGGAAAACAAGTACAATGTTGTTATCAGCCTCTGAATAAGTTAGAGAACAGTGAAATGTAACTATTTAAACTCCTACTATTCTTATTTGTAGTCAGATCATTAACCCACTTATTGGTTAATCATTATAAATATCCTTCTGATAGTTGCTCTTTTCTGCACAACTCTAATGTGAAAATGTAGAAACGCTTTTCTAAAAAACTGTTGTTACATTTTCTTTGGATTCACCATGTATGAACTACATGATATGAATATAATGACCTAATATGCCTATATGTTTGTACTTTAATGCCATAGTTTATGTAGTAGTTGATGCGTTCACAATGCTAGAGGACAAAGCAGATTGATAATTGATAATTGAAGCAAAAGCCTTTTCCCATTCCCTCCCACATATGGTCCCCCAGATGCTGCTGCAGCTGTCACGCTAAACGCTGACACAAGGTCATGTATATACGAACTATTCAATTGGACAGATGTTAACCAACAATCAGGATTATTAACTAACGTCGTTCTACAGTCAGAGGCGTGAACTGTGATTGCACTCATTGTCCTCTCTGGTGCTGTTGATTCAACTCACTGTGATGAGTCATAGTACAAAGACAAATGCAACAAATATCAAAACTAAGACCTATTTTACCATGTAGTTTGGTTTAGGTCATCATTTGGCACATTAATTGAAATTAATTAGGTGAAATAAACGTATAATTTCTTTGATGCAGGACTTTTGAAAGTTTTTTTTCGAGTTTCTTTTTGAAACAAACGTACAGCTTTATGGAAAATCTATCTTGAAGGATATCTAAATATAAATAATTTTATAATGAATTTCCTCCACTATTCAACATACGTAAGCGAATGAAGGGAAGTGCCTACAACTAAAGTATTAGTAATTATGTAGAAAGGTACAAATGCGAGGATATCTGTATTTCTTTTAGTTTCTTCACATTTCAGTCAGACAACTCACGTGTTTCTTAATATGTTTATTATAAGCAGCATATTTGAGTTTGGCGTCTAGGCTCGGGCCTCATCACTCCACAGATTTACAAAGAACGTTGAGTGATGATTAGATAACTATCCCCCGAGCCTACAGGTGGAAGCTGGGGTGGTGGGGCAGGCAAGCAGCAGCAACATGAACATGAACGCAGCAAGCAAGTGAACACAGCAGTGGCAGCATAGCGAGGCAGAGGCAGGAAGACCTGGCAGCTTAAATACAGCGTCATGTTTAGGAGAATGTGTTTGGTTGGTTGTAAGAGGGACGAGGTGCGTCACATGTGGAGGCGTGTGGCGCAGTAGAATAGTGCGTTGGTGTTGGGACCAGGGGAGCACAGGTTCAAACCCCACTGCAGTCAGCATGCCGTTGTGTCCCTGGGCAATTGCTCCTGTGGGGATTGTCCACAGTATTGAGTATGTAAGTCGCTTTGGATAAAAGTGTCTAACAAGTAATAATAATTCATGTACGATTGGTGCTCGAGTTGACTGCCTGAACTAGCTCGCAGGCTTTTGTCCAATATCGACGAGATAATAAACATTCTTTGAGATTTAAAACCTAAAAAAGTCATCAACTGACGATGACATCAAATCTCCTCCTTTGTTGCCACTGAAAATGTCCGTCTGTTCAGTAAAAAGATAAGACGTCAACATACAGACAAGACGAAAGGGATGAAGAAAGAAATTGTTCCTAGAAGGAATCCAAACAAGCCACACACATTTTAATCCTGACTGAAATCTTTGCTGAGTACATTTCAATCCTCCACTACATCCCTGGTTGACAAGCACATTTAAAAGAGCTTTGGAGCAGCATATCCCTACAGTCGTATCAAATCCTCATAACTCTAATTGTACGTCTATTTGAAATACAGCAAACATGTATGTCTTGTTCAACCATTGAGGTTTTCCTCAGTTGTAGGCCCTGGAAACAATCATTTAAGCTGATGTGTGAGCCTGTATGACATTTCCTCACCACTAACAGGAAGTAGGCAACCTACAAATCATGCGCAATATGTGGGCACTACTTGTTTCATCATCAGTATTAATCAGATGTAATCCATCAGTACGGAGGAAACCCATTCATGAATCAAGCTGAGAAAGTTTAACTGAGTGTCTGTCTGTCTCTCTGTCTGCCCACGTGACATCAGGAGGGGTCCATGGACAGCCTGTATGAGGCGGTGCAGAGCTCCGGTGACGGACCCCCCCCACCCATCCCCAGCCGAGCCTCCAGCCGAACATGCAGCCGCTCCTGCAGCCCGGCGGTGCTGCTGGACGACAAGTGGCACAGCTCGGGAAGATCCATCTCTATGGTGAGAGAGTCAGAGATCCAGCAATGTATCATTACAGCAAAGAAACAGTGTGGATAACAGCCCAAAATAAGACGAGTAAAGTAGAAAAGAAAAAGAGGCAAGCACACGTTTATGAAAGAAAATAAACAACAATGGAACGAAAATAAGTAGCAGCGTTGAACATAAAAGTAATGAGGCATCAGCAAGTGACCACTTTAATAGTGTGTAATGTGTATGTAAAGGTATATGTTGAACAACAGTAGTGTAACAGTCTGAGGAAGTGAAGCAGCAGCCAGTAATAACAAAAGTAAAATCTATATTTCAAAGATTCAAAGGTTTTATTGTCATATGCACGTGTAGAAATGGCAATGAGCTATATACATGTATATATTGCACATAGACGCTCCTACAAAACAATGTGATATATTCGGTGTTGGTTTGGTGGTTGCCTGACTGCTGCAGGGAGAAAGGAGAAAGAAAAGGAGGAACCTACACTGTGTGTCCACTCATACTGTATGCATGACATACGGATTATAGGCGGCCTGCTAACAATCATAACCAGATTGTACGGGTCACTCCACAGAGGAATTGGGACTTTTGGCCTTCAAAATAAAGCTGATTATGAAACGGTTGAAAGCTGCTGCTGAAGCCACACACTTCAGAATTGTGAAATACATGTAATTGAACAATCATTTACTCATTAAATCATTATTTGTGCAGATAATAAACTAACATCTGACTGAAAATGCTTTGTTTTCATCCAGGAGATGCCACAGATGCATAGGACCATCTATGATAAAAATAAAAGAAGGTGAGAGTATTTTGTGACTACTCGTTGTGTCATTATGCTGTAAACAGGCACTGAAACTGAATACAAAACATTGTAATCCTGCAGGCTTCTATTATAAAACCTTCTTTCTGTTTCTTTTGTTGAACGTGCGTGTAAACTGCAGAGAAAATCACGCAGTGAAAGGGCTTTTGTCTCCCATAGAGTAATAATATGGCTCCCTGTTTATTGTCACCACCTTTTACAGTAACACTGGAAATCCTTCCTGCTACAGCTGTGCTCTTCGTCTTATTCTCATGTCTAGTTCAATTGGTCTCGACAATTCAATCATGTATCTTAAGAAGATCGACAGCCCATTAGACATTGGAAACAAATAATATATATATATTTATTTTGATTGTTAGTAAATGCTCTTTGACAAGCAGCCTCCTGCAGACAGTTGAAAAAGCAGACGGCAGATTATAGCTGGTTGACTAAGAGGATCGAAGGCCCGTTTTTTTACAGTCTGCAGTCACCTCAACACCTTCGCTCCCCGGCACAGTTTGAGGAACAGATCATGCACCTCTGCACGATATATAGCTTGTCATGACTCCTCAGTTTAGTCATGTTATGTGCTCTATGGTGGTTGGGTTTTGTTTTGAAGTGTCTGTCTAATACTTTTTGTATCGGTGGGATTGTTTTGGTTTGTTGTCAGGCTGAAAGGCCAGAATTGTTTTACTTAGCACTTAGGGGTCTACCCTAAAATACTCTTATTAGAGGCAGTTGTATAATATCTTTGATTATTTTACTTTCAGAACACATATATCCAAATATGCCTCAGATAACGACACACTAGGTGAGTACAACAATGTCCTTTGGGTTTTGTTAATTCTGGGTATTTATTTTCTTTCAATTGGACCTCTACCCTACACCTTAAGGAAGACTGCAGCACCATATTTGAACTTCTCCAAGTTGGAAAGAAAATACTGTTATGTGGATTATTTAGATTAAAAACCTCCGATGACCTTCTGTGACTCCGAAAACTATTTCATTCATTTATTGTGGATTCATTTAAAAACCCAAATGTTTGTGATTTGTCTCCCTCCACGGCAGATAACCCCGGCTGTAATGCTGCAGTTTGGCCGTCCGCCAAGAGCCAAGAAGATTTAGTCCGCATCCCTAACAATCACAATGAAGGTACATTGGAAATAAATAGGTTAAGCTCCTCTATATGGCAATGTTCATTTGGAATCTCAGCATGACGTCCAAAGACTTTTGGCTGGGGATTAAATGCTGCACGAAACAAGCACTGTGAATGTTGTACCTGATCATTTCTATTGAGGCACATGAGGAAGGGATGTTAAATGTCCAGTGTGAAAAGAAAGAATGATTACAGCAAAAGCTATTTTAGAATTGCCTTATTTCAGTCAGACAACTCACGTGTTCCTTTAACATGTTTATTAGAAGCAGCATATAGTTGAGTTTGGCGACTAGGCTCGGGCATCATCACTCCATAGAGATAGATAGCACGATGAGTGATGATTAAATAACTAACCCCCGAGCCTACAGGTGGAAGCTGGGGGGGAAGCTGGGGTGATGGTGGGGCAGGCAAGCAGCAGTGACGTAGAGATAGCTGCAGCAATAGCAGCAGCAAGCAATACATAGAGAGAGATCTGGCAGGTTAAATAGAGCGGCATATTAAGGAGACTCTGTTTGGTTGGTTGTAGAGTGGCAAGGGGCGTTATGTATGAATGCAGCATTAGTGCTCGAGTTGACTGCCTGAACTAGCTCGCAGGCTTCGCCCCATTTAAGATGGACTTGAACAATGGTGCATTTGTCCTTTAATCTTGAGAAACCGAGACATGAATAAATCAGCTTCCTGGTTTTTCCTTTGTTGGGGTATATGTTTTTGCAGTGTTTCACTAACCTGATGATTGTTACATGTTGTTTGTTTGCAGAAATGAAAAAGACTAAACACAAAACAGAAACCAAAGATGGGAAAGGAGCTCATTCAGGCACAAAGAAAAAGGAGAAACCACACTCAAGCCACGTAAGAATAAAACAGAATCACTACAGTCTTCTAAGCCAGGTTCCCCTATTGATGGTAACCTAATGAAAAGTAAAAGTACATTTAAATAGAAATATTTTAACCCCTTGCCTGAACTGAAGCCGACTCCTTTGATTGCTTCTGTAACACAATTACATCACTATGTCATGTAAATAGAGAGCTTTTTGAACATTAAAGCATGGAAACATGTCACAGTAGAGACAGAAAATACAAATATGAACCTCCAAAATGATCATAACATGTCGTCTTTAAACAAAATGCCCCCCCTTTATCTCTGCACCACTCTTATTAACACAGCATTAACATACTGATGCATCCCTGACAACCTAAGCATCTATACAAATGTACCTGTTGCTGCACCAGTAGATGTGCAAATGTTTGCAAGTGCAGACTGGGGGTCACATGACGCAACAGGCCATTGTGTGTCTAACAGACTGCCAACTGCTTGTGACATCCAGAGAGCCTATGGTGGCCTAAATGGCACAATTTAACATAAATGCTTATTTAGTATTAATACAGTGCAGATGGCCCACAGAGGGTACTGTGTAATCTGTGGTCCAGAGAGAGATGTGAAAGAGTAGGAGTGTGTGTGTGTGTGGGTGTGTGTGTGTGTGTGTGTGTGTGTGTGTGTGGCCTAGTATTACTATACTTGTGGGGACCTAAATCTGTTTACACAGTCACGTGTGGGGACTCGCCTCCCTTATGGGGACAAAATGGAGGTCCCCATGAGGGGAATCATTAATTTTAGGGTGAAAACTTGGTTAGGTTAAGGGTTAGGGTTAGGCATGTGTTGGTTATGGTTAAGGTTAGGATACGTCTCCAGGAAATGCATGTAAGTCAATGTAATGTCCCCTGAAGTGATGTGTGTGTGTGTGTGTGTGTGTGTGTGTGTGTGTGTGTGTGTGTGTGTGTGTGTGTGTGTGTGTGTGTGTGCGTGTGTGTGTGTGTGTGTGTGTGTGTGTGTGTGTGTGTGTGTGTGTGTGTGTGTGTGTGTGTGTGTGTGTGTGTGTGTGTGTGTGTGTGTGTGTAGCAGCCTGTAGCAGGTCACTCAGTGCCCATTCTGACTAATGCCCATCATAGTGAGAAGCAAACAAAGCAGAGCCTGCCAGTAGTGGATCAGCAGCAGCTCTTAGTGTCTCACTATGTAGCTGCTAAAAGGACGAGTGACCCAAATGGGGAGAAGATATTATGCCCGCCCTTTCTATAAATAACCTCTAAAACCAAAACAAATGTCTAAAGCTGTAAGCCCTACGAGGCTGCATAAGACAATGCTAAGATGTTAAACAGGTATAGTGTTTACTTTGTATTCTTACCACCAGTTCATCATGTTAGCATGCTAACATATGCTGATAAATATTTAAAAGAAATAACAGCTGAAGTGTTTCACAAAAAACTAAAATCTCAACCTCTTAGTGACACTAAAGGAAAGTAAGAGCTAGGATTGATTCTCTTGGGACAATGAATGTGTCTTAAAAATGTGATATCAATTGAATTCAATCTGGACCAAGTTGTAGACATATCGACAGACACATTAATGCTACTAGCAAGGCGAAATTAGAGGTGGGAGCTAAACATTTTTTTCTATTAGCATAAAGTGCATTTCGTCGAGCAATCAGAAGAGATGTCATCTTCTAACAGAATTAGAAGTTACAATTAAAATGTCGTGTGTTGTATTTATTCAGAATCTACACGCCAATGGTGAGTCTAAACCTGCAGCCAAAAGAAACCAAAAGACTGGAAAGAAAGCTGGTGGAAAAAGCGGGAAAGATGGGTCGAAGAAAAACCACAACTCAAGAGGTGAGACAACTTTCTGTACCAACGACGAGATGACTGTGCAGTTTCCCTATTCCCTAGATTCATCTGTCCTTTTGTAACCTCCCTCTCCAGCGACTGAATGACTCATTTCCAAGACTAAACTTAGTCATGCTTACAGTTGCAGAATAGGATTTCAAGATTGTTCTGCTCTGATGAATTTGACTTCTGCTCTGAAGTTTCTTAACTCCTTCAGTGTAGTTGCCTTTGATGCCTTTAGTACTCAGGGCTGCTTTAGAGTAAACAAGCATCCTTAAACTACTTATAGCTAATACAGACCACAAAAGAATCTATTTTTCTGTTTGGCCATTTTAATATTCCCTCCTACTCTCTTTCCGGTGCTGTTTTATTGAGTAAAGTGGTCTCAGATAATGCCCATTTCCAGTGTAAAAGGTTTCTTCAATGTCTTTTTTAATGGTCTTGCGACACTTGTGATGGTGTTACAACACTTAGTGGGAATTTGCAGAACAATTACTCACTCTTTATTGTGGTAATTATGTTTTGTGGCAGCAACACCTCGGCGTGACGCAGAAGCCTGACTCATGTGTCAATGTCAACATCCCGTTTCACCAGCCTTAGAAAGTTGTGAATTGTCAGTATTTCATTTATGCTTCTCTCTGCAGTGAACTCCCCACCATGCGCTATGAGCCCACCCCTGGGACCCCACTATCTGGACGTGCCCTACAGGTCAGACAGGAGGCCCTACATAGGGAAGTCGGCCACCCTCCCAGTCCCCACTCAGGAGAACTCGACCCCGGGCCGACGCACAGACATGATGAGCCTCCCTGGTGGAGCGACCCCCACCCATACGTACCACCAGCGCTGGAGTAACCCAGGCGAGAGCAGCCCTTCCTGGGGGTCCGTGCAGCACACCTGCCGCCGGCCGCTCACAGAGTATCGCATGTTCTCCCCTGACTTCAGCACGTCCCCGGAGAAGGAGTGGGAAGAGGGACAGCAGCAGGTAGCGGCCCAAGGGGACAGCTTAAAACGGGACTGTAAACCCCAGACTTCCCCAAACGTGCCACGATCTATGACGGATGTGAATCTATCAGAAGCAGATGTAAGTTTTTAACGGTCACTATGTGTTTTGGAAACCATTAGTTAGTTCTTCCAAGAGCTTTGACATGGTTTGAGTCAGTGCTGTAGAGATTCTGAAGCTTAACTTTGCATCATGCACGTTCACGCATCAGAACAGCTTAGTGCAACTACAGATTTACATTACTGGTCAATATGCAGCCCCAATGCGGCCAAGCATAAACTTTTCTTGCCTTTTAGATGCACTCGTGCCCTAAATGCAATGGTCTTGGATGGGTCTAAAGGATGCTGATAGGCAGAGAGACCCATAGGGAGGTTCTTGTCCATCTGGTGGATACATTTCTGGGATTCAGTTGGTAATTCATTTGTAAATGTATCTTAGTGAGTGTTAAAGCCTTGTTTAACTGAACTTTTACTTAGTTTATTTTGGTTCTGCCTCCAGTAGGTGTTCTCAGACCGTGTCAAGTGTTGATTGGTTCAATCATTTTGTTAACACCAATATTAGGATGCATATTATGTATTATTGTCATTTCATTGGTTAAAACAACATTTTCTTTCCCTGTTTTGGTAACTGCTAAACTGGTGCCCTTTTTGCATGTCTGCTACTACTGAAATTGTTACATTTACAGATTTTATCGGACCACAAATGTAACAATTAATTAGGAGATAGGTCGCTATCCCATAGGCTCTTAACTCAGAACTTGCGTAGTCTCTAAACTGTGGGGAGTACAGCCGAAGAACCATTGTTTTAACCTATTTGAATTCAGCCTTTGGTAATCTTTGTGAAACATTGAAACAATGCATCATCGTTTGATTCAGAAACTGATCCTTTAGTTGGGAATCTGCCCTTAGATTTTCCCATTTGGATCCTTTCTATCAGTTGCTGTTCAGTACAGCTCGTTCGTCACACAGCACTAATACCGCTCCATTGTGCGGATTGACCTCTAGGGTCAGTGTCTCTGCAGACGTCTATCAATACGGAGACCTCTGCTGATACCCAGAGAGTGTGTGCAGAGTGAACCCAGCGCAACACAAAGCAGTTAAAGCTTAACCTTACTTTGTGGAAAACTGTCAAAGACATAAAGGATGATCCAGTGTGGAGATTACAAAATCTCTATAGATCTATCGTGTCATTGGTTCTCAGAAATAAAATGTAATTTCATTTGACATCAAGCCTCTTAAGAGTATAGAAGTGATGGTGTAAAGGTCAAGACTCATTGTGCTCCCTATTTAATGAAGTCAGAGCTCTTCTATCCATCCGTTTCCTGGATTCACTTTACATGTACCATGTGACCTGTATCACATAGTCAAACAAATGTCCAATGACATTTTCCAATATTATAAAATTGTAAATATGCCATACAGACTTAAAAAACTAATTAAATCCTCTTCTTCAGTTCTGGTAGAAAGAAAGACAAAACCAACCTAATAATTATATTTTAAAAGAGAAGAAGATAAGGATACTTTAAAAAAATAAATGTGTAACTCTGAACAACTGCCTCTCCAGGGAGTCAAGCGCCTCTAAAGTAAAATAGATTAGAAACTCTAATCTGGATCGACTGGAGTTTACGACTGATTGCATTCAGTGGGATTAGGCAATGGTTTTGTCCGTTGAATTCCATTTTTTACAATTGATCAATTGAAATCCCCCACAATGAAAACACAGAGGCAAATCCCTGCATGGCGACATCAGAGCAGTGAATGAGAGCAAAGTAGGATCCTGTGGAGAGTCTCTTAGTTTCACCGGGGAGTTTTGTAACATGGTAAAGTAAAGGCTAGTGATTTTTAACCTTTTGTCAAGAACTAAAACTACTAATAATTACCTGTAGATACATCTTGATGTTTCTAAGAGATGAAAATAAATCTATTCACTTCCACATTGAGAGCAGGAATAAACCGGAAAGTGTTTCGACATTACTAAGTTGCCACTTTCAGCTGTTCCTCTGTCCTACATCAGCACTTCCTCAAAATGATCCTCCCCACATTAAGACATTTACTGGATAACATAATTGCCTGCATCATTTACCATATCCAAGTTCCCCATTTCTAAACATTTGAGGAATTTTCAACTTTTATCCATCTTTTTTCCATGATTTCCTTTCGTTTAATCATTATAATAAAACATGTTACTCTAGATTAACAGTTCTGTTAACCCTGATACTTTATGACTAACTCCAGTGGTTATATGACTGAGCTTTGCTTGGTGACAATACAGCCCAAATCTAAGCAGAACACCCCCACTAATGAAACTAAGTAGCCGATATGAAACAATCTCATCATCACCACGTTATCACATATCTTCTGAAAAACAATTACCACAATTATAAAACCTAAAATCAGCCGTTCCTGGAAGCGGTTCTTTATGTTTTCGTCGAACGCGCCACAAAATGCAAACTCAAGCACTTGTATTTTCCCCTTTCAAAGCAACACTGCTGTGAGGGACACAGTGTCAATTGCCTCACATCCTGTGTTGTGAGGAAGTGGAACAGCCAGCCCATCAGACAGGCAGCCACAGAGTTAGTTAATCACTGTCAGGAGAGAGGGGTAACGACAAGAGGGGAGCAAACACTGAGATTTGAAAATAACCTTAAAAACAGGAGAAAATGTTACAGAGGAAGGCCTCCAATGTGTCCGACAAAACAAAGAGCTGCAAGCCGAAGGTACGTGAACAAAATTCAAACTAAGTATGTGTAAAAGTATAGATGTCGAATATCAATTTTGACATTAGGAAATGACCAATGTCCTGAGGGGCAAAAAGAGACAGTTACAAATGTGTACAGGTTTTAGGTGCATTTTATGCAAAAGACACTTATTACCATTAAAACATATTCATAGTTGATGTAGGGTGTTTTTCTCCAAATGTAAAAAGTAAATTGTATTTGGAAGATTTTTTATAATGCAAAACAGACAAACCACAATGGCTTCAAATACTTAAAATGCAATACCACAAACATTGCAATTAGCGGGAAGAATATAGATTTAAAACTGAATGTCTTTGATTCTGCTGCTGTACTGTGGGGTAAAGTGTTCGCCTGACGGAGGACGCTGCATTTAATCAATCCGCAGAGGGTTGTCTAGGAGTATGGAGCTCATATTTAACCAGGATTTCCAGGGATTACTAATTTATTCAATTCGGAGATGATGGGGAGTTGGGAGAGATTATAATGACTTTTAGTTTTATGAAAAAATGAACCGGAGGAAAGCTACTGCGAGTATATGAGACCTATGTCATGAGGACAAAACTGTTTTTTGTAATCAATTCTTTTTTAAGTACGGACATGTTAGCCAGTGTTGCTGTATACAACCAAATATTCTCTCTGCTGCAACATGACCACAACATGTGTACATTTTGTGGACACATCTACAGAGGGCACTAACAAATAATTAGAACATTTTGTCTTTCCATAAGAGAAGGGACATAAAGAGGGTAGAGACCATGTACAAATCTAATCATATTTTGTCAGTAAAATCCACTCTTGAGTGAAGTTGGCGCATTTTTGTTGTTGTTTTTTGTACTTAAGACAGCTGGGACAAGGACTCACAAATGCAATGAGTTGATGTTATGTAATGCTCGTTACACAAACAGTACCATTTGTCTTTATGTCATGCTTTGCTTTTTAATCCTCCCTGTAGCGCTCCACCAGCTTTGGCAGGTTTGACATCAGGAATCACTCTCCACAAGCCAAACCAGAGGAAAATGGAACAACCGTGGTATGTGGATTTATTATTTAATTTTTGTATTTGTATGTGCTTAACTGCCAAACATATCATAGCAGCACCCATGAAAGCAGTTACTTGTCAATAACTTAACAAGTATTCATGTTAAGTATTTCAATATAAACATTTGCATTAACAATTTTCCCCTTTTGCACTGTATGCTTACATATTCAAATATCTGCAGCCATTGGTGCTGTGACGTGTTTTGTATTAACAAGCACAAATTAGGTAAAGAAGTGACCAAAGCATTTACAAACACATGCACATACACTTCCTCACAAACACTTGATCTTCAAGCCTTATCTATGCCTTCAAGGGCAAAAATGGTTTCCACCACCTGCACAGCAAGCAATCTGCTGTATGCAGCAAAAAACAAAACAAAAATGCTGGGAAAAAAACCTTTGCTGTACTAGATGGGAGAAATACAATATGTCAAGGTCTTAAATATCACAGTACTACTATTTATGTACTAAATTATCTCTCTTTTCACAGCACACAGAAAACTGCGAGACTTTGGACCCAAACAAATCAGCTGGACTTGGGAAGAAGATGAAGGCAATTTCTCTGACCATGTGCAGGAAAATGGGCAAGAAACACGCCAAGTCATTGTCTGAGGAGGTAGTGTGTAAAAACTGAACTCACACAAACAACACTTTACCTCAGTTACAGTAAACCTGTCCGTCTTTCTCAAGAGTCCTATCACGTTCATCTCTTATTAACCCACATCCTCAGGCTCAACGCTGTTTGCTATATTCAAATGACGCACTTCGCTCCGACTTACACTCAAACACGTATTTTTGCACCCTTGTGTTTTGAGAAAGAATCTAACTTGAATTTGCTTAACTGGAAGTTCTCTGTTATAGTTTCCTTATTGCTTTTCACTTTCATGTAGATGTACTTCATTAGTTAACTGGAGTTTGCACACTTTAGTCTATGATCCATTGAGAACTATAAGAATATTTGAGTCCGTACTCTCTTATATATCTCAATAAAAACTGTATATCTGTTATTTTCCTCGCAGGGTGATGACATTCACAAAGACCCAGAAGCAGAGACAGAGAGCTGCCCTCCAGCTGAGAACAACCCAGCAAAGACAAGCAACTCCTTAGAGAGTCTTTACAGTGGCCAGAGCTCCTCCAGTAAGTACCTGCACTGCAATGTATTGGCCACAGAGTGCTGGGTAGTTTTAGCCAACATAGTGAACAAATATTTGGAGTTATATAACTAATTAAAAAAAACAAAAAACGTTCAAGGTCAGCGGATTTGTGTATCTATGAATAAACTGGTACAATGATTAGATAAGCATGACTGTGTGTGTGTTCAGGTGGTGTGACCAGTGAGTCCAATGGCTCTGGTCAGAGAGACAGTCTGAGGCTGGAGGAGGACGGATCGTATCAGGGACAGTTCAGCGGCAGAGCTCGGGTCCACACAGACTTTGTTCCCAGCCCGTACGACACAGACTCCCTCAAACTCAAGGTAAGATGCAACACAGCAGAAGTGGCGGAAGCACTTAAAGAGGCCCCATTATGCTATGAGGGGTTTTACCCTTCCTGTAATGTGTTATATAGGTGCATGTAAATGGTCTGCAAAGGTTAAAATCCCAAAGTTCCCTCCAGAGGGAGTTTCTCTCCCACACACAGCCTGAAATGCTTCTAATTGGACTCCTTTGTTTACGTCCGCAACATAATGACATCACTATGTTACACTTGCACTTCTATTGGCTAGCACTCCAACACATTGTATGTGATAGGCTAGGGGCGGGACATCTTTTAGCGGTTGACCAATCATAACAGAGCCATCCAGTTAACTAATGAGAGCAGAGTATAGGCTCTGGTTTCAGACAGAGGGTGAAAGGGCTGCTGCAGCACAGGCAGTATGAGAACAATAAAGACCTTTTCGAACATTAAACCACTTAGATAGCACTTAAGTAAAATACACAGTGTTTTAATATTCAGTAACAACACAGCTCTGATCTAAATTATTATTTTACAAGGTAAACATAACCTTTAATCTTCACTGTTATTTTTTCCTAGGTCGGAGACATAATCAACATCATCAGTAAGCCTCCGATGGGCATCTGGATCGGCATGCTTAACAACAAAGTGGGCAACTTCAAGTTCATCTACGTAGACATGTTGGTGGAGAAAGAGGAAGAAGAAGAGGAAGCTCCCAAGATCAGACAACAGAAGCTGTGCAAAAGACCTCGGCCTAAAACATTGCTCGAGTTACTGGAGCGACTGAATCTGGAGGTGAGGAAACATGTTTTATTCTGTTTACAAGTGAGAGGGTTTACTACGGAGCCCCTAAACAGAGAGAAAAAAAAAGTTAGGATAACGGGTTAGGATAACGGGTTAGGATAACGGGTTAGTATCTTGTGCGCACGAGATACTAACCCGTTATCTTAACCCGTTATCCTAACTGTTTTTTTGTTGAGAAAGTTACCGGTGCGCCAAGGAGGAAGTGGAGCGCACAGGAGACAACCATTTCATTGCAGACGGTTATGTTTACGTGGGGAAATGACAGTGCATACATTATTTGAGATATATTTCGTACTCAGACTTCACTTTAAGGATATTTCGGCCAGGGGTGTGTGGTCACTCCAGGAGGCAGCGGGACATGTAACTCAGAGAAGAGCTCAACCAGTGCTCAAAGAGCTTTTACGCACCGCCTACACTGTGTTTACCTTGATTGAACAGCTATAAAGAGTGACCACAGGCTGTTACGTTTTAACCACACACACCTCTATACACATTGAACTGCCCGAATTCTCCCCCTTTTATTAGTTTTATGAAGGAGATGTTCGGTCACCAGGGCGCATGATGGGCGGACAGAGACTAAAAATCAGCCCGGGAATCTAACCCAGCCCAGCCCACGTAAACTGTCAACGGGGGGGGCAGCAGGTGCTTAAACAAATAGCTCTACACCCCTGGCCGAAATGTCCATACAATTAAGTCTGAGTTCGAAATATATCTCAAATAATGTATGCACTGTCATTTCCCCACGTAAACATAACAGTCTGCAATGAAATGGTTGTCTCCTGTGCGCTCCAGTTCCTCCTTGGCGCATCGGTAACTTTCTCAAAAAATAAAAATAAAGTCAGGATAACGGATTAGTTTAACAAACCCGTTATCCTGACTTTTTTTTTTTCTCTCTCTTTTTTTTTTTCCATGTCCCATTAGGGGCTCCGTAGTTTACAGATCGTTACATGCATAAAATAAAAGCATTTATTAGAGTAAGCCCTTCTGAGCAGGAAGTAAGAGATAAAGAAAAAATAAATCTTGTGGTAGAGTTCAGCAAGTTAACCATGACATGTTGCTATCTCATATTCAACTGCAACGATGTATAAAGGTTAAACACCTGGCATTATCAAGTCTCTCTCGAAACCTGTACCATCACTTTGTGAACACGTTGTTCCACTCATTATGTGAAACTTCAGAGACTCAAAGGATGAAAGGTGACTGTGAAAACACTTTTTTTCTGAGCTCATGTACACTCTGTGGTTTGATGGTAATGAAGACGCCGCTGTTGTTGCAGGAGTACGCCTCTGCCTTGCTGCTGAATGGCTACCAGACAGTGGAGGACCTTCTGCACCTGCAGGAGAAACACCTGATAGAGCTGAACGTCCACGACCCCGAGGACAGACGCAAGATTCTCGCAGCTGCTGAGTGCTGCTACACAGGTCAGCAACATCCATGCAATGACTATCACTTCTATTGAGTTGGTAATAAATTACATATTTGTTTCAACTTATCATATGTGGTAATGTAATGGCCTTTGAATAATGACACCAAAGGTTTGGTTCCCTAAGCCTTGCTCTTACTTTGAGATCATGTCTGCCTCTGCATGGCAATGTGTCTTTCACAATAAAGGACTTAGACATAAACATGATCCCTTCCTACAAGAGTATTTTGCTAAGAGGCACCTCCACAAAAAGACTTACAAGTCAACAAAATTACGTACAACTCGACAAAACAGCATAAAGTAACATTTCCAGATAGCAGAACACTGGAAATTGATAGCTGTGGAAACCCTTCTCAGCAAAAGAGCCCTGGTTATCGACGAGGCAAAGGAGGTGAAGGGTGAAAGTTAAAAACCAAATGTTGAGGTCAAGTGCCTATCAATACAGCTTTTTCACAAAACAAACAACAAACTTCCAAATAGCAAATGGACAAAGCTGTAATTAGCAAATAAATGCTAACCACATTAGCATACCCAAAGGTTCCTTTAAACCTAAGGCTCACCAGTCAATCAAATTGCAAAAACAAACCTAGGACCAACATCTTGACCAAACTGCCAATATTCAATCAGCCAATCAGAAATGAGCATTCAACATGGCTAACAGTCATTTTACAAACATATTTAGTGACTTTAGTAGCATTCAGCAGCAACAGAGACCATGATACACATCTACATAAGAACATCCTGTTCCTAAAACATTTCAATAGTATAACCTTAGAGTTTAACATAAATATAAAACCAGGCAGGTGTAACTCAGTGCTTTTCAATAACTTTGTTGTAAGCTATTATTCTGCCAGGAAATACAAAAGTGTTTTTGAAATGTGAAAACAGAGGCATGGGTGCCAGACAGAAGAGAAATACATCCTGTGTGCTCTGAGAGGCTTATCACTGACTTCCTGTTACTCAGAGATAAAGTGCTTCCAATCTGATGTCTCGAAGCAGAAGGCTGATTATCGCTGGATATTTAAAAAAACTACTTTTCAGCATGAAGAGGAACAACATCCTCTTGCTAGTTTTGTTCAGGCTGTTGTTAAACTGCAGTTGTAGACGAGGCAAATTAAAAGCCATTGTATTTGTTGTCTGGTTGACAGCGCGAGTAAACAGATGGCGGCAGCTGCGGCGTGCCTCTGCCAGGCTTATTGACTCAATTTAATCAAGCTGAACTCCATTAGGTTAATGGTTTAGCAACCTGGACATGAGGATTAGCAGCTTCCATCAGTGGAGTAGAACTATTAAAGAATGGCAGAATATTTGTACTCTGTGTGAGTGAAAAATGCAGCACGGCCACCGCCTCACCTGGATTAAGCTTTGATGAGGTGTTGGATGTATCAAAGTGTCCAAAGCAAACTGATGGACGAGATTTCTTTCATATTGCACATTGCATATATCTAAGTAGTCTAACATTTATTTGACTAATCTCTGAGAGTGGGAATAAAAGTCTCAGAAGACATTACATTTTGGGGTGTCTTTATCTAAAATGTCAATGTGTTTTTGTTTATTTTTATTATATTCTACTTTATTGGACAGGTTACTTTACCTGTTTTTGTTTATAAATATCTTTATTTTATATTTGTATTGCACATTCTTACTTAAAAATCTCATGTTTATACCCACATTTTAATTCTATTTTTTTTATTTCTAAGTTTTAAATATTATTCAAATGGAGTAACTATAAATGTTTAAAAATACAAATTCTCCCTGGGATAAAAAAGTATTTTGTTTGTGACATTTGCAGAAGTAACTTCAGCATTAAGTTATTAAGACAATCAAAGCCAGCCAGCAACACATTCTCATTGTTTCCTGGGAAATGTAGCAATTATAACCTTTAATGTTAAAAATAAAGTATTGCTATCACAGAAATAGATCATTAAGAATAGACTCAGCCTTTAAATGTGGGTTGATTTCCGCTGACTTGGAAATGATTTAATCTCCTTTAATGCGGTTGAAGACAGAGACGTTTAATATTATGACATTTGATTAAATTCCATTTAACTTGTTTTCGACCGCAGGTGACGAAGTTAAGGAAACAGAGGAGCAGAGATCCTCCCACAGTCAGCAGGAAGAAGACAGCGACTGTCCCAGAGACTCGGGTTGCTTTATTCCATCTGAATGTACAGAGAGCAAGGAAGACACAGAGCGGCTCACAGAGGCTGTGGACTCTTAGTGAGAATACTCCTCAGATGGATACGATGACTATTGGGATTTCAGTATTTTCTTAGGGGTGATGGTTTAGAAAATTATCAAAATGTCAAGTTAATATCCCTTATTACAACATTCTGAGCACATGCTTGCCTAATGTAGAAGCGTTTTAAGAGTAATTGAACAAACAACCTGTACTCAGTCATTTTATCCATTTGTCGCTAAAATAATAATAATCAAGTTGTACGTTTTGATATAAAGAGTTTTCTTTATTTCATGTTGTTGAAAAAGTGACATTTTATTGAATTAATGTCATTTGTATTTATTGCATTCTAAATCATTCAGTGTGTTTTCCATAAAAAGCTTTTATTTATCACATCTGTATTATTTCACCCTGTCTCATGGTATATTTTTTCTTCTCATTAATGAAGTGAAGGATGTTTTTGAAATGTGGCGTCTGGGTTTGAAAAATGCATATTCAAATGTTGCCTATATTGTATACTGTACAGGAGAAAATGTATTTTTTCTGTGTGTGTGTGTGTGGTGTGTGTGGTGTGTGTGTGTGTGTGTGTGTGTGTGTGTGTGTGTGTGTGTGTGTGTGTGTGTGTGTGTGTGTGTGAGAGAGAGAGAGATGTGCCTGTGCATGAATTCATGTTAAAGTCAGCATTCAAATGTTTTCAAAACTTTTTGTAAATAAAATAAAAGCAATAAAATATTATTTTTCAGAATGATTTATTTCAGGTACCATGCAGTCCAGTGTCTGATAATAGTTATTGATTGAATTTGTTCAGAAAATTAACAAAAAATATATAAAAAGTGATTTTTATTTATGTTATATGAAATATATATGTTGATAGAATATTACTTTTCATGTTGTCATATTTTTGATGTCAACCTTTTGATTCATTATAAAAATAGATACAATAATAATATAATATTAATTAATGATGCAAATTATAACACTACTACTGCTAACATCAGCTCTCGAAGATTAATAAAAAATGTTTCAAAGTTATCCTATCATCCATCCTTACTATGGCATTTGCCACTTGATTGACGTACAGGTGGGCCAGACAACACCAATCCCCAAGTGCTCAAGGCGTGTGCCGGTCAATTAGCAGGAGTTTTTCAGCACCTCTTCAGTCTCTCCTTGAAGCTGATGAAGGTGCCGGACATCTGGGAGACGTCTTGAATTGTCCCGGTGCCCAAAAAGACACGCCCCAGCACCCCAGGAGACTACAGGCCTGTTGCTCTGACTTCACACGTCATGAAGATCTTTGAGAGACTGATTCTGCAGCACCTCAAACCCCTTGTGTGTGACTCCATGGACTCTCTACAGTTTGCCTACCAGGAAAACATTGGTGTGTAGAGGATGCTATCACCTACATGCTCCACAGAGCCTACACACAGCTGGAGGAGCCGCACAGCTCACTAAGAATTCTGTTCTTCGACTTCTCCAGCGCCTTCAACACGATCCAGCCACACCTGCTAGCTGAGAAGCTGTCAGTGATGCAGGTGGATCGCAGCATGGTGGCCTGGATCACAGACTACCTCACCAGCAGACCTCAGTATGTCAGACTGCAGGGCAGCGTGTCTGATGTGCTGCTGAGCAACACCGGAGCCCTCCAAGGAACTGTGCTGTCACCATTCCTGTTCACCCTCTACACCTCCGACTTCCACTTCAACTCCGGCTCATGCCACCTACAGAAGTTCTCTGACGACTCCTCCATTGTCAGCTGCATCACAGATGACAATGAGGAGGAGTACAGGGCCCTGGTTGAGAACTTCGTAGGCTGGTGTGACAACAATCACCTCCAGCTCAACATCAGCAAGACTAAGGAGCTGGTGGTGGACTTCAGGCGGAGCAGGAAGAGGCCTCTGACCCCCATCACCATCAGTGGGAAGGATGTGGAGGTGGTGAACAGCTACAAGTTCCTGGGAGTGCACTTGAACAATAAACTGGACTGGTCAGACAACACTGATGCTCTCTTCAGGAAGGGACAGAGTAAGCTGTTCTTCCTGAGGAGGCTCAGGTCATTCAACGTGTGCACGAGGCTGCTGCAGATGTTCTACCAGTCTGTGGTGGCCAGTGTGCTCTTCTTTGCCGTGGTGTGCTGGGGTGGTAACACAAACACTAGGGACACTGGCAGGCTGAACAAGCTCGTGAGGAAGGCTAGCTCTGTAGTGGGAGTACAACTGGACAATCTGGAGGAGGTGGCAGAGGGGAGGACGAGGAGGAAGCTCGACAGCATCCTAGAGAACCCCTCCCACCCACTCCACGCAGAGCTAGTGAAGATGAGGAGTACGTTCAGCCACAGACTCATCCCTCCACGACAACGCACCAAGCGCCTCGGACAGTCCTTTGTGCCTGTAGCCATCAGGCTGCACAATAAGGGGTTAATAATGAAAAATAAATACAATTAAATCACTGGACATAAATATACACTGTTTCCACAACCCATGTTAACATATTATTAGTAGTAGACCAAATAGGTAGATATGTCACTATATGTACAGATGTCCATTTTAACTTTTCACTTGTCACTTTAACTTATTCCGTACTTTATAACTTAGATGACCAAATATGTATATATGCTGACAGTTATTTTACTCTTATTTGTACTCATCTCCTATTTCATAGTCTTTTATTATTATTATCATTATTATTTACATTTTTTAATCTGTGTGAATCTTTGCTGTCCTGTTTTTTCACGCTTACCTGTTGCTGCTTTGCACAACTGAATTTCCCCTCGGGGATTAATAAAGGTTTATCTTATCTTATTTTATGTAAGTCGCTTTGGATAAAAGCGTCTAACAAATGACATGTAATGTAATGTAATGGTTGTAAGAGAAATGCCCTGGCTCTGTCTGGTTGGCTGAGAACACGGAAACGTCTGAAACTTTCGTATTACGTTGCATGTCGCTAGAGTTCATGGGAAGTGTAGTATAACGGCAACATCAACTACAATATTCGTGGCGTCTATGGTGTGAGTCTCAGACTACATTACCCAGCATCCACAGGGCGCCATGCAATGTTGACGTGTATTTTGTTGCTAGTCTGAAAAACTCCTATTTCGCATCACACAGCTGTCACAGCCCGACATCATTTAACCAACACTTGGAACATTTGACCGACATTGTGTTATCTTTAAGCGGTTGGTGAGTTCGAAACAGTTTGTAACGATGTCCGGAGAAATCTCTATGATTGGTAAGTTAAATTACGGTTATTTCCACTCAGTAATTAGCCGGTGACAGTATGCTAACACATGAGCTAACTTGCTTGGTCTTCATCACCTGTTGTCCCGGTCTAGGTTCGGTTATCCTGGCCCTCTTTCTGGCAGGATACCTGGGTCAGCAGTACTTGCCGCCCCCCAAGCCCAGAGTGATCGGCCTGGATCTGGGCACCACCTTCTGCTCGGTCGGCGTATTCCATCCTGGCAGCGGGGAGGTGGAGGTGATCGCGGATGAAGAGGGAAGGAAGAGCATCCCCAGCTCCGTCTCCTTCACCACCACTGCGGTGCTGTCCGGACATGAAGCCGTGGAGCTGGCCGACAACAACCCTCAAAACACCATCTACGATGCTAAGAGGTTCATAGGGAAGATATTTGAGCCGGAAGTTCTGGAGCAGGAGAGCGCGCGGTACCCGTTCAAGGTGGGTCGTGATGGGGTTAGTTCCCAGTGACTGACCGGAACTACTTTGCATGTGATTGCAAATTAGCAGTGGTGGAAGAAATATTCATGTAGTGGAGTAGAAGTACAAAGTAGCATTACATGGAAATGCTCAAGTAAATTACAAGTACCTCAAACTTGCGCTTAAGTACAGTGCTTGAGTAAATGTACTTAGCTAATTTACCAAATCATGTTGATATATCCCCTTACTCTCAGTTTTGTTATTCTATCATCATCACTGACTCTGCTTGTTTGTGCCTCTTTCAGGTGATAAACAATAACGGAAGTGCAGAGTTTGTGATCTCCACCAACCACACCTTCACTGTGAGTCCAGAGTTCATCGGCTCCAGGCTGCTGCTGAAGATGAAGAAGATGGCCGAACGACAGCTGGACGTCCCCATCCTGAGGGCCGTCATCTCGGTGCCCGCGGAGTTTGACGAGAGACAGAGGAACTACACCGTGAGGGCCGCTAACCTCGCTGGTCAGTTCACTTATTATTTAAGCTGATAGTTTCATATCTGTATGTGTCATTTGGAAAAGCTGCACCTGCATCTAAAACACATATAGCTACTGTTATACTTGGATATTTTTAATTAAAGGTCTCCTATTATACTATTTGTAGGCATATATTATAGGTCTCAGATATATACAAATATATAAAAAACATGTCTATGAAGTGTTTTGCTCAAAATACCAAACAGATGTCCCATTCTAGCCATGCTTCATACTCCTCTATTTCAGCCCTGTTACTAAAGTGCTGATTCTGGGTCCTTAGCTTTAAACAAAACAGGGGGGAGCTTATGCAGGAGAATTCTACCCAGAGACTCAGCTAAATGCTGCCGTGATTAAACGCCATATCATGTTCAAAACCACATCAAGGATTATTTCTGTAACAGTATGGAGCTCAAATGCTTCTTTTGTGAGGTGAGTTCCTTTTTTTATAAAAAAGCTTTGTTGCACTCTCTCCAGTACAGGTTAGCTCTGAGTGTTAGCGATGCTTGCTAATGTAAACAAAGACCATATTACGTCCAAAACACATCGCATGTTGTTTCTGATAGCAATGTTTCTTATAGGGCCGTGGGTGTAAAGCCAGCCCACATTTCCGATAATACGTCATATCGGCAGCGAATCTGGATCAGCCCCGTTTTTAGAGATTTGGGTACGAAGGAAAAGAGAGAGGGTTTTGTTTTCTGACACTTTGTGAGTTCCCTGACACACCGGGGACACATTTATGTATAAAAGACATCAAAAAGTGCATTTTGCATGATAGGAAACCTTTAAGATCCATAACAGCCTTTCTTCCCCACACACATGCGCCACATTCGTTACATGTTTTCCCGTGTCCCTCAGGCCTGGAGGTGCTGCGCGTGATCAATGAGCCCACAGCGGCGGCCATGGCGTACGGCCTGCACAAGGTGGATGTGTTCAACGTGCTGGTGGTGGACCTGGGGGGGGGGACCCTGGACGTTTCTCTGCTCAACAAACAGGGAGGCATGTTCCTCACCAGAGCCATGGCAGGTAAGGACTCTCACTGATGCGAGATATGAGGTGATATGAGCCCGCTTTTGTCAGAAAATTGGAGCTTCAGCTTTTGTTGTGCAGTTCATGTCCCAGTTAAAGGATTTAAGTATCATTTCCTCTGTGTCTGGCAGGGGAATTGTAAAAGGAGACTAGACACGTCCTTGAAGCAGAATCAGGGTTATTGCTGACTAGCTTCACACAAAGGAGATATTTGCTTTGGTGTGAAAGGTGCATACATAAGAGGAATACGTCATAGAAAAGGAACAATAATTGTGCTGTACAAAAACTATATAAAAATAAACACATATATATATATATATATATATAATATATATATAATATATATATATATTAGGGCCGGGACTTTAACGCGTTAATTAAGATTAATTAATTACACAAAAATTAACGCGTTAAAAAAATTAACGCATTTTAATCGCACTTATTTTTGCACCACGGAACGTTTCTCACTGGATGAGTTTCAGGCGTACCGATTATACTGGAGCACCAACTAACGTTCATGACTTCAGACAACAACAAACCACAGTGAACAACAGTGGGAAATGTTGTTTTAAAAAACGGACGGATGGAAGCGTCGATAAGAGCACGGTTGTGTGCAAATTATGCAAAAAGGAATTGGCATATCACCGCAGCACATCAAGCCTCAAGTATCACCTCAATGCAAAACATATAGCAGCTAGCGTGGAAGCTAGCGTGGACGTTAGCCTCTTTTATCGCGTTCACACCAAAAAGAGCCGGTACTAAAATTAGTTAATGAGAACCTTTTTACCCCCACGAAAGTCCCTGCTAGAGAGCAGAGAGCTGCTAGAGAGCAGGGACTTTCGTGCGGCTCTCTTGTGAGAAAAGAGCTATATTTCTGATTGGCTGGGCGGATTGCAAACCACGCCCCGTAAAACTCCCAAAAAGTTTTGTGAAGCCGCCATTTTATTATCCTCGCATTAGCATTATTAGCATTAGCCCAGCGCAGAAACGCAGAGAGACTAACTTATGGCAACACAAAATAAAACATGGGAGCGGTGGAGATGAGGAGGTGTCGGTGTTCTGGCGATTTACTCGGAAGGCTGCAGTAGAAGCTGCTGGGACTCCCAGCAGCTTCTACTGAAGCCAGTCCCCAACTCCGGGGACTTCCGGCCGGGGACTTTGGGCGGCAGTATACGCCGTGAAGTGGTTTGCGGCCTGCCTGTAAACCCACAGCAGAAGAAGAAGAAGTGACGTCAGCGGCTTCATTTGCCTAATCCACCCCCAGGTTCAAAGAGTTCTCATGAACTAAATTCTCATGAACCTTTGTGGGAAAAGTACTGCGGTGTGAATGCGCCTAATGGTATACTAAAATCCATGTGAAAAAAAATTGCTTCTCACTGTTCTCAGGTCAAATATGTATATCTGATTAAAAATGCGATTAATTTCGATTAATTAATTACAAAGCCTCTAATTAATTAGATTAATTTTTTTAATCGAGTCCCGGCCCTAATATATATATATATAATATATATAATATATAATATATATATATATGCAAAAAAACTAAGTACAGTAAAAATATGACAAGTACAATAATTTAAAGTTGCAAGTTTTTAAAAGAGGAAGTGTTGAACAGAAATATGCAAAATATTCTGAGGGGTGCGCAGGTATATTCACAGTATAACATGAATAAGATTAGTTCACACAGTTCACTTAGATATTGGATCGTAATGTGGCAATGTTGCATTTTCCCGGTTTTAAAGGCTGCATTTCCGCTAAGTAATGTATTTTTCAAATGTTTTAGTCTTTGTCTTTTACCCACATCTCCTCCTTACTGATGATCACTCATCAAAAATGTCAGTGTTAATATTTCTATGAAATGACCAATTCTCAACCCAACATATCGTCACAAAATGTGATAATTGATATACTCCATATCATCCAGCCCTAGGTCTGTGATCTTTACACTTTGAAACATAATCTGGGAAGTTAAACCTTGGTTCTGTTAGTCAGTCTGTCATACAGATAGACTAGGTGTTTAGAATTCGCTCAGACAATAATCAGGTAAAATGTAGCATCTATATATTCTGTAACGTTGCAAAAAAAACTAGTATAAGTGAAATGTGTTGTTATAACCTTATCATGATTAAACTGTGTTTCATGGCAGGGAACAACAAGCTGGGAGGTCAGGACTTCAGCCAGAGGTTGCTGCAGTACGCCATGGAGCGAGCCCAGCAGGAGTTTGGCGTCCCTCCCACTCTGAAAGAGGACATCCACCGCCTCCGTCAGGCCGTGGAAGCCGCCAAGCTCAACCTCACCCTCAACCCCAGCGCCTCCATCCGCGTCCCCCTGCACCTGCACACCCCCGACAGCTCAGAGTCCCCCGGAGGCTCCGCTCCTCCTCCGGTTCTCTTCCAGACCGCGATCACACGGGAGCTGTTCGAGGAGCTCAACGAGGACCTCTTCCAGAAGATCCTGGTCCCCGTGGAGACCGTGTTGGCCGAGGGCCGTCTGGACAAACAGGAAGTGGACGAGATCGTTCTGGTGGGCGGCTCCACCCGGATCCCGCGGATCAGGAGGCTGATCAGCGAGTTCTTCGGGAAGGAGCCCAACACGTCGGTAGACCCCGACCTGGCCGTGGTGATAGGGGTCGCCATCCAGGCCGGCATCATGGGGGGGTCCTGGCCCCTGCAAGTGAGCGCCATCGAAATCCCCAACAGACACCTGCGCAAGACCAACTTCAGCTGATCGGTTATTTAAGTGAACGATCAAAGGGATGCCTCAAAGACTTCATAGCTGTGTCACGCTTTAATTATGTGCGTCATTTAAAACCTGCTGAAGTATGAGGAACTGCCAACAAAACACTCGTGATTCTTGTTTGGGTAAGTGGCGCATTTCACAACATAACAGTCCTGTTTTGTAAAGGGACAGATTCTTTTATTTTGCACAAAGCTTCCGCAGAAAGAAAATAATGACTGAAAATGTGAAGGAGACACTTCTCTGCGTCAATGATGCTTCTTCATGGTAGATACTCTCATGGTGTTCAATTCAGGGAACAACCATTTCAAGGACTTACAACCTAGCCAGTAAATCTTCTGCTATTTATGTATTTATTTATTCATAAACGGTGTGTGAGTGTCAGAGGTGGAAACAATGTGTTCCTGTTCAGAAAGCTGCTATACTGTTTGAAGTGGAGCGTGGAGGTGTAACAGTTTAAAGATGTATAATTCATTTCAAACAGATTCACAGCATTGCCTACAGACGAATCCCCTCCATAATGAGTAGGTGTGGTTGACTCAGCTAATAGGTAATGATGTGTGTTGAGAGAGAGCCTAACTATTCAAACAGTACTGTAACATCTCACATCACTGGCACCACCTCTCGCTCATGCTCAGTGCTGCACCTCCACTTGTTGACCTACTGTTTTTGTGCAATAGTGAGCCATTTGTGTAGCAGGGACTTGTGTGTGTGCTGCATGTGAGAAGTAGAAACAGCAGCCTGCTTTTTCTGCTTTAGGTAGAGCAAGGTGACTATAGACCTGCAGGAGGACCAACGCTTTGTGGATTTGGATGTTAAGTCACATTTTGGATGTTTGATGGACCTGATGAATGGGTTTGGTTGTTACGCCGCCTTCAATTTTGACAGAATTGTATTGAATAATTTACTTTGAAGAAAATTATCTTGCTCTTTTTGTGGTGGATTTTAGGCTGGTTACTGAAAATCCAGTGTGGTCCAATACAACCATTTCCAACCAAGAACTCAAGTTACCTTCATTCCTTTAAAAAAGTATTAAGACTACATGTTGCCCAATTTCATTCATGAATCAGTTTATTTATTATATTGACTTTTTTTTCTCATGTTGAAACTAAGATCTTGATATAATGGAGCCTTTAACTAAAGAAGCAGATTGCCTTTGATACCGTACATCATTATTAGTCCCTTTTTGAAAGAGGGAGAAATGATGTGACTAAGATCTATTTTTATATGTCGTGTCACACTCACTGAAGTCCAGCCACCTCAACATTGATGAAGAAGTTTGAACTGTTACAAGCCGCAATTAAAATGATTTCCCTTCGCTAACTCACTTGTCTCTTTATTTCATATTCCTGATCCTCACATTTGATCCTCACGGTGTTTGGGAAAGAGGATGCTCTTGAGAACTTAAGGCAGTAAAACTATTTTTGATTTGATTCCAAATGTATCATGGGCGGTTCTCCCCTCCAAAAGAATACATCTATGATGCAATTCATGTAAAATACTAACTTACTGTGCTGTAACCGGGCCAACGGGATTTTTTCAGTAATGTACTTTAATAAGTGGAAACTAAAAACAAAGTTTGGCTGCATAAATAATGTATTTATTATGCCAAACTTATTTTAATGTTCTGTATCTTGGGCCAAAGTAACTCAAATCAATTGTAACAGTCATTGTTAGTCAACGCTGTTTATAATAATGGTATTTTATGTGCTTGACTAGAAATGCATTAAATGTGCCCATCTCATTAAATGATGTGCCCCCTCTCAGTGAAATTAGTCTAGAACCACAGCTGAAATGTAGCGGATGTGTCTAAAGTCAGATTGTTGCTTTAATCCCCAGTTCCTCCTGTTCGCATTTCATCATTGAAAAAACAAACAAAAGATGCCATTTTAAAATCTCCTTTATTAGATTATTTGTTTGTATTGTTTACTTCTGAGGCACAGTAATACCCAAATAAAGAAAACACAAAAGGCAATCCATTTCCTTGACCCTGTGCTGCCTGTTGTGATCCCTGTAGCGTCCCTTCAAATAGCTTAGAGCTTTATTTTCACATTTAGCACCCACTTCAGCAGTCCGTTTGACACCAACCAGCACGTGGATGCATGCAGCTGTCAACAACAACACACTGCAGACTGCCCTGCGACTCAGAGGCAGTGCCATGACTTCCATCATGACCCGGATATTGCTTTTGTTCATCACGGTCACATTGTTCAATAATTATTTGTGAAATATAATGCTTAGTTGGCTGGAGCATCAAACACACTGGTTCACCTTTGTATGTACAATAACACACTCAACATAGCACTGCACACAGGGCAACACATATATACCCAGCCTGAATACACACTATACAACAATCACATCTTTAAAAAAAAAAGTCCAAACACATTCACAATAACAAGACTGCACAAATCTTCACCCCCCCAACACATACATCAGCTGATATGATTATTAGTCACATGCACTGGTCAAAGGTGGGGCGAGCATTCAGGCTCTTTCAAAAATAATTATCTTACATACACCATGTGAATATTTCACCTGGAGGAGAAGGCAGGACTTCTGTAAACAGCTTGTTGGTGTTTTTTTGTTTTTCTCTTTAAATATAAATATGAATGAACAGCAGCACAGTGGAGTGCTGATGGAAGGAGCGGTTAGCGAGTGTCATGCTGCGTCCAAGCCTCGTTAAAAGCTAAACAAATCTGCCGCGAGAAGAACAGTGGTTAAAAACAATTAACTGCTTTGGAAAATTAGCTGAAAATAAACAATCTGGAAACATATTTAAGTGAAGCAAGCGTTAATTGTAACTCAGAGGGGCCTCTCCGGGCCACAGATTTGGCGACTCCCGTCAATAAAAAGTGCGTGTAGTCCCGTGTGATATACAGTATGTCTGACAAGCAAACTCAAAACTATTTACAGAATGTACACAACTGAGTGGTTGTTTTTTTCTCTCCATCAGATACAGCAGTCTGTCAGTTTCTCAGCAGGACAGAGGTGGAGGTCAGAGGAATGATGAGTGGTCTGTCCACACAAGTCGGTCACTGGCTGATGCCCTGGTTGCTTTAGTAGTCGTAGCCGTTGTCTTCGTACAGCTCCTCCGCACTGCCGACTCCATTCCCCACCTCTGGAGGGCGCCAGAGGAGTGAGACAAACAGTCAGTGTACTGGATAATGACATGCAATAAGCATCATGCAGGGCGTTCAAATAGGGGAGGGGGGCTTCAAAAGAAAACAAGTATTGATACCATGCTAATAATACACATGTGGTTTGTTTGTGTTAGCTAATATTAGGCCTTGTGGATTTCTTCATGCCTTTTCACAATGTATTATGTAATTGTTAGTTGTGTGCAGTTGTGAGCAACGCTGTTCAAAGTATTGGTTCCTTTAGGGCTGCAGAATTTATGGAAATGTTATCAATCTCAATATGGACTAGTGCAATATTTAAATTGCAGTAGGAGCAATTCCCACTAACATTTCAAATCTTATCACAATTGCAAAAATCTGTCAAAAATAATCGCAATTATTTATATTTCCCAAATTGTGCAGCCCTTCTTTGAGTTGGCAAATGTAAATGAATCAGTCCTTGAGATGTATTACTTTTTGCACACTATGGCCCCGGTTCCTCTTTTATAGTACCAGTACATGTACATTCGACCAGTAGTACTGCCCGCCCCATAACACGTATCTTTAATGGACTACAAGTCATTTATAAGATGAAATAGCCTATGAATTTGCGTGCATTGATTCAACATCCCACTTGCATATACGTTATGTCATGACAGCATCTCAATAAAACAACGCACAATAAAGACAGTTCAATATGATTTTGGCTAATAGCTTTTTTTTTTAAATGCTATAAATATCATTATAGTTTAGTTGTGAATCATCATAGCAACTATAATCGTGAAGTGAAAATCTGATATTGTGACTAACTTTACAACCACATCAGTTTGCAATAAAAACACGCTTTCCCTTCTTATAGTATTTTAAAAGTACAGTAATCTCAATGGATAAGAAGAACGTATTTAATCAAGATTTGAATTTAAGTTAAACATTTGTGTTTCTACCCGATTGTGAAAAAAACAGACACGTGTCGGCGATGATGAACGCATTTCTGCAGTTACACTCAAATAAGATGTGAAAATAGAAGAAAAAGGAGCGATTGAGTTGAAAGTCGGGTGAAAATCATGAGCGGGAGAATTAGGTGGGACTGAAATGACTCACCTTTGACCCCCAGCTCTAGAGGCTGTCTAGACAGACTGGGGCGTCTATGAGCTCCCCTACACATGCCGTAGTCTCCAGTGGGGGGGGCAGTGGGGGAGGATTGGTGCATGAAGGGATGGATGGATTGATGAAGGGGGGGAGGGGGAGTGTAGGCGGAGAGTAGTCAGGTAACGAGGGATGCAATGGAATAAAAGGAAGTAGTCCCTGCTGGTGGAAACATGGAGAGGAGGTGGAGCACATCACACAGGCCGCTACTGGGGGTGACCTTCAACAGGAGAGGAAGAGGAGGAGCGTTCACAGACAGATGCATGCTGGGATGCAGAGACATGCTTATGATTCCTCATCTTTAGGTTAACAGACAAGAGAGGAATTTCAAAGTCACAACAAACAACAACAACACGGTACAAAACATCCGGGGCGTAAACACGTCCTCTGGCTGCGAGGCTCTCACCTGAGAAGATGAGTTTCTCCTTCATCACGTTCAGGTCTCGGCTGGACCTCCGGACGGCGGCCGCGCTCAGCATGATCTGCTCCGGGTTGTAGCTGCGCATGCCGCTGGTTCGATACCTGGGGGGGGGCACGGTTAGGGTCAGAGGCCGTCTCAAGAAGCAGCGCTCAGGTGCTATGCTCCATACATCTGGATGAGCTACCAGAAAACTGCAGGACTGCTGCTCTCCTTTTAAATCAAGGAGGAAGAATTTCCTCTTTGCAGTTGCCTTTTATTAAATTAAATAACTCTTATATCTGAGACTTTTTCGTGCATTTTAAACTTGTATATCTTATTCTATTTTAGCTTTTTTAAATTATTTATATATATAATCTTGTTTTTTTAATGATTGTTCTCAAATGTAATTGTTGGTTTGTTTAGCACTGTCTCTTGATGCTTTTAATGTTTTTATTTTAAAGCACTTTGAATTGCCTTGTTGTTTAAATGCGCTACATAAATAAACTTGGCTTACCTTGAGTCAACAATTACATCCCTAAATAATGCAGTTTGTAGCTCAGGGACAGTTTTGGTCCGTAGAGGGAAAACTTCTACAGTTCAGAAACGAGCTCATTGTTAGTGTATCGGGCAGAGCCTTAAGATGAACACTAAACAATGAGGACATTTTGTTGTAAGGCATTCTTTATTAGGTGTGTATTGTTTAACTGACAGGTTTCTTAATGGTTGATCAATAATGTACTTCATGAGTCAGTAAGACATTATGTGTTGCTAGGTTGTGAATAATCCAATCGCAGATATTTATATATATTTATCTGGAAGTAGTAATACATATATTCTGTATATATGTACTCCTCTTTAGCCCTTTCCAGAAAGTAAGTGGTTAAACGGTCCGTTTAGTTGAATAGATTGTTATTTAAAACAGTGTGATCTGCAAATAACACTTTGCAGAGATTCAAAAAAGATATATGTTTTCAGTTGAAAGTCATTGTTCATAGTGCCCTGCATTCACTATATATCTATTGAATGTACTTTCTGGATGAATAATAATTAATACAATTAAATACAGGAACGTTTGCTCCAGTCTGTATTTATTTAATCATTATTTGTGTGTCAAAGCAAAGAGATTCATTTCCTGCACGTGAAAGCGGCGCCTTTGTTTCAGTGAAAGCAACTTTGACTTCAATTAATTAACTTCTAACTCTGAAGCGTTGCTCAGAGTAACTGTAAGTGACGAAATGCAAAAGAGCAAGCTCTTAGCTGGTCAGCATCAATAAAAGTCTATTCTGAGGCACTTCCCCTGATCAATGCACAATCCTACTTCATTTGGACGTTTAGTCGTTGGGCTTAATAAGATGGAGAATACATTTAAATCTCATTGGCGACTTAATGCTGCGGATATGTTGTGCTGTGTGGGTGGAAAGCATTAAGCCCGTAGGGATAAGGATGTGAGCTTCTTCCGCTAGAGGAAGGATGCAGCAGTGCAGTACAACGATTCAGGTGACATGGAGACAGAGAAAATAAATATAGGAAGAAAGGTAGAGAGAAAAATCTGATGAAGTTTAATGTCATAACAGAGAGAACGACAAGACAACTGAGAACAAAATGGGAAAAAAGTCAAAAAGAAGGCAAAAAAAAGTGAGAAAAAAAAGAACGATGGATAAAGATGGTAAAAGACAGAAAGAGTGTGAAAGGACAGAAGACTTTGGGTCAGGAGAGGTGACCCAGTTACCTGATCATGTGATAGCTGAGAGAAGAGGCCAGAATGCAGCAGAGGAGGAGAGCATGCACATCAGGCAGAGGAAGAGGACGAGGAAGAGGCGGAAAGGACGCAAAAAGGACAAAAGAAGGCAGGAGACAAGAGAGGTCAGTTTAAAAGCCAGCAGGAGCTGCAGAAGAGCAGAGCACCGGATCGTAGAGAAAAAGACAAAACAAAAAGGAGAGATCTCTGCCCTTCATCTCGGAAGCACCAGGAGGAAAGCCATCTGTCTCTCTCCGACGCAAAGAGCAAGTGCTGCTGTCGGGTTTACATCGTTTAGCTTAGAAAACACATGCTCATAGGATCATCTTCATTACACAGAAGTGCAGGAGGAGAACACAGCACATCATTACAGTTTACACACGACACTACACACAATGCCATTTAGTCAGCCGCTCCTCTGTAGGGTCATTATTGGCAAAGTATTGTTTTAAAGGGATCAAACACAAGAGAACAGCATAATTATGTACGAGCTGCTAGTTTGTGTTCGGGTCAGATAGATTGAGAAAAAGTGTGTCGCGTTGCATGGGAGATTTAAGAGAAGAGTGCTCGTTAATATTCAGTATTTAGTGACAGAGAATACACACATGGAAAACAAAACCAAAGAGCAGTCTTTGTGCACCGTGCGGTCATTGTGTGGCTGTACTTACTTCTGGAAAATGAATATTCCTATGACTACAGCGAAGGAGATGAGGTCCACAGACACCCACATCAGGCAGTATTCATCTGGTCTCTGGAAACACACACACACGTTTATGGCAGAATCCACCACTGGGTGGCGCCTTGTGTCAACAAAACAATCGGTTATGTGAGCAGCCCCATTCAAACACACTTTGATTCATAAATCTACATTAAAGAAAATACATTTGAATTGGGAAACAGGGGATTATGCAGTCCTTTAAGATGTGCATTCATGTCAAAGTGTATTCAGAAGGCATTGCACTTGAACATAATCCTAAAAACGGTCAGTAATGTAATATAACAAGTTGAAAACCTGCATAAATACATTTTACCCCCTTAAAGGGTATGAACACAGGCTTTTCTGTCAATGTACGTCCACTGCTTGTTTTGCCACTAACAGGCTTGTGTTGTTATTACAAATTCCAACACTATGGAAAATAACATAAATGAATTCACTATATCCTTCTCTTGATGTGTACTGTTTTGTATTGTGTCCCACTCAAGGAGTAATCTCATTCTGAAATCACGCAATAAGACGTGACTTGGAGTCAGTGAGACTTGGAGAGCAGCTTTGCGTTATCAAAAACACTTTCCATGTTAGCTGATTTATACCATGTGGATGAGTCAAAAACCTCTTAGGAGATTTCAAAACGAGACTTCTCCTTGAGCAATACTTGGTTAGACATAATGATAAACAGACTAGATCAAGCACAAGGTAGAGAAAGATGTTTTCGTCAGTAAGAAAAACGACACGATCTGAGCTGTAAACAAGAGCAAAACAAGCATTGACTTTAACACCATCCAATGGCAGATTTCCCTTGACTTCACAGTTGACAGCAGATGGCCCAGCAGATTAAACTCTTCCTGAACCACAGCGGGGGGGCCGGGGTCACTTCCACATGTTGTCATGCAGGGTCCCCATATGGTGCTACAGACGGGTAGAGCAGGCTGGTGAAACGATAGCAGAGCGGCACAGTGTGGGTGCTACCCAGGTTCTCAGAAGGGGATTGAACTAGAAAAGACGAGTCATGCACGACTACAGCGTTCTACAGTGAAGAGACCTCGAATGAGTGTTTAAAACTTAGAGTATATTATGCTCGCTGCAGGAAATAAAGGAGTTCGGTTGAAAGCTAAGAACCCTTGTTGGTATAATTTGTTAAAATCTTGTTTAGTCATGCAGAGGTGAGGAAGCTTAAGGAGATGAGACAGGTTGTCATCTAATACCATCACATGATACAACCTATAGCCAGTTAATGAGATTTTACACTTTGAAATCCTGTTACCAAGCAGATCTTACAGGCTGGAAGGTCAAATAGAAAGACTATGGTGGAAAAAAGAAAGCCTCACACTTGAGAGCAAGAATAAAAAGTCAAAGAAGAAGCTAAACAGCATGTCCTGTGTCCTTACCATGAGCCAGATGGGGTAAGGCACCTTTTTGAGTATATGTGAGGCCTCGGAGGAGACGGAGGACACCCCGCTGCACCAGAGCACCGAGTACAGCCAGGGCTCGTTGATGGTGTACAGCGTGATGCTGATGTTACTCTGGGAGAAGTTTCTGAAGGAAAGGAAGAAGAAAAATACACATTTTATTATTACATTACATTTAGCTGACGCTTTTATCCAAAGCGACTTACAATAAGTGTGTTCGACCAAGAAGATACAACTTGAAGAATACAGAATCATATAAGTACATCAGGTTTCATAGAGCCAAAACATTTCAAGTGCTACTCAACTAGCTTTAGATAAGCCAGCCCTTTATTAGTATATAAGTGCTTTGTTAGTAATTGTATCGCTGGAAGTGGAGTCGAAAGAGATGAGTTTTTAGTCTGCGCCGGAAGATCTGTAGGCTTTCTGCTGTCCTGATGTCAATGGGGAGCTCATTCCACCATTTTGGAGCCAGGATAGCAAACCCACGTGTTTTGCTGATGGGAACTTGGGTCCCCCTCGCATGAATCTCATAAGGGCACGTATTTTAATTTAAATCTGTGTGGAGCTGTGCCCACCTGATAACAGTGTCAGGTTTATGTGTGTGTTCCTACCCGATCTCCTGCGTGCTGGCCTGGTTGTATCGGAGCAGCAGCCGGCTAATGCCGTCCAGATGGAGGCGCTGGAGTCTCCGTTTCTCCACTGAGGTCTGGATCAGACCGGGGGCCAGCTGCCTCACCTGAGCTCTGTGTTCATCTGGAGTCCACATCACCTTCACACAGCACAACACAAACTGTTCTTACACTGGTCCCAATCACACTTTGTGTCATTTATCACATCATTAATGAAGCATGGTCTGAATGAACATGCATAGTAAAAGGAAATCAACAAGACAGGAGGTAGTCGTGGAAGCCACCTGTCAATCACAAGGTAGCCTTGCCATAAAGCAGGGGTGGGGCCTCTGGGCCGTATACGGTCCGCGAGACAATTTGGTACGGCCCTCGAGGTAATTTATAAACACACGCAAAAAAAAAAATGTTTAAGAAATCTAGACCGCAAAAGAATTAAACAAGCGAGTGCCTGTTTTTCCTGGCCAAGGACAGGTTCCTAGAACACAACACGAGCCTACGTGTCATCACGTGGTATAGGGTTAGAGTTAGTTCTGACGGAGAGCACCGGAACGCCGCTCCGGCACTTCAGAAATTGTAGTACCCATAAGGAGCCGTACACATGCTGCAGTTTTTGCATATAGCTGTGTCTTTAGTTGAAAGCCCAGTGGCATCTGTTCATCTGACATACTGATCATACAATAACGCCATCGAAAATAATATGCTACATTACAGTGGAACTACTTCTGGGTCTTTGTGTTTCATTCAAGCTCGGCTGTGTGTGTCTGTGTGTATATGTGTGTGTGTGTGTGTGTGTGTGTGTGTGTGTGTGTGTGTGTGTGTGTGTGTGTGTGTGTGTGGCACGAGCCACATTTTGTTTGAGCGAGAGAGAGAGAGCGGTACCGGGGATTCGAATATAAGGAGCTTTTTCTACAACCAGGTGGAAGAGAGCTCTCCTGACTGAGAGGCTCAAATAACCTCAGCTCAGTGAGGTAAAGGCACATCTTTATATGATCATTATAGTTGCAAAAAAATAAGAGAATAAAGTAAACAGGTATAAAATACTATATGACAGTAAAAAAAAGTTGTTATTAATAAACAAGAATACAGTTTGAAAGGAGAGTGATTTGTAAAATATCCATAAAGAAAAATAAATCTGCTTCCAGGTCTGTTTCATCTGGGTGTTGAGAGAGGTATCCATAGATCTCCTGATGTTGCTCTCAAAGTGCACCAGATTGATATTTTTAACTTCATCATTTAAAAAAAAAAATCTTCTCTGGGAGTGGGGTCTGGGAATATGGGAGAATAAATCCACACATCTAGCTGCTCAAAATAGACATCTAAACATACTGCTATGGAAACAACACAACGCGGATCGAGTGTATCTAAGCCTTCAGTCCTTACTCACCAGGCTCTGAGGAACCCCAGATTCCTGCACAGCCTGCAGTGTATCATTGATCCAGCTGTCGTAGCAGGGGTGCTCCGGAGGGGGTCTCCTGAGCCGGAAAACCACCGTGCTGTTGTGATAGGAAGCCAGCCGCAGAAGCTGCTCCAGGCTACACACACTCTGATTGGCTATCAGCCGCTTCTCACGCGACGACAGGGTGTGCACCGTCCAGAAAGGGTCATCCTGAAACACAGGACGGGAGATGCATGAGGACGAAGATCAGATATATGTTTAACACAGGTGTCAGTTTTATTACAGTTACAAAAATAAACAAAATAGTATATCATAACATTAAGTAATTTAATTTGCATATTTTGAAAATCTGTAAACCTGCTTTCTTTATCCTAGTTACTCTAAACCAAAGCTTCTATCCTTTATAAGTAGTGCGTATGGAAGCCTACAGCAGATACATTTAGTGGAATATATTGTATATATATTCCTTGTTTCCTTCACATCCCTTCTTGCTTCACTGCTTCCTGTCAAAGGATAAAGGAGAGGAAGACGAGATGCATCTTATATAGGTCTTCCATAGTGTGCTTCACTTCCTTCCTTTTTGCTCTGTCATCTTAACATTCAACATGTTAATACAGATCAGGACAAATATACACGTGGACATCATACTATGGCAGATAATTGTCATGATTATGCACAGAACTGCTGAGGCTTTCCTTGAAATCCAGCTCACATGCAATGTAGAGAGACTGAGAGTGAGTGTGGAAAACAATTTAGATTGAGACAAATGTTGACGTAGCAGAGGCATCACAGCCAACTGTCTTTGCACGCTAATCTGAATGACGAAACATAAACTTCAGAAGAACAAACTGTATTTCAAAACAACATATGAATTTGAACCTACATTTAGAGTGCATGCATTTAAATTGAATAGAAAGCAAATACATGACCGGAGGGTGCTGTAGAAAACACAGCAGAGTATTTCAGTTCATGAAAAGCAATGTTTCTACATCACTGCATCTTGGTCAAGTTTATACTGATTCTCTTTCTCACAGAATGTGAAATAACATGGATTTACACAATCTGCAGCAAGTGGCTGAACAAGAATAAAGAAGCAGGTCAATTTTACATTTCTTGTAGAGTATGGTATGCAGGGAAGAATAATTCAGCAGGTTGAAACCAAACAATTATTTTGAAGCACTAGTTGACCCTCTGCAAACAGAAGAACTTCTCAAAAGCATTGATGGATCCCAGAATGCAGATGAAATAGGCATACTGATGATTCAATAGGCTAATGACCTTTATCTCACATCACTACACCACACAATGCCGTCGAACAGTTAAAATGGCTTCATCAGCAACCACTAACTACCTTGAGGAACCACTGTCCGGCGTTGAGCTGCCGCAGATCTGTCCAGTTGAAGGATGAGGCGTCTTCCATGTGTCTGTCGGGGAACACCTTCCCCACGTCTGTGGTCCTCCGCAGGGTGCGGTCGTGCATCAGGAAAGGCACTCCGTCCACACTGATGATCAGAGGTGGGAGCAGAGTTAGGAGATGCACTTTATGGTAAGGCAACATCTAGATATTTGTTTTTAACCCGCTGACATCAAATACAAGAACAGGGTCACACATATTTTTATAATAATTCAAACTGAGCAAGCCTAAAAAGGACTCAAAAGGATCAGCAGAGTTAACTGTCTCTCTAGTGAAGGCTTAAAGGAATTACAGCTCTCAAAAGGATGTCATATTTATTCAGATAAGAGCAGAACAGACAAGACTTGGTTAGAGCGGATAAGTCTTGAAATAATGTCACAAAAAAAAAAGGAAAAGGGAGTAGAGACAAGACAAAAGTGAATTGTGAGTCTTTATTTAAACAAAGCTGCTGATCAATATTTGAATACCAAATGACTTCTCTTTTATGACGAGAAAATAAAAATGCCCTCCCATTACTTAATTTGCATATCAAATTATTTGCAGAAAAAAACAATGCCTTCCCTGTGTGGATACAAGTGTGTGTGTGTGTGTGTGTGTGTGTGTGTGATCTGCTGGAGTCTCACAGGCGCTCTGGCTGTCATCAAGTCTAATTACTCAGCACAGCCAGGAGCTCACCTGTCAGCGGCCTGCACCGATCACACGCCCAGTCACCTCTACAGTGAGCGAACACACACACCCACACACACACCGGTTTCTCATACAGCAATAGAGTCAGATTTGAAGATGACAAAACGTGGAGTCCAAACAAAAGCTCTAACTCACAACAGGGCAACACCCCCCCACACACTTTTATATAATCAGTCATCTTCCATTACTGCACATGCATGAGTAGACATGTACAGGAACTATCCATGGCCATACAGAACCCCCCCCCCCCATTTTTTCTCTTCCCTCCCTCCTCCAAGTGTGTCTCTCTGAACATAGTCTGTCACCTCCCATTATGTGATGTCGTGCCTCTATCTACTGCCTGCTGATAGACTGTAGTGAGTCCAACGCTCTATTATTATGAATGTTATGTTAAAACACACACACACACACAAATGTGTGACTGTTGTAGAGAAAATCCCAAGTACAGTATGTGTTTAGATTGTTATTTACGAGACTTTTATGATGAAAGAATATGTTGCCTTGCCCATTTGCCTTTGACAAAAAACAATACACAGTTGATTGTCCACAGTTTTATCAAATGGGAATCAACACATGTGTTTCCATGTAAGCTAGGTCTGATTTAAAAAACTTTTCTCTCCTGTACTTTTTTTCTGGGTAATCTTTCTAAGTGTCTGACGAGAGAGTAACACAACTTGCTAACACAGAATATGTGTACCTTGTCTTTAAAGTACATAGAGATATTAAAACTCAACATGACAGAAACATGAATGCAGTGGGACAGGTTAGCTTCTTGTGACGAAAGTTAGTACCACGACAACAAACACGTGATAAGAAGAAGTCACCTGCCAAAACCTTTTTGTTACTGTTTTAAAGACACATTTTTCCAGAGCGACCCGGAAGGATTATCCCTACAAAATCCCTTTCTTAATTACAACAAAAATAATTAAAATCAGACTTTTAAAACTAGATTTTTTGTTCCTATTTCCCTCTCTTGGCTTCCATAAACCAAACAGCGAAGAAGAATGTAGAGATACTAAATAACTCTTCATTTATTTGGCGTGTGTGTGTGTGTGTGTGTGTGTACCTGATAGCCACGTCAGCCTCCAACCCGGTGACGTTCATCTGCAGAGCACGCTGGAAAGACCACAGTGTGTTCTCTGGAGCAAGCTGGAAACACACACACACACACACACACACACACACACACACACACACACACACACACACACACACACACACACACACACACACACACAACACACACACACACACACACACACACACACACACACACACACACACACACACACACACACACACACACACACACACACACACACACACCACACACACACACACACACACACACACACACACACACACACACACACACACACACACACACACACACACACACACACACACACACACCACACACACACACACACACACACACACACACACACACACACACACACACACACACACACACACACACACACACACACACACACACACACACACACACACACACACACACACACACACACCTCATCAGAAAGTGAAAACCCTGCCACTGCTGAAGAAAATCACAGATAAAATGCTGATTATTATTATTATACATATTATCAATTAAGTTGTGTTACAACATCAAAAATAATGTGGTGATTCATAGATGTGAAAATAGACTCCTTCCTTTTGAACATTTTGAAGGAGCAGAGACGAGGATTGCTCTGTAACTCAAGTCAAGGCTATGATCCATATCACAGTATTAGGTTAACATCACTTACTAGAAAAGCATTTTCCTATGAGTAAAGCTAATGATTTGGAAACACAGGAGAGGAATAATGCCGTAATCAATACAGAGTACTTCTGGTAAACAGATGTCAGTCATGTGACCACGTTTCTCACAGCATCGCAGAACCACTCCCAATTTTAGATTCCGCTGAAAGGATCGATCGCTCAACACAAATACCACAAACAGCAGCAGGGTGTGTTTTTGGATCGCGTGAGTAACTGTCACGAATAACTGGGAATCCTCCTTCATTTCCCTTCCAAGTGTTGCATAACACTGAGTCAGACGCTGTGCCAAGAACATCAATCACTCTCCAGGTAATATTTAGAAGCTATAACATGAATCCAAGCACATAAATCAAATATAAAAAGCAAAAACGTGCTTATGTTTGCATTCATCAGATTTGAACATGGCCTTCTGATGCATACTTAACTAACAGGCTCTAATACGAGTTTTTTTAAAACTGTATTTGAGTCTAAAATGTTAGCTGTGAGAGAGATGATGTGAAGTGATGGCAGTGAACGTGATTATTAGTAATGTCTAAATCGATTTTCTTTCACAGCAAGTTGCCAAGTCCAGCAGAACATATTTCCCTCCCATACATCACACAGTGAGAGCGCAAAGCTCCCACTGGGTTATGTTTGTAGACTATTTTCAGTTGCACTACACCAAGGTCATTAATAGACTAGAATAGCTCTGGGAATCGCAGAAGAAGAAAAATGAATAAAAAACAAGAGGAACAAATATCTGTAGGCAGTTTTCCTTCTGCCTTCTCCAAATCACAATCTTTGACACCATATATTAAAAGGCAGGTAGAGTGTGTGGCAGTGTGAAAGATATGAAAATACAATTTGTTTATTGTTGCCTGGTTTATTACCACATTCAGATGTATGGTAGTTGTCAGCAGACTCACCATGGGGGCTCCTTGGTGGCCAATGACATCAGGGCGTTGTTTGAGGGTGCTGGGGTCCATGATGCAGGGGGAGGAGATGTACAGCGGCACCACGTAGAGACCCAGCAGCACACTGAGATACAGCAGCACCACCACCACCTGGAACACTGGGAGAAGACAGACCATAATACAATTGTGACTGATATATATGGTGTGATAACAAACGTTGAAGGTTGGGAAGTGTGCTTATTTGCAGACACGAAAGCCACCCTCATGTCTGTAAGGTATATATGAAGCTACAACAGCAGTCAGCTAGCTTAGCATTAGGACGTCAGACCGGGGAAACAGTTAGCCTAGCACTGTCCAAGGGAAAATAACCAGCATAACAGCCCATCTAATGCTCACTAATGAACCGTTAACTTGTCTGATGTATCTGTTCAAACAACTAATCATTCAATCTTCTTAACAACTCTTCATTGCCCTTTTTTGGTTCCTGAGCAATGCACCTGCCATGACATAGCTGCATCTCTTAGCGATGATAGAGCGTTCATGTCATGTGGGTGCAGAAGCTCACAGGAACATAGAGACTGTACCAAGGCGTGTACCAAGAGTCTGCACGCATCTCTGTGTACATTACACAGTGTACCTAACGCACTAATAAAACATTTCCCATATATCCCAAGAGCTTGCACTCAGCACTGCTCCTCCTGTCTTCAGCAAAACACCAACAAAGCCTGAAGTAGTTTTGATGAAAGTTTGCGAGAATATTAAAGCACTGACATACCTATATTGCACTTTAGGCGTATATTAAAAATGGGACAATGACCATGGTGACTGTGACAGCTCCTGCCTATCTCCTAAAGTCTTGATTATTGTTTGTCCCTGAATGTAACACAGATCGTGGGAGTGTCAGATGAGAGCACCTGGTTGTCACATTACTGGAGATTAAAAGCTCCTATCCCGAGTGGCTCTCACTCTTTTTCCCTGATCTCCTTCCTGAGAGCAGCTCCGGACCTTTGTTTGGTGTTTCCTTTGGTTTTTACACCTTGCACTACATAATGCTCTCACATTCACATCTACACTACTGATATTACTCACAAACATTCCTCATACTGGTAGCTATGTCTTTATTTGTTTGCTTTTTTATAATAAATAGCGAGTCATTACACCCCAAGTGAAGGAGTTGAAGTATCTCGGGGTCTTGTTCTCGAGTGAGGGAACAATGGAGCGTGAGATGGGCCGGAGAATCGGAGCAGCGGGAGCGGTACTGCAGTCGCTTTACCGCACCGTTGTGACGAAAAGGGAGCTGAGCCAGAAGGCAAAGCTCTCTGTCTACCGGGCCATTTTCGTTCCTACCCTCACCTATGGTCATGAAGGATGGGTCATCACCGAAAGAACGAGATCGCGGATACAAGCGGCCGAGATGGGTTTTCTCCGCAGGGTGGCTGGTGTCTCCCTTAGGGATAAGGTGAGAAGTTCGGTCATCAGGGAGGGACTCGGAGTTGAGCCGCTCCTCCTTCGCGTCGAAAGGAGCCAATTGAGGTGGTTCGGGCACTTAGTTAGGATGCCACCTGGGCGCCTCCCTAGGGAGGTGTTCCAGGCACGTCCAGCTGGGAAGAGACCAAGGGGTAGACCTAGGACCAGGTGGAGGGATTATATCTCTTCGCTGGCCTGGGAGCGCCTTGGGATCCCCCAGTCAGAGCTGGTTGATGTCGCCAGGGAAAATAAAGTTTGGGGCTCTCTGCTGGAACTGCTACCTCCGCGACCCGACCACGGATAAGCGGATAATACATTTTTTTGCACAATAACAATGTTGGCACCTTCACCTGGGTGACTAATACAGTACATACGCCAAGGTAGTCTCTTGTAGCAAACATCCTACAGTTGGATTAACTATTAAATCCACAGCACTGAACTTCACAAGGAATGTTTGACGTAAGAGGATGGTGAATTTTGAAGTTAATTATCAGCATTTTGCATGGGTACGTACAGTGAATGGCGACATTGCCATCAGGGGCCAAGGAGACATTTTCCCTGCTTTCAGCTCAACGGAAGTGAGAGATGAAGGCTGCAAGTGGGAGCACACACACTAACGCGCACACACACACACTCATGGGAATGTATTCGTTTCAAGGTCAGGGTGGGGTTGACTCTTGTTACGAACAGGAGACTCACACACGGACACACTCACTCACATCCTCTCTGGTATTTGGTAGATGCTTAAGTGTGGCCTAGACATTTCCACCTCATCATGTCTCTCCAAAAACAGAAACTAAAATATATCCAGGACTTTTATAACATTAATATTTCCCATAGCACAAACTGTTCATAGTACATTTTATGATTTACATGAATGATTACAATGATTAAATCAATATTACTACAAGGCTCTCTTTGTTCAGAAGACAATAAAACTGGTACATAAATGACTTTCGATTATATTCTACACCAATAGCAGCGAGAGTGAGAACACTCACCAAGAGATCCTAATCCCCAAAAAGACTCGAGGAGAAACAATCCAAGGTGTACCGACTGGAAAACATCACATGAGCCCGTAGGAATGTTCGTTATCTCCGACACCCTGGGTGGAGGTCCTGGCCTCTGTCTACATAGAGTTAATCATTCACCACTCTTCCTACCATGTGTGTGTGTTTGTGTGTTGATGTGTGTGTGGCAGACAGGGTACAGCGGGTAAGAGTAACTTGTACTCTTTGTTGCAGAAGTAAACATACTTGTTTTTTCTGAGCGGGCGACCTGTCCCGCCACGATCCACGACAGCGCTGTGACCGCAGCCAGAGCCCCTATGTGCAGGAAAGGACCTGTGGCCTGGACAGAGAGGTGAGGAAGAGTAGGGAGGATGAAGGAAATAGGATATAGAGGAATGGAGACAAAGGGGAAAGAAAGTCAGCAAAAGAGAAGAGAAACAAAAGGAAAAGACAGAGAGTCATTGAATTACACACATTATCTGGGGTTAAGACATCACTCAGAGATAATAACTATAATTTGTAGGGGCTTTCAATTTCAATGGCATCAGTTTCAGAGGAGTAGCACGTCCACTTCAATCACAGTCATGGTGGTGAAATAATCTCACAGGGACACACTAATTATAAGCTTCTCACAACTCCTCGAAAATCGTATAGCTGTTAATGGTTAGGAGGATAAATGTGGATTGACTGTTTTCTCACCAGCACCAGGGATTTTCTTGTAAGAGAACAACAAAATAATATATATAGATATTTACTGTTAAAACTTCATGTACCTATTAAAAGGTAGGATTGATTGATTTCGATACTTATTTATTAATATCAGATTGATACCAGGCTAAAAAAAAGGTACAAAAGTGAAACTAGATGTTTTCAACCCTCACTTCCTCATCCAGGTAAAAGTGGTTACAGTTCAAATATTTGATCACAAACCAATGGTCAAAGTCTAGGTTGTTAAGTAGGAATAATAAACTGCCTTGACTTTGTGTCGCACTCAGTTAAGTATTTAAACGTTCAATCATCAGTGATGTAAAAGCCGTGAAACATGACTTTGTGGTTTCGCTGTGTTTCAGTGTGCTGACCTGCAGCGAGATGGGGATGACATCCCACTCTTGCCCCCATGTTTGATTGACAGATATCACCCCGATAACGGTGGTGAGCAGAGCAGCAGTCACTCCTATCTGTAGAGACAGAGAGAGAGAAAGAGATACAAAAAATCAGAGGGGCTTTCACTTTGGATAAATACATGTTCACTCACACACCAGATTAACCTCCAAATGGCCCTCAGCCCTTTCACACCCCAAACAGTGTTTGGTCCATGCATTTGATTTGCATATAACATTTTAGACTCCGTACAAATGGTGACAGATAGAAACAGAAATACACATCACAGACAAAAATAGATGCATAATGCATAATGCAAAACCCATCAACCACCTTCCACTTCCCATTTTTCACAACACACACGCCAACACAGTCGCTCCGTCTCACATTTGGCACATTACCTTATGGAGCCAGTGCAAATTTAGCTGTTGCCCAAGTGCAACGTGGCAAAGTGCTAGAACCTAAAAAGAGAAAAGCATGTCAAGTTAGAACTTTTTTTAAATGATCTGCTGCTTAACAATCTCAAATTGTTCAACATAACCATGGTCTTGACAACACAAGCAATCACTACAGAGGCAATATGATGAACACGACTTGTTTAACACCCCCACAGGGAATATATGATGTAGGACTGACCATTAAGAATGCAATGTAGGTGAAGCCAGCAGCAGTGGTGGCCAGGATGGGAACAGTGCCATCACTCCACTCCCCAGAGCGGTTGTACAGGAACCTGAGGAGAAAAAAACATGTGAAAAATAAATCTCATAACGACAGCTCACCTGCATTTCATTATTACTAATTGTATTGAAGGGTTAAAGAATAGATGCGATTGAGCTGCAACAAGCATTTAGTTTTATATTTTCTCTTTTTTCAATAAAACAATGCCTTAAAGGTCCCATGTCATGCTTTTCCAGTTATTACCTGTCCCCTTGTGTGTTATGTAGCTTGTTATGCATGTTAACGGTCTGCAAAGTCACAAACCCTCAAAGTACACCCTGTAGCGAGTAAAACTCTAACACAGAAAAGACCTGTCTATGCTGCCCCAGAACGCCTTGTTGGAGATTTCTCTTTTTACATTTTTTTCTTCCCGAGTATGGTGACGTAACCAACCCGTGGAGCTCCTCACACGCACTCACTCTTTTCTTAACTGCGGCTCTGCGGATTTCTCAGGCTGAGTTCAGGGTGAGTTTCGCGGTGTCTCGTTGTCTCGCAGACCCCACGCAGCAACCAGGAAACGACACCAGTAAGCCAGCTCACACTGTCCGCAGCAGCGAGCCCCGCAATGTCCCGCGGCAACACGGCACCCAGGCCCCACGCAGCAATACACATTAGGGTGGTCCTTAAAATTGAAAGTCGGAAAGTCTAAGCTCCAACCCCCATAATTCATTCAATTAGTCAAAAAAGCAATAGTTGGAGACTTTCCGACTTTCAATTTTAAGGACCACCCTACTGAGGCTAAACTTCAAGGTTGATGAGGGAGGGTAAATGTTGTTGGAATTTGAATAAAATTCACCTGGAGAGTTTTCTTGACAAATTCCGGTGGTTGGAGCTTAAAATAAATGAATTTGAAAATGTGCATGGCACTAAGGACCACCCTAATACACATACTATACAGAGATGCTGTATGAGAAACCAATGTGATTTTGGAACATTGAACAATATAAATCTATTCTAGTAGACCTCAATAATGGAATTATGATCAGTAGAAATGGCCATGACATGGGACCTTTAAGTTAGCTTAAAGATATACACTTTGATTTATTTCGACAATGGCAGGGTGAAAAGGTTGCTATTAGCAGGCTTTCTGTCAGCACTAGATAGCGGTGTAATATGAGTTGCCGGGTCTATAGCATTATCAGTTTACAATGGATCTGCAAGACCAGAAAAAAAAAGGCACAAACAAAATAAAAGGCTTGTGAGGGAAAGGAATATAAGACTGTTGGTGTTTCAAAAGGCCTTTAACGTTCATGCAGGCCCCTATAGAGCAGCCTCAAGCTTTATCGTAGCAATAAAGGTAACAAAGATACATCAAAGGGAGCCGTCTCCGTGACAGACCGCAGACGCTACTGTCGGGCGACGGTGAGAAATCAGACCAACGAGATAATGTGATTGTATCATTAATGGATGGGAGGAAAACTACTGACAGCTGGTTTTCTGTCGTATATGGAGCTTAAGTATGGGAAACAAGTGCATGCTGGTTATCTGGGTTCTAGCAATCACTGACTGTCAGCTTCTCTTTGCAGACAGAAGACATTGTTGTAAAAATGTTTATTCAATGTCGCTTTGAGCTATATTTCTTTAAAGGCTGACAGTATCTGTACATCCACATCTGAAGAGCAAAGACAAGTGTGTGTGAGTGTGTGTGCCCATGTGGGCTTTGACATGACAGCCAGTGCCTTTAGCACTAATTACTTTGAAGCGTTATCAGTGATTCTAGTGGCACAGAGCCACAGCGGGGTCACTTAGCGCTGATGCTCCTAGCCCTTTGTGAATAAATTGATACTGCAGATGGAGCAGGACGCTCCCTGCTGCTAAATCACTAGAACACATAAGGGCAGGGATGTCAGCTGTGTGATTATCTGTGGAAATCCCACAACAAGCAGGAAGGAGAAAGCAGGAAATGTGAACACTTCCTATTAGAAAGGAAAAGCAAATGTCATGCACATGACATCCAGAGATAAATATACACTGGGGAGATTGCTAATAAAAGAAGTGAGGTTCAATTGAATAAAAGTAAGAAAATGATGAATGAGAGAAGTACAGGGGCATTGTGAAATCACAGAGTACACTGGCTGTGAGAAGAGGTAATGGAAGGAGACAGAGGATAATAAGAGGAAAAGGTGACATTGTAGAGGTTACTGAGAGCAGGAGGAGCGGGGGAGGGGGAGCAGAGCATGTGATGTGATATTTTGGGACACAGCCATTTTAACCATTTCATACTACAGCATGTATAAGAACATGCCGAACACAAATCACTTCAGAAATATAACACCACAAATCAAGAAATGTTTGATTTAATGCTAATCCAAACATAATATGTCAGTCGGATTCACAACTTGAAGGGTGCTGAATCTTTGGCCATGAATAATGTTTTGAAGGGTGTTTTGATCACTAATGTCCAGTATAGTTTGTACCTTAAGTATCTAATGTACATGTAATGTTCTTGTATAAATTCATAAAATCACTTGTGCTTTAACGAAAATTGTTTGCGTGGTTTTATGCAATTGTTTCCGCCTAGAGGTTTGAAATAAGGCTTTGTTGTTGGCTTCACATCTTTTCATTCACATATAAATGTGGTCACAAAGGCGGCATGGGACCAAGTCATTTATAGTATAGTAAATGTTGGGAAAACCATATTATGTAATGGTGTAATCTGTGGAAAGGATGGGTGGTCTTTGGGTCAGATTAAGGCAGATTAAAGTGACGATTTAGGAAATCAACAAGCCGAAAAGCTGGGATAGAATGTATTTACTGCGGAAACAATATGCTGATGGGAGTGTGGCTCTCGCTGTGTACTCACCAGTTAAACTCATTGTAGTCGTTATGTGCTTCCCACCAGAAGTAGAACCAGACCAGCAGCAGACAGAAGGTGAAGAGGAGGATGATGGACCACAGCAGCTCCCACTGCGTACACACAGGAAGAAATAAAACTCATTATCTCTGTGGATACACTTGTTTAATTTGAATGAATTAAAGACACATTACAGAACAGCTATAAATGCTGCCAAAACCAAAATTAGGACTTAGTCTGCGTTTGTTTACCCATAGCTATTAGGTTGAATATTTGTAAGTAATTTGTACAACTTTCCAGAAGATCTTCAGAGCGCACCAGAGCTCATTAGATGACAACTTTATGCAAGCTAACCACAACATGGTTTCAACCTGGCTGCCGACCTTTGGAGAGAGTATTCCCTTATACACTTTGCTCATAATGATAAAATTACTTTTAATAACTTCACAAGCAAGCCAGCTAATTACTGTCCTCATTCGCTTTGCACTTTCGTACTATGGCAGATATTAAATTGGCTTCTTCTTCAAATACAGGAAACACACCTCTGGGTCACTCTCAGGCGGGAACATTAAGCAGGTGTGCTCGCCTCGTTCTTTTTTGCGTATTTAAGCAGCCACGCTTTTGCGGTTACTCGAACAAGAGACTTATATGACCTTTTCATAATGCACAGATTTATTTTTATTTTTTAAAACACCTGAAGGAACAGAGCAGCAGAAAATGTTTGAGGACTTAAATGTGCCGATAACCCTCAGGTTACACACAGACACGCAGTGTTCAGTAGTTTCTTGGCTAGATATTAATAGGATTTTAATCCATCAGATTACAGTGAACACATGAAAGGGACAGGGTGTGAGAAAACCACGCACATGTTGACCACATTGTTAAAAAGTAGTGAGGCTCTGTGACGTAAATTCTAGGTAATCTGAAAAATTATCTGTTTTACTGGGAAGAAAAACAAGTCACAACACATCTAAAGGTTGACTGGTATTACAGTCATTATAGCTGTCTAGCATGTCCTTAGGAAAACATACTTTTGGATAAACAGTAAAGACGTATTTAAATGACATCAATATGTTGTCCGGGCTAAAACCATTATGAGGTCCATTATTTAATTTGATGACGCATTTTGATAATTGATTAACAAGCAAAAATGCAAAAGATAACATAGTTCTAGTTCCCTTTTTCTGTTTTATTACATCACTTCAAATTGAGCATTTGGGGGGGTTTGGACGAGTGCCTGGACAAACACGCAATTTGTCCCTCTGAGCTCCAAAAACCCAGACGTGGCTATTTATTAAATTTCACGGGAGTAAACCGTTGTTGTGTGTGCTGCGGATCAGATTATCAGCGCCTCAGTCAGCTGATGAGACACCCAGGTAAGACGGTCTGTCTGGGAATGAGAGATATAAAAAGGTCAGTGACTTTTTTTCTAAATATGGAAGTTCTGAATCATGACACAATCACATTTCACTGCCTGCAACTTATCCAAACAGTGCAGCATTTGAAGGTCATTAAAGCTTCTTTGTAGAGCTTTCCCGCGTCAGACTGGAAGTAGAAGTCATGATGGTTTGGTAAACTGATGATACTATTAGATTTGTTGGCATGGTTTTATAGCATAACCGAGATCAGATGTACAAAAAAGGAAAACCAGCACTAGGGAATGCCAATTTAATCCCATCTCTTATTTGGACATGGGTTTTGCATATTTTCAGACTTTGCAAGACAAAAAAAAATCTTATTATGCAAGAAGGTCTGCTTTCATCAGATATTGGCACTAGATACGTTTGGATACACATGTTCCTCTTTGAAGGAAATGACCCTGAAGTAAAAGCAGTCTTTCTAGAAAAACACTTCCCGCTTTTCTTTTATTAAGTAAATACTATTCAACACTTCAGGTGTTTTTTTATCATCAGTATCACATTGTCCTGTACAGGAGAAAACAATGATTAACCATTTAATCAGAGCAAAGCAAATCTATTCCACCGACAATAAGGTTACCATGGTTTCTGTGAGAGGGAGCTCTGCGTGTGTGTGTGTAACGGATCAACTCAGATTATTGATGAGGGGGCAGAGACCCTCGCTCCCATGGTCTTTAATGGCTACCTGCAATCACCTCTGAGATATGACCTTTCTCCTGAGAGGACATTGTCCCCCCCACCACCCCTCCCCTGTGGATTATGATGATGCGACCTGATATGCCCCATGAAGAGCTGTGATGGTTAATAAGTTGCTTTCATGCAGTGTTAATTGGCTCTCATAATAATCTGAATCCCAGAGATCGGATGCTAAAGATGGAGAGATAGATTTTAATATACGCACATTGCTAAAGTAGCTTGGATAATACACATCTGTTTCATTTACGATTTCTAATGAATACTTTCATGCACTGAAAACTATATTCAAATTACAAAAACAACCATATATATTAACCAGCATACAATAGAGTGTATTAACCATATGATCCCATGTGTCACGCTAGATGATAAAACCAAAAACATTCCATCAAAATTGCGACAATATTTAAGAGTTGATTATTGGTGCTTTCAAATTATTACCATAATGCCTTTTTTGATCAATATTCATAAGTGATGTGAGTAGTATTAGTAATAAGTGGTTTAAGGCAAAACGGAAGATGCGAAAAATCACTTTACTGTAATCCAGCCTTGAAATTTACAGTAGAATAAGACAATGCCATATTAAGTTATTACGATATCCAAAAATATCACAATATCAATATGACATTGATATATTGCCCAGCCATACATATCCTAATATTTGCAGGATAAAAAGAACCCTTTGTCAATTTCTGCTCAAAAACTGCCGTGATAGTGTTTTAAAACTGAGACAAATCTGTATTGACAAAATTACTGATTTCTCATTTTTGATTTAGGATCTGATGTACTCTTCCTGCTCGACGGCTTACTCAGCAGCAGAGATCGACTCCGTGACATCACATTACCATTCTGCATGGCTGGCATTTTGTCCAGGCACACCACCCCATGGCACCGGCAGCAACAGAACACATCCGTGAGAAAACCTCAATCTCTGTCTCAGTGTTTAAAGAGCGGTGTATGCCAGCAGTCATTGGTGCTTTGTTCTAAGAGTTATTCTGACTGGTGCCACGCTGTTTGCCCTTTGGAGACATCTTAGAGGACACGGAGGACAGGTTCTTCCTTGGAAGACTCAAAGATATTGGATTAGCTTTGATTCAATCAAATTATGTGGTAAACTGTAATTAAAATATTTGGAATTACTTTTCAAAACCACAAAGGACGCTCTCTCCAGCTAGTCCCAGGAACTTCATTCAGACAGCTGCAGTGTTTAAGATTCCATTTATTTCTTATCATTTCTGAACAAATGTGTCTTTCAAATTGTAATAAAGGATGGATGTTATAGATAATGAACCTTTGAAAAATAGACGCTGCTAAAAATAGAAGGGACATTCATTGCAGCATCTTAACTTCTTATTTTAAAACCTATAAAAGCATACACTCCCAAAAAAACACTTGCACTTAACAAATATATCTGATAAGGGGCTTTCTGGCACTCACGAGGCTTAAGGGATTCCCCAAAATTGTTTACACTATGACAAATACATTGAGTCTCTGAGGAAAACACTAAGAATAGTGTGACACTGATTCATCTTCGCTGACTCACCAATGCGTCAGAGAACTCAGTCACTTAACATCTGGGAAAAGCAGGTGGGAGGAGAGGGAGAGGGAGAGGGAGAGAGAGAGAGAGAGAGAGAGAGAGAGAGAGAGAGAGAGAGAGGGCCACATAAGTCTTTGTTTAGAAATATTCAAAGATTTAAAGGCCATTTCTACTGATCATAATTCCATTGTTGAGGTCTACTAGAATAGATTTACATTGTTCAATGTTCCAAAATCACATTGGTTTCTCATACAGCATCTCTGTATAGTATGTGTATTCACTCTCTGTCCAACACGCCTTGTTGGAGCTCCTGCCCCCCCCCCCTCCCTATGAGCCCACTCTGTTCTGATGAGTCCACAACTGTTACAGCGGAACAGTGATTATGTGTTACCATGGCGTTAGCAACCAGAAAATGACACCAGTAATGACAAACAGATGAGAATGCTGCGTGGGGTCTGGATGCTGTGTTGGTGGGACGTTGCGGGGCTCGCTGCTGCGCCCAGTGGGGCTCGAGGAGCGGACAGTGTGAGCTGGATTACTGGTGTCGTTTCCTGGTTGCTGCGTGGGGTCTGCGAGACAGCGAGACACAGCGGAGCTCAGCCTGAGCACACACACTCACAGCCAGGCTGAGATCCACAGAGCCGCGGGTGAGAAAAGTTAAGGCTGAGTGAGTGTGTATGTGTGAGGAGCCGTTACGCCACTATGACCAGGAAGAAAAAAATGTAAAAAGAGAAATCTCCAATGAGGCGTTCTAGGGCAGCATAGACAGGTATTTTCTGTGTTAAGAGTTTTACTCGCTACAGGGTGTACTTTGAGGGTTTGTGACTCTGCAGACATGCAGAAAAAGCTACATAACACACAAGGGGACGGGTAATAACCGGAAAAGCATGACATGGGACCTTTAAATGACTGCAACAAAGAATTTGAGCAAATTAAATTCAGCCGATATCATTTTACTTTTCTGCCTGCAGTTTGTATTTATCTTAACTTAAAGGTGGGGTAGGTAAGTTTGAGAAACCGGCTCGAGATACACTTTTTGTTATATTCCATGGAATGCTCTCAACATCCCGATAGCAATGAATATCTTAAGTGCTTTGACAAAAAATCTATTAAAAAATGTCATCTGTGGAAGCCGTAGTGCTGTAAAAAGCACGACCAATCATTTTAGCCGGCCCGGCTAAAGTAACTGGATGGCCTACCTGCCTGTCAGCCTTCCATCGGGGCACAAACTTATCTCGTGCCCTCATTGGTCATGTGCGCGTTCGTGTGTGTTGGAGGAGGGGCTCTGTAAGGAAGTGGCAGATTTTCTCCGGTTGCGTATTTTCAAATTCTAGCGCACTCGAGCTGGTTTCTCCGAAATGACCTACCCCACCTTTAAAGTGGCTCACAGCGGGTCCACTGTAGTGGCTTACGATCAAAGCAGCTAATGATACACTTAATAAATAGGCTTACTGGATTATTC